CCATCATTATTTAGCCCAGTCTCCTTTACCGTATTCATTATATCCAGCTTTTTCTAGCTTAAAATAATCACTGTTGAAGAATATGGTTGCAGCTGAATTTGTACAGCATGGCTAAAGCATAAACAATCACATAATAAGGAGCCATCACTGCTAGAGGTAGGAAGGACACTGTTAGCTTAGCTTGATGACCGTAAAACTATAAAGAATTTGCCCCTGGATTTAGAATAACACTTTCCTTGGATGTAAGGAAGTTAAAAACTTTCCCAAACATGGTTTTAAGTATTTATTTCACTCTTCTTGTACTTATCTCATTGCTAAACACTCATACTCCTCGTCCACATAGCTGGATTTAGTAGACTGATTTCTATTACAGTCGTGATGCATCTGTGCTTTTTTAGAATAATTCTTTAATCATACGAGTGTGTCTGTACTTACAAAATGCCCAAAGCAGCATTTCTATTAAAACTTTACAAATCTTGTTTTTCCGGTTCAATATTTTCATGTTGTACGTTTTTCTCTTAATTCTCAACTCCTAAAGATAGTCTGCATAGAACTCCTTGTGGTTGAAGCATAGTGAATCGTCGTCATACCTATAAATTGTATTAGATGGTCTAATTACGTTGTGTAAAGCACAGAAAAAAGGCAAGACAAACTATACAACATCTTTACTTTAACCATTTCTCCGGAATTTTAACCGAAATGTGAATGAGGTTTTTAGAAATTTACACAGCAATAGTAAAATGACAGCTTCTTTATGCCACTTAGTTAAGTCCTGCATACTTTGACAACACATTTTCGTGACAAAGTGAAATTGCTTCCCTAACCCGTTTTGGAAATTTTTCCTGTTGTACACAAGCATTTGTCTGTAGATTTTCATTCGTTGCCAAAACATTGCCATAATATTCCTTCATATTATCTTTGATTTCACTCACCATTTCCTTCCATAGAAATAAGAAAGAGTAAAATCTTCTTTCATGTTTTCTTTTTTCAACTTCTTTAGTCAGAGTTAATTGATCACAATCACAGTTCATGAGAAAGGTTTATATAGTCACATGATGAAATGAGATTTGTCTTACATTATAGCTCAATAACGAATGTATCGCTTAGGGAGATTCTGCGAGTGCTACATTTGGAAAATTTAGGGGAGCAAGAAAAAATCCACCGTGCAAAAACTGCCGGTAGAACTTTAGAAAGTATTTTCTTTGTTTGCTGGTTGATTTTCATAAAAGTTCACCAACTACGTTTTTATAAATGAAAGATTATTCTAGCTCCAATTTGTAATAGTTCAATGAAAAGCCCCTTTCTGTGGAGTGGTTAATAAATTCTACTACTACTACTTCTATTCTAATACAGTCTGCAAATGCCCCTGTATTCAATCTCACATTGTCAACTTCCTTCTGAATAAAACAAGTACAATTGAGCTCTTTGTCATCTATTTAACCCATGCACATACACGCTTACTGTTGCTAACGAAAGACCACTTGAATCGTTGACAATTCTTTACTTTGTACAAATTTTTATCCAGGAAAGGAAACTTCAAGACAAAAAAAAACTTAGCCTGCGTTTTCAAATTTAGCCACTCAAGAAGGATCTTTAAATTGGTTCTTTTTCGGTGAGCAAAAATGTTCACAAGTGAACAAAAATCCTTACCATATACCTACGCATTTACGCAAATTAATCTATACAGCGTACAACAGCGCCCAAATAAATTCTCAGCACTTTAACATGAGAAGTCTACATTAAACTCACACACACCTTGACTCACAAACAACTGCAAGGTCGATCGGACACCGTTCAACAATTTGTTTTTTTTAACAATAAACATTATTCCTATCGATTTCACCGTTAATGAAGCGCCTTTATGTTCGTGGGTCATATTGTCTTATCCCAAGTCTATATTCAATCTGGTTTTAAACATGTTTTTGTTTATAAAAGAAGCCAACTATTCGTGAATTAACCAGACCAAAGATTATTTTCTCATGGAGAACGCAGAGGAAATTCGACAAGATCTTTAACCAGTTCTAAAAGCACACATATATATTATCTTATGATAAAAAGAATTCAATAAAATGGGATGAAATGCCAATCATACGTTAATTAATTACACAATAATTTTGAACCGCAGCCATTTCACTCTAGGCATTGAGATACTCTTGTCATACTAGATAAATCAAATAAACGTTCACATATACAATTACGCGGCTAAAACTGACGCAAGCCTTGCTTCAGGCAATGAATATGGTTATGTTGATGGAAACGAATTACAGAAAATGTACAAAGTGAACAAAAATATTTACACACACAAATTTTGGATTCTAAAAATGCAATTTGGTATCACCCAACGAGGAATAACGCCCATAGAAATATATGTAATAAGCAAAGTTAAGCGTTAATGTTTTTCATTCTGATACATTGCTCGAGGGGTATGGTGCAACAAAGAAAAAGCAAATGTCTGCGATAACAATAAAATGAACGTTATTCTTTTGTTATGGGTTCAACGGCATCCTAGCCATGAGAACTATTAATAGAAGAAGGATTTACTACAAGGGAAGCAATTATAATCTAGTGCTGAAAATAACAAAAAAGAACTAAAAGTTAATTGCCAATAAGATGGAAATAACCATCGACAACAAAGTGGTAGCTAATACACAATACTACTGTGTAAAAAATTATCTTCAATGGAAATGAGATTGTTTTCCGTGTTACTAGAAGATATATAACCACAATAACTTTGTTTATTAATGATAAAAGCAGTTTTTAGAAAGGATCTTAGAAATTGCTCTCTTAAGTGTATAATGATGTGATAACCACACTTTGTTTGTGCTCGAGATAATTACACTTCCGAGAAAAGATTTTCGGTGTTTTGCACATCCCACTACACTTTCCTGTTTTGCAAATGGTATTCTCATTTGTTTCCAAAGGCTGTCATCCATTACAGGAATGAAATGATATCATCTTAACATTTTGAATTTTTTAGCCTGGGAAGCTTATGTAACAACTCTTTTTGACAATGGAGAAAAATAATCTTGTTCATGTTACAATACCATGAATCTTTTTAGAGTTCCTGAATTCAAATACAGTTCGTAGAACCAGTTTACGAAAAATTAGTTTCTAATTTTTTAGAAAGCAATTGCTTTATTGATGCCGATAATGACCAATCATTTGACATGCTTGCATGGGGGAACTGGTTAAATACACAAACAGAGGCAATGAATTTTGAATATTTTTGCTACGGAACTTGCATGTATTCAAAACAGGGTCAATTAATGAGCAGGCTGTCAACAGTTACGTTTGTAGCTTCTAAAGCTATCACAAACAAATTCTTGCAAACGAAGAAATATCTCGGTACATTGGTGTCAATATATATGATTCTTCTTAGGTCAGGAAGTACAAAAGAAAAACATGTAATCGGCTTCCTAAGATACTAACAATGGCTGTTCATTTTTACGTTAGCCCACCCTGAAAGACATTTACACCGTCAACCTATGCGATGGAAAATATACAACTAAAATTCAAACTATGCAATATGTCCAAAGATACTATGCTTTGATCATAGCGTAATGCTTATATTTCTTATCAAATATTTTAAGAAAACCAAAAAAGCTTGTTTTTAAAAAACCAAACACTTCAAGTCAAGCAAGTTATGGCACGCATTCCTCAGGTGACATATATTAGTGCTTTCGTCTGTGTACGTATGCATATATATGACAGCATTAGATTCCAGAGGCTTGCTGGTCCCAAACGCTGTCTGCACCTATAACACTAAATGTGTTTGTTATTAATACAAAACGTTTTTACTGCGCCCAAATCGAATTAAATTGCACCGCCCATCCATTATTGGATAGAACCAACAGCTCCTCAAATAACGAGTGATTATCTTGAAATTAAAAGATGATCTCAATTTTCAGATAGTGCACGGTTCATCAAGACTTTTTGTGTAAATTCCTCACCATATTGGCAAACACAACTGCACTGCTAGACGGCACGTTGTTATAGGTACCCAGTGACAAAGTTTGTCAAATGTTTTTATGATTTCCTTTTATGGAAAGCCGACTAATTTCTAGCTGAAGGAAATCTGGGTTTTGAAAACAGGAGTTACCAAAACTTGAATTTTCATTCATGTATAATGAAGTCAAAAAAGCCCAGCTTGCAAAACCTCTATTGTGAACAATGGACTACGTAACTTCCTATGCTATGCTTGTTATAACTATTATGACGCCGAACAATGGACTAACTTCGTGCTCTACTACGATTGCTGTCGCAAATACGTTAAAAATAGCGATGTGTTTTTATTATCGCAGCAGCAAACTGCTTTACTTGACATATGTTTAGTGTACAAGTTCTAAGAGAAATTGTAGAATATATTCAGACAGCCAATAGTCTCAAAACCTAGTTTATGATCAAAATATGTAATAAGAAATCATAGTGAGTCCAGTTTTTAAAGAGAAGAGATAAAGTTCAGAAGATTGATGGGCGTTTGCAAACTGAGTTAGGCCATCTGGCTTGTTATCTTGTTTGGAGCATCTTATCTAAGCGCTCGCCAACTTCTATGATTGCGCTATTGTACAAAGCTGAACATCTGTAGCACAGGTTGCAAACTCGTGCCTTCAATTAGAGAGCTTTCTGTCTTCCATTTCGTCTACGAATGTCAACTTCACAACGAGAATGACTTCAACTTCGCAGATTAACTTAGCCACTTTGTTTTTTCATTTTTTCTTGCTTATGACACCTTCTTTCTAACGAGATACGTTAACAAACCTGATGACAAGATGATTTAATTGAGTTGCACAAATTTTCATTTTACCTGCCTCGATCTGGCGGTCTGTCACGCTGTTTCAATTAATTCAACTAATCTGTGTTTTCATTGGCTAAACGGCAGCTTATTATTGGGGGTTAATTGCCAAGTCCGGTTCACGTCTGCGGAGATCGATGGCCTACCAAGCGCCGTGATTGGCCGAATATGAAGACAGTCAATCATTCGCTACTCGAGCCGAAGTCCATAGGAATAAGAAAGATAGGAGAAGAATGGAGATAGCAGACTTTGTGCATCGTGTGCTGGCGTTCATTGCTTCAATGAAAGTCAACGGCAAAGTTATCAACATCATGAAAGATTCAGACATCAACGAGGATGGCTTGATGGTGAAGGAAGTTAATAAACAGACGGAGGAAAAGGATAAATATACAGAGACAAAAAGTATTGACAAACACCCTTTTTCAATTGAGTCGATCTTAAATGGGACAACTAAACACAGAAAAGCAAGACAAGGAAAAAATGGCACAACACTGAAGCAAAGACGAGAGAGGTCCGCACTGCCATTGAACGCTTTAGAAGCATTTACAAACAAGGCATTTTTAACAATGAAACCAGAACGAATACTCAACGAGGATGAAGGTAGCTATAAATTTTCCGAGCACACTGTTGTTTGAATGTCAAACTAGTATATACGTATCTGAGCTGTGACAACAAGCATCAGGGATTACATTGCCCTATGTCATTTTACGCTGCAGTTCGTTTGCAAGCAGACGCAAAATCCGAAGTGTATGTGTATCCATTTCAATCCTTGTGTCATAAAAGAAGCGCATGACAATACCATCGACTTTTGGAACAACTAAATATACTATATTAGTCTAATTACGTAGTAGAATTTGATCACACAGTACATTAATGCTTTAGTACATATTGACAAGAAGAAGGAAACATATTGCCCTCGAAACATGACATAATACGATTTATCCTGATGGATTTAGGAAATTGCATTGTAAATCAGTCTTATAATTTTCACCTTTACAGTTTCTCATTTGTGGATACATCACGCACATAAGTTTGAACAATGTAAAAGAAAATCAAGGAGATAATGCGACTGTAGACGATTTCTTCCATCAGCTTCTTGAACAAATAGTGAAATGAAACAAAAATAGAAACGTTAAGACAATAATATAATTACTTAAGTGGACATTTCATGTACTAACAAACCTCTTTGCAAAGTTAGCCTCACGAATGGAAAACAACATATTTACATAATTTATAATGTGTAAAATTTACAAAATTCAACAAAATATGGAGCATCATTAAACTATGCATGCACATCTTCTCCATATACTTTTGCTACATGCTAAATTGCTAATGTCTAGTCAGGACATTCCAGAAACACAAATATCCATTCAGCAAATCATTCACAATAAATTTATAATCCTACAACTGACAATTCATAGAAAAACATTGATATAAAATAGATAGATTCAGTCATTTCTCCGTTGGAACACAGTTAATCGATATTCACTCAGGGCATTAATTCGATGCTGAATGACATAAAAGAATGCTTTACATGATCCCTAACATATGTATTTTTCCACTGTCGTTTCATCTTGTAGTATTTTTCGTGGAACATTAATGCTAGCGGTTCCCTTTACGCATAAGAATAAAATGACGAATCCTTTAATATAAGCAATTCAATAAAAAATACCTAGCATTTCTTTACACTTTAGACTTGTGTAATGATAACGAAAATTAGAAAATATTATTAAAGTACAAAAATTTGTGAATATTTTATTGGACTTTCTTTCATCTCGTTTTCACGTTAGCAAAACTTAAAGAAAGTCACATTCAGCATGGTCATAGCTATAACATGTATATATAAACTTTGAAGAGTTAGGAAATTCAATACATGGCAATGAATTACTCGAATAAAAAGATGAAATTTATGTCTTTCATTGCGCAAAGACAAACAAATGCTAAAACAAAATCTTCACTACCAGTTATTATTTATTCATCTACTTGCATATTTATCAATCGCACGAGTTTTGTCTATGTATATACTTGGAATAAATCAACACAAATAATATTTGTCAATGGTTTGTCTTTTACATCTATATTGAGTATTTTAATGGATTGAAAACTCGAATGTTTATGCGTCTGCTGTGACTTTTGGTTTTGTTAAGTGATTGCTAATTGAGGCTCAGTGATTCAAAAAGAATCAGGACAAATATTATCCACCCATGTAATGCCTGTTCCCTGTTTACATGACGGCTTGTTAACACATTTTGGAGTTTGGACTGTTAGTTTAAGTTGCTTGTTTTCCTGGGGATATTTTGTCCTCAAGCAACAAGCTATGGTTTTTCTCAACCTGCAGACGTCGATATTTAAGAAAATAAATGTTAAAATCATCATATACGAATATCACAAAAATTATGCAACAAATACACTGTCATAATTAAGGATATTTGTAAAGCAACCATCTTTGTGTACATATGGTACAGTCTAAATACAATTAAAGTGGCAGCAAAGGAAATTGGCGTGTGAAAGAAAGCACTTGCATTGAATATTGTATGCAATGAAAAATTTATCAGTTTGCTGTAAAAAATAGACTATCTTTACTCACTGGTAAACGAAGACAAGTTAAATACTAATGTGGCAAGCTTAAATGCTGTTATTTATTTTGTTCAGATGGTCTCAACCATCCTGAAACTGCACGTTATTAATTGTTCAACTTAAGCAGACAAGTTGAGCAAGTTTTACGACTTTTATCGTAAAATACTACAGTTGCTAAGTTCATGCCAAATGTCTAATAAAAATACAACAAAAGAATGACAGCAATAAGAGAACAATCTGATTCAAATGTATTTTGACCTAATGAGATGACTTGTAGTGATATTCTTATAACTGTTATGACGCTGTAAAACCCACATTAATCTAATATTATTTGCTCATTTTTCCTGATAATTGTCTCCGTTGCACATTGCTTAGCCCAGTTTCATCTCTATTCACAATTACATATTTGTTTTAAAAATCGTTCATCGTGCATGAAATACTGCTCTAAATAAAAGTAGAACTGCATGTTTCGAAAATCACATTTCTTTTGACAACGTTTTAATGTTAGTTTCTTCTTTAAAGCTGCCAATTATCAGGTGAATAGTTGCGACATCAAAAATATTGAATTTTATTACATGGGATGCTATATTTTCTGTTGCAAATCACATCAAATTTCATTGCATTTATATAATTTCCAATGATCAGATCTCCAATTATTAGTTGTTATATGTCATTGTTGTAGACAACGTGTGTAACAGTGTCGCTTTAAAACCATTCACGACGTTTTCAAACCGTTTAGCACTTCATTGGAACACCTTATTTTGAAATTAAGCCATCGACCAAACATTATTGTAAGTCTGCGCAAGTTTTGACTTCTCGCCAATGAAAAGAAACACCTTAAAATCAATGTGTACGAGATGACAAAGTTTGTGGAAACATGTCATATCTTCGCATAAACAATTCATGGCAAACATACAAGAGCAGATGTGTATTAACAAAAAACAATTTATTTTCAAAGCAAGATATGGTTGGAGTGTATGTTTTGACGGTCAGTTTTGTATCAAAGCAATAATGGTGCGGTTTTATCGTCCAGAAACATGCCAGTTGCGAATGACTCAAGCTTTTGTCAGATCTTAACTTGCAATTGATGATTCCCACAGGATGATTTGCACAAATTAGCATTGAAAACAATGTGTTTTTATTTCACAGAAAATATCGTCATTCGTGAAAGACTGAAGTATCTTACGGCAAAGACGACAGCAAAGAAGACAAGACGAAAAGCGCGAACATGCTTCACTAATCAGCAAATTTACGAACTAGAAAGACGTTTCATCTATCAAAAATATCTTTCCCCACAAGATAGAGATGAGCTGTCTGATATGCTGAATCTCTCCAATGCGCAAGTCATTACGTGGTTTCAAAATCGCCGCGCAAAACTGAAACGTGATATTGAAGAAATGCGCAATGATCTTGCCGCAACAAGAACACTACAAGCAACGCAAACAGTCTGCACGGAATTGCATTGTCGATATACGGACTGTAGATGAAATGTGCTCAGTGATACTCTCTCATGAACAAGTAAAACACATCCATAGTTCTGTAGGTCTTAAAATGAAGCGCAAGTTACATTTAATAGCTCCAGGAAAGCTTTCACAGTAATATAAAAAACGTTGTAAAAACATTTATCATAAAGGCATACATTATAAAGACGTTCATTTCTTAGATTTCAACATTTGTATTTGATGTTCATGTATGCATGCGCATTTAAAAGATGGGAATATGAAATCAGCGGTTTTATCGTTGCGAAATATGAACTCATCATTACAGGTAAAAATAAATTGACAAAATTAATGCTACGATAGCTCAGCCGACAAGTTATGGAAAATTTGTCTGAAAATGTCGTTTGTTTTGGCTGTTAGACTTGTTATCGACTTCACAAATTGGTCATTTGGAATTAGCAATCCTTTGACAAATAACTTCACATTTAACAGCAATGTAGCTAATGTGCCAATTTTTCTATTGAAAATCTTCACATTTTGATTCATAATGTGGCATCCTGTAAATCCAGAGTGATCACAACTGGGATATGTTTTATAAATGCAATTATATCTCACAAGACGCACAACTGATCTCCTCTTTCTTTCATTTATTCACACTTATCAATGAACACACCTTTTCCTCCCGAAACACTTATTTGAAATGTAAAAAGTTTGTGAATCGTCTTATAACAATAAATTGTGAACGTTGACAATATAGAAAGTTTTAACCAGGCAGTTGGCTGCAATAACCAGACAATTAACAATATTTTGGCTGTTCTCTAAATCCTATATTTACATTTGAAAAGGTGGGAAAATTTTTGGCAGATTATCAGCAGAAATGTGAGATACCTTGCTCTCAAACTACACAGTAAAATTTTATTGTTTGTTTGTGATTTAAAAACAGCAAAACTTCACAGCAAGAACGTTTAATTTCGCCATCCTATTTCGCTCCAGTCCCTCCACTAAAGTGACTCTGCACTTATGAATCCCACATGACAAATATTCTAGCTAGTTCATTTGACATATTTATAAGATATCGTGCATATAAAAAGATATCACGATAACAAGACGCGCTATGCATAAGACTAATTTCTTTTCACATAATACGTGCTGTTAATGTAGACGAGGTTAATATCGCATTTTCTAACCATTCACATGTCTGTTTTGATGCTTTTAACTCAAATTTACGTGGCATCCATAGAGTCATCATGTGCATATATTGTATTGAAAAGAGAACGTGTTTAAAAATAGCGAGATCATCACAAGATTTTTTTTATTACAGCTAATCACATAGTATAAACCGTTTATGGCATAAAATATTTTTACTGATATCTCAAACTACAACATGTGCACACATATAGCTACTGAGAAGCCATATTGAAGAAGAACATCTGGATTACTGCTTCAAAACAATTTGGAATGGGCAGTACCAAAATTTTCATTAAACTATTGTTAATACTGTCAATATCAGTATTAAATGATTAAATTCAACATGTTTTCAAAAGAAAGGATTTTCAACAGGGAACGGGATGGAATGCATCGTTGAAAAGCATCTCTGATACGTTTGATATATTTAATCATCTATAAACATGTTTGCATCATATATATTCATGTCAACGTTATGTAAACATGAGTTATAACATACAGATGTGAGCTAACTGAGCCTTGACGTCTTTCGATGACAAAGTTTGCGTTCCTGGCGCCACTTTCTGTGAGTGATATTACATTGATAAGTATGTGTACACGACTGCAATTTAACATAGCAAGACACTTATTAGAAGATTATCCATGAGGATATTGTTATTGTTGAATATTGTTTAACATCACCAATCGTCGTTTTTATCTGTTCAAATGAAGCCAATTTGATCAAATTATCAGATTCATTGTGGTATAAATAAAAAATAAAATGTTGTTGAAAAATACAAAGATATAGTTTCGTATCTTTTCTTCAAATGCCGACTAAAGGCGCCTAGATTCTAAACTTCTTTTCATACCATCTTTATCTAGTGCTTATCAACAACACACAAGGAACACACTTTGCATTTTAATGCGTATAGTTGATTGCCTTATTAATGGATACCAATCAACATCACATTATCAGTGAAGGCAAAATTCATAACGTTATCTTCAAAACTTGAAAATATAGTTTAGTCAACGCAGGCGATAGCAAGAATGTATAGAAAACAAAATTTTCTTCTTAGAAACAATGTTGGAAGATTGAATCAGAATTATCATGATTCAAAATGTTCAATATAATTATTATTTTTCAACTCCTGTAGTCAACTCAATGAAATGCTCTATAGCTAATTCCACATCAGCACACTGACGAAATGTATTTCGACCACTTGATTAATAACAAACACTTTGCCTAAGAACGATAACCTCAAGCGCACAACTTGACATTTGGCACAGAAGTAGGTATACGTTTTATGTGATGTATTTCTACCACCCAAGCGCAATGCAAATCTATTCACAAAGATAGTAGAGCAACACAGTTAAAAAATAAGCATCACATTATAACTTAAGTTTCCTGTAAGTTATTCTGTTATTAAATGAATAATAACAAACTCAGAGGACATGATTGCAAAATTTTATTCCAATTTCTTCTATTTAGCACACAAAGGGTGGATTCCAGCCATCAATTTAGTTGGTTAGATTCATTTAAAAAACTGTGGAAAGTTAGTGACGTCGAAGAATAAAAGAATTTCTTTGCATGTTCGTATATCGTGCATTGCATTAAACCTGTCGTGCTCCACCAGATAACTAAAAAGCCAAGATGGAGGAAAAACCATAACATTGTTTATCTGGTTAATTCCACTAATACCTCTTAGCTAATTAATTTCAAATGCGACATTAATTGAAAAGTACTTGCACAAGTACCGCCTAGTTGAATGATATCCTTTGCTCTTTAATAACTTGGCCAGTAACATATTCTGCGCTCATAAAAATACGACAGCCAAACGCACACATACCTAAGACTAGTTGAATGACACACACGTTACAAAGAAAAACAGGTGACCATCCGGTCAACGGATTTTCATAGCTAAAAGGAAATTTTGGAGCTAAAGTCTCATGAAACGCTACATATGTTTACGATAAGAAAAACGCCCGGAAATTACCACAAAAAAAAATAATGAAATTAATGAATGGAATGATGAAATTTATATGGAATTGTTGCAAAGTACTTTCTAGGAAGATTCTTTGGTTGTATAAGTTTCAAAAGGAGTGAGATGAAGTTATAAGGGAGAACATTTTCCATGGAGTTTTCGAAATAAACTTCTATCAAAACGTAAGTGTTACTCGAATGACAAAATATACAGGATTGGTGAGACATGATGTTTTAATCCACAAAGCATTCTTTTCACGAAGACGAATGATCAATAAACTATTGACAAACATTCGTAAATCATAACCAACAAAGAAGAGAAGTGAATGAATCCAAGATGATTTTTTCTGGTGTGGGCGGAAGGGTTCAGTTTCGATTACATTTCTGTGTCTGCTTGTTGCCGTAACATATCAGTCTTTTTTGTTAAATTCTGTAACCTTTTTACAATGATTAAAAACTAATCACAGTTACTTTTATTTTTGCTTTTTGTTTTTGATACATGAATACAAATTAAATGGGAATCAGAAAAGAGATAAAATAAATGTATTAAACACTTCAAGGTTGATTCAAATAATGAGTCAATTGTCAATTATGCCAGAATGACATCTGTTCTATCAACCTTATAATAATCTATTTCTATTCCGGGATTACATTTTTTTTCGTCTCGAAAAGAAAGGCAGTTCATGGAAGATTTTTTTCATTTTTAAACAACATGTTGAGTTAAAGCTTTGAAAGCCCACGGAAAAACAATTAAAAACCGTAAGTCTTCTTCCCTAATGGGAAGAACTTGAACTTGACTGTTCGCTGTTGCTGACCGAAAACACTGCAGACTCAAGAAAGGTATATCAATATACCACAAACCATAATACAAACACAAACATGAATGAATTTCATGCTCGGTTTAAACAACTTTTCCTTTATCCAAAAATCATGGTATTCACAGTATATAGCCTTACTTTTAATGCATTTCAATCTCAATCACCGTTAGCTGATTGTGTATTTGAACCTGTTATCTGGATAGTTGATCATTTTACTGGTATGCTTGGAAGGGTAAGATTTACAAACATTACTTAAATACTGAAACCTCTGTTGATATCGTATCCCGTATTTTCAACGGGACTTTTCATATTCATCTCTGATGTTGTAATCATTATTTAGGCACTGGTTATTCTTGTAGTTCTCCTAACATCAACTGTTGTTGTTATATTTTATACAAATGTCATACCAATTGTGCTGGAGTATGAAAATGTGGTTCTTAGTGCCTGTCATTTAATATTTGGTCATTGGTTATTGTTGAATATTGTATTTCATTATTATAAAGCAGTTCTCACCAACCCGGGCCATCCAGCAACAGTAAGTCATGCCAATTTAGTAATTCAGAACACTCAACATGTTACCATGTGAAGTATTCTAGAATTTAGCATTGACTGTAGGTTGTATATTGTAAATAGTGAGATGTACTAATGAAAACATTTCACTTTCATAACACCTTCTATCTCATTCCACGTTTATAACCCTGAAAAATAATTCCATTTTCTCAATAAGTTCATTAATGTTTACCCTTAACATCACCTAATGTATGTATGTATGTATGTATCATGTAAAATTGCATCCTTCCCCGCCTTCCATGACATAAACAAACCCAACAAGACTGCATGGAATTAATAGAGCAATGAAATCCAACTTCATAAACTTTATCTTAATCTATTGATGGAATATGCAGATCATCATAGTTGATAACTGATGTAATATTTCAGGGAGGAAAAGTTGCTGCACTGAAAGATATACAAGTTTGTACAAAATGTAAGACTTACAAATAAAATGCAACAGCTACAATTAATTATTTCATCTTCATTTCAGTAAATTTCTTCAATATTTTTGTTTAAGGTATGGAAGTTAAACCACCAAGAACTCATCATTGTAGTATATGTAAAAAGTATGTCAAATTTCCTATTTCCTTGGTTTACTATCGCACAGTCATTTTCTTTGTCATTTCTTAAAGAACAACAATACCAACACATTTGCTATACTGATCAGTCCTCAAGTTCTCCCAAATATGCCAAATTTTGTGCACATCACAGTAAACATCTTTTATTTTCTCAATTCCAACACAGGTGTGTTTTAAAGATGGATCACCATTGTCGTATCCTTTGTTGATTACGGTCGCCAGCCCCTTTTGACATATTTGTTATGTTTATGTATGAATTTAGGCAAAAATATAATTTTCTGAAAGGTAAGTCATGTGACAGCAAAGACGCTAAAAAGTTTGATCATCCTCAATTGTAGCTGTTAATCTTTGCACTGTAAACAAATTTCCAGAAAATCACAGGTCAAAATGATAATGTATTATCAAAAAGCTAACAATCTGATCTCATGCATGGCACTCTTCAATTTTCTTGTAACATCTTTAGTAAAACTTCTCCTCGCGAAATAATCACAATTTTAGTGTTTACCGTAGCAGGTGACCCCGTGTAAAATTTTAACATGATTCCCATTGTGGTCACCTTCTTGTAAAATGAACAAAAATACATTCATTTATGAAACAGTTTTTAGTCCTTAATGTTAACGTTTTAGCGTGGATAAATAATTGCGTTGGACATTTCAACCATCGTTATTTCTTTTTATTTTGCGTCTACATGTGTCTTGGGACGATATATGTTTCACTGACATTACTGCCAACATTTTTTGATCACATAAATTTCATCGCTAGAGACGTAAGTTTGCCTCTTTTAAAATGTATTGTTGTTAATATTTGTAATGATTCCAGGTATAAAATATCACGAAATATTCGCCTTGTTTCTCGTATTTGCGATGAATACGTCATGATTACGTCATTGTTGGCTTGATGAAGCAATTTTGTTTGAATGCATTTACTTCAGTTGATTGTAATGTATTGCATTTGTTGATCATGGCAAATGTAATTTATTTACAGACACTTTTAGATTATTAAGAGCTACATTGTTGGAAATAGTTCAATTCCATCCAAAGGACAAAACAAATATTTGCTAAGACCAAAAGTAAGTGTGGTTTTGTATTTTTATTATATTTTACTCCATCTTTCATCTTCTTCTTTTCTTTCATACATAGCTCTACTCCCCGACAATCTTCTTGCCCTCTTTGTTATTTCAAAATGTTTTAAGTTATTTCGAGAGAATGTCTTGCACCAAGCACTACAAACCAAACCTTGACTTCCACACGACATTTGAAAGAAAACGAAATCAGTTTAACGTTGCAAGACAATGTTTAAAAAATTTATTGAAATGTTCCTCATCTCATGCTTTCTGTCATCTTTTCTTGCTAGGTTGTTGAAAACAAAGAAGAAGACAGAGAAAGTATTAAAAGTGCTGTTGTATTTGAATTTATGCTATGTTCGTGTGTTGCTCTTGCTGTCGGCGCCCTGGCTGGCTGGCATTTTTGGTTGATATGCAATGGAGAAACGTCTATTGAAGTGTACATCAATAAAAAGAACAGAAAGAAAGCAAAACAGGAGGGCAAAGTATGGATAGTTCATTTTGTCGTTATATATTTTGACCTGAAAGAATGTTTAGCAAATCATTAAGGTTGTTATTTTGATGCCTTAAAAAATATGTTGTAGTATAATTGTCTTTGTGAGGTCACATTATTGTTGGCCTTTCTGATTGGTGATAAAATTGTTTGTTTGCCATTCTCGTCAGTGAATGAAATGAAACAATTTTGGTTGTGAAGAGACATTGTTAATATTTTAAAACACGTTGCTAACTTTTTGTACTTTTTTTAGAAATACGTCAATCCTTATAATTATGGTCTTATACGTAATTGCAAGATGGTGTTTGGTCTTGGTCGTTCAAGGTATATGAACTGTGGTATTTACATTGATTTATAACCACGTGTTTATTATGAGCTTTGAGTGTATACAATTGATTATTTTGACCTAGGATCTTGTATGGACAGTAGTTTGTATGCAAGCGGTATGCACCATTCATTCACAACTCAGTCAAATGTAATTCTTGAAACATTTAAAACATGGAACAGAATCTTCACTTGAAAAACTATCCAAAGAGGGAATTCCCTCAGTTTCCTACACTGGCTGAGTGGCAAATCAATGGTGTATAGTGCTTACACCGAAACCACTAGGAATGATCTTTTAGTATGCAGTGTTTGTTGGCTTTATTTAGCAGGATGATTTTTCACTCTTGCGCATTCAACTGATTTAATAATTTAGTTCATTTTCGTCCATCTGCCTGACTAAAACTTCAACCATATCTTTCTTCTAAGGGGATTATTGTCTATTTTGTTGCCATCATCACATCCGCCACATGGCGATGGTGTTACCTGGCCACTGCGGGAACTTCCCAATGCAGAAAATAGTTATGCTGTGAATAACGACAAAGCTATATTCATGGCATGAAGTGAACGATCAATAACTGAACTAGCAAGATCGTCTAAGGTCTGACAAAGAAATGTATCATTTATGCATGACATTTATGCGTTCGAATGGTATTGAAATCACAACGAAAAAGAACGATCCAGTTGAACAAATGGAAAGATTATAGACAACACGTGATTTGTCCATTTCAGTGTGTTTGTTTCGACTCCATGGAAACGTAAAAGAAAAGTTTGAACAATACAAATTTTGAATTACTCATTGGACATCAGAACAGTACAATGGATTATTGAATTTATACAATTTTAATAAAAAACATGAATTTCGTGATCGATGTTATAAATTCTGTGTATTATACTTCTTGGGATTTTTCTGTTGCAATAATCTTTTCGACCATCGACAGTGCCATTTCTGGAGCATCAAGTGGTACCATGTGACCAGCTTTGAGGATAGTGTAAAAATGAAAATTTTCGTATTCCTTAACGAACGCACCGGTGTTTTTTGTTTCTTTCTGCGATGGCGGATATAGTGGGACTCTTTTGACGGTGTTGTACGCTTTAAGTCCGGTCCAATCCAGTTTGTTAACCCCACGAGAAGGCTCGTGTTGATCAGTTGCGACACCTCCTTAATGGTTGCTCTCATAAAATCATTACTTTGTTTTGAAAATACCATTATGGACTGTCCACCCCATGTGACGTCATCAGGTATGATGCCTAACTTCTTTCGTATTGGTCCGTTCATGAAGTCTGAAAGTTGTTGTTGTTGAAACTTCTTGACAAGTAGAGCGTATGGTATTTCGAGGTTTTTATCTTTCAAGCCTTTGGTGAGAATTTTCTGAAACGGCTCTTGCACATTATGTTGCAGTACATTATACACGTTAACACCGTCAGTTTTATCCGAGATTACTGCTTCTAAAGTTGACCAAAGTTGCGTTGCCTTACCGTATTCGCCAGCATTAACCGCCTCTTCTGTTTGTTTTGCCAAGTCGTTGACTTTTTTCAGGTCCATCTGATCTAAGAGCGAAAAGGAATACAAATAGGAACCCCAAGACATAACGGTGTCAACTGGGGAAATCCACGAGTCTCCTAAGGCAACGCCTTTAAAAACCACTTTGATTTCTCCTTTCTTAATCGAGTCATGAAGCGCAACTCCGAAGGCCGAAGTCATTTTTCCACCGTATGATTCGCAGAAAATATAAAATGGAATGTTTTTAAAAACAGGCATGTCTTCCAGAAACGATTTAAACATGGTTAAAAGATCAGCAGCTATACCTGTAAGAACGAAAATATTATTTAAAAATTTGTCATGTTTTGTTGCAAAAAAGTTTTCCTACAAGAAACATTTTTCAATTCATACATTTAGATCTTCAAAACCCTAGCTAGGAACATAATTCTGCGTGAACATATCAACACATAAAGATCTTCCCAGTCACGTTACCTGAGACGTTAGTCGTGTATGCACTGTCTTCAGTGACGTAACTAAATCCTGTTCCAACCGGATTATCAACAAACAGGACATTAGCAGCTTTCAACCAAGTGTAATTTCTTGTGTTGCCATGAATGTCCAATGGACCAATCTCTTCAAAATTACCAAATCCGGTGCCAGAAGAACCTGGTCCACCCTGAATCCACATTATTAAAGGCTTTGACAAACGAGCGTCAGGGCTTACTGTCTGAGCGCCATAAAACCACCAAAACATATATGCATTTTTACGTACATTGACGTACGACCATTTTTCATCTGGGATACTTTGATTTGCGGCTAATACCAAAGAGGCGAAAATACATAACAATGAAAAAATCATTCTCAAACGATACATTTAATTCTTGATTTGTATTCAGTTGGTAATTCCCTTGACAAGTGACACTGCTTTTGTGCGATATGAAATAGGAAACGGATTTTCGTAATGGACCAATCATATCATATTTCAGATAATTCTATTAGCAATCAATCAGCTGATAAAAAAATTCATGCAATTCAACAAACTCAGGTGGTTGTAAAATAGAGTTTAAAGTCCATAAAAGTAGAATTTATTTTATGTATAATGCATGTCCAATGTACACTCAAATCATAAATGCTACTGAGCCTTTTTATTACAAGAGTTTTAAATTCTGGAGTGGTGCAGTTTGCATTGGCTGACCGTAGTTTAATTTTTGATGGCAGAAAACCACCTTCTGATCAGCTCGCGTCTGATGAGTTCTTGTCATGAAGCATATTTCAACGAAGAAAATTCTTGAAAGAATGTCTTCTAGCACAATCATTTTCCATGATGTAAAAGTTCCTTCAATCATATATTTCCAAAAAACAAAATTCCCTCCACTCCGAACTATTGAAATCGTAGCAGTTATTCGTGAAATCTAGCGTCACCACATCAAGTTCCCTACCCTTAGTTTTCATATGTTCGTTGAATTGACGAACTTGATAACTATTTATAATCCAACAGTGGAAGAGTTGCAACCATTTCAACTTTGGGCAAAACTCTCCTATAGCATTCATAGATTTCCAAGTAATGTTATCATAACATGAAATTGTCAGCTTTTCGAGCTGAGAACCAGTGGAACTTCGAAGAACGTCAAGCAGCGTTTCCTCATCAATGGGAACTGATATCAAAGAAAGCTCGTGAAGTTGCGAATGTGAAACGAGTAGTTGACGTATAATTTCTTGCTTTTCTTCAAGAGAGACGTCCTTGAATTTAGTAAAATCTAGTTGGATTGATTGCAGCGTTGGAACAAAATCACTTAATATGATCGTATTCGCGCCAGGATTTGATGTGGAAAGAATTGGCTGAACTATTAAACAACCACGTAAAATGATTCGAGACAAAACGTTATGTTTTTGAGGTGAAAAGTTCAACATGTATAAACTTATGGGACCAGTTAGCTGAAGAGATTGAAGTTGTCGAGTCATCAACTTTGGAAGATTAAATACGTACATGGATTTTCCGACCTTGCAATCATCAGACTTGCTGAGTTCAAGATGTTTAAGCTCACTATGCTTTGCTAATTCTTCCTCCAATAACTTAACATCATCATTTCTAATGCAAGAAGATATGTCTAACTTTAAATGAAGAATATTTGTACAGACTTGAACCACATGCAACAGCTCATTGTACGGCGTACGAAGCATGTCCAAGAACTTCAAATTACAAGAAGAGATGTTATCTTTTCGACGTAGAGTGCAAGAGTCTACGTCTCTTATGTTTTGGAAAGATAAAGAAACAAGAGAGGGAATACTATTTAGTAGAAACCACAGAGTTTTTGTTGTAACATTTGTCGATGATAAATTCAGATTAGCGATTATTGATGGTTCTACAAATGCCTCTGCTTGCTGAACTAGACTTTCAATGGTGTCGTCCACAACATGAGAGCAGGATTCCAAGTACAAATTTTTCAAATTGCAACAATTTCTGACAAACCCTACGATGCATTGCGATGAAACCCCATTGCAACCACGAAGATTCAAACTAACTAGGTTCTGTAATTAATACTTATATGTTAAGATTGTGCATGTTAGTTAAATGTGTATGTCTATTCGTTTATACGCAAAGAATCTATTACGTAACAAACAAATTTTCGTAATAACCAAATTTTTCCATTCTCATTTTAAAAGAGGTTCACAGCAAGTTTTCATCACTGTGGTATTGCTGACAAATGTTTAGTTTCTCACTTTTGCCACTTTAGATCTTAGAATAATTGGGAGGGGAGATATCCTCCTGCCTCCCCACCTCTTTAACTGACCCTTGGTAGGCACAGATCAAATAATTATAAAGATAAAATTTATACTTTCAATTTTCGAATATTTCATTCATCACCAGCTAAATTTTGGAATTTTTTAGTTTGAAAAATGTGTTGCAATCATTTTATGTAAGATTAAATTATTATTTTAACTAAGAAAAAACTATTGATAATGCAGATTTAATAAATACGACAAGTTTGTTCAAAATGAACATGTTTCAACATCTCATGATGCCATCTTCCGTAGAATAAGGAGTTTATGTATGTGATGAATTTACATAGATTTATATTACTACTATATAAAGTTATCATGTTGATAATATTGCCTATTACACTGAAGATGGCATCATGAGATGTTGAAACATGCTCATTTTAAAAAAACTTGTCATATTCATTAAAATGTAAATTATTATTATTGTGATTGTACTAAGCTCGTTAAGCACAATACCTTGCATGACATTTGTTGTAAAACATCATCTGTTAGAAACGTTGAATATTTACCAATGCATAAAATTGTCATCTTCTCATGGATGAGTGTAGACAAAAATTTAGACGTTAAAATCCCTTGACTTTCTGCCATGCTCAAAATGAAATGCACAGTTTCATCGGCTATAGAATAAGAAAAAGATAGCAAAGTTGGTGTGCTGTTGCTTGCTACAAGGTGGGCGATGCTAAGACAGTGAATTAAAACACCACGTGGTAATTTTTAAACAAAATTTTAAATTTCAACATTTCAACTATTTTAACTTTCGAGAAATAATACGGATAAATTTACTCACGTAAAAGCGATAAATCTGCTGGGAAGATACTGTTGTTTTTATTTTCATGATCTACACACCATATCGATATTGTTTTGGCCAAAACATTTGAGCACAAATTTTTCAGTCGAAATTTTAAAAATTCCGCCATATTGTTGTCCAAGGTCAATATTGTTCAATATTGTTCAACCCTTGGGATAAATGAGTACAATCGCTACCATTTATTTACTGAAATAAACCAAAAGGTAAAACATAAACACAGGACTTGTGCGTACAAATATTTTATTTTTTTAATGCTTTAATTTTTTTATGTCTTCATGGAGCTTTTTAGTTTAAAACGTATTTGTCTAGACTCTGTTTCAAACCATTTGTCCATGTGGTGTGAAAGTGCCAAAACCGAAGATTTTTTCAAGTATATGTATGTTATCGGTCCCTTTAATGATGTAGGTAGGTATTATTTTGAATATTGGCAAATTTCAGTAATAGTTAATGCTGTTAACAGTAACACCATGAAGGCAGAGAGTGTTGTCTTTTTAATGGTAAACAAAAAGTCATTGATTTTTATATTTTTTGAAAGTATTTATGTTTTGCTGCAAGAATTGCAAAACTTTTGTCCAATTTTTAAAGTTTTATATGTTGGACAATCAGATTTTGTCTACCAGTCAATTGTCTTAAAATGTGTGTGTCACCTTGAAAAATCATGCATTAGTTTCACAGGAATCTGTAGTTCCACATAAACACATTAATCACAATGAAATGACTACATTGCATTTAACTCTCCTCTTGATTGAAAACTACTTGTGAATGAGTAACTAACCCCAAATTAAGTTTCAAATACAAGACTATACTTTTTATTTTCATACTTTATTTATAGCTCCGGATCTCACTCAACAAGTCATTGATTTAGCATACAAAAAACAGTTGTTGAAGATTTGCTATTTTCCTTTGCTCATTCACGAGAACTTCACAAAGCTGGATATCAGCAAATGCCGTTCCATAGTGACAGATCAAGTCTTGAAGCTCATTTCCTCGCGTTGTCAGGTTATACTTTTTGATTATTTCATGATATTTGTAGTAAAGTATGATATTAGCTAGGTATGCATATCCATAATACATAGGTGGCTTGAGTGAGTGTGGAACTTTCATTTGTAATAAATAAATTTATTTCTAGCTAAAATTTATTTTTAATGTATTTCAAAGAGCACATCCAACTGTAAGACAAAATATAGGTAGTATGTATGATTTCTGAAACATTTCATCTTCCATGCCATTTGTTCTCTTAAAGTAGTGTCAAATGAAGAGTTTTGTTAGAAGAAAATGTGAAGTTGACTTGCTTTACCTAGTATGATGCATTTTAATAACTTCTACACATGAAAAGATCATGAAGACATGATTATTGCCCTTTCAAAACGTACTCTGTGTATTTTTCTTTGTGTAAGCTATTATCAATTATTCCATTGATAGTAATTAAGTTTTTCTTATTTCTATATCATTAGAGACTGACATCCTTAAATCTTAACGGCTGCACACGCTTATCAAGTTCAGTTCTTAACGAAACTTTACCAACGTTAGTGAATTTGCAAAGCATTCAACTGTCAAAGTGTCGAGGAGCAACGAACAATCTGCTGTGTAAACTACGAGAAAATTGCTTCAAATTGGAGGAGTTGGTACTAGATTTATGTCCAAAGATAACAAATATTGGAATGGAAAAACTTTTGATGGTGGCGAAAAAAAATGTGTGTCTTAATTTACTCCATTTGAGCGTCTCTTCAACTTCAATTACAACAAAATCATTGTCTATTATACTGTCAAAACTACCGAAACTTAGAAGGCTTGGTTTTTCCGATATAGCGAAGGATGAAAGTTTGATTTTTGACCACTTTCCTGATTATCCTAATCTTGTTGAGCTGAACATCTTTGCTACCTATCTCGAAAATTCTGATCTTTCACTTATGTTGGATAGATTGCCGAACCTCGTTAAGTTTAAGTCCAATATGACAGACAATGTAGGTAGAATTTTAAAAAATTCATTAATCCATTTAGGAAATATAATTTCACTCGACCTCAGTGGGTCCACTCTTCGGTTTGACGATTTTGTCGTCTTCCTTAAGAGAAGAGGTGGTCAGTTGATGTATTTGAACCTTTCAGAAATACGGAGCGTCAGTTTATTTTTATTGTGCTTGTTCTGTCGTTCATTAAAAGAACTTATTCTTGAGCATTGTGAAAATGTTGATCCATCTTTGCCATCGAATGATTCATTAGCGTTGGATTACAGAGATAATTTGACCAAATCTGGTGGTGATTATTTGCTAAGTCATTTCTGTCCTGAATTATCACATATCAATTTCAATTTTATGACTATCGACGAAAATATTGCAGTGGAGATGCTAAAACATATTGCTTGTGCTATTTTTTGCAATCACTCCCAGCTCATCACGCTGTCTTTGAAAAAAATTCAACATGAATTAATCGATGACGAGGTTTTGGAGCAAATCAGCGCAAGTTCTACAAATGCATGTTTGAGAACGTTAGACCTTAGCTGTTGTGATGGCGTTTCTGCTGATATGTTGTGGATGATAGTAGAAAATTATCATTTACTACGTTTTCTTGATGTAAGTCATTGTAAATTAATTGATATTGCTACTGTTTCACAACTAAGGAAGGAATTGAAGAGGAGTAATCGTCCACTTCAAGTTATTTGGGCTTAATTCCTAGAAAAGTTTAATACATGATGGACGCATAATGAACACGTGATGGACACATAATAGACACATGGATACATGATGGACACATAATGGATACATAATGGACACATAATGGATACATGATGGACACATAATGGTACATGATGTACACATAATGGATACATGATAGACACGTAATGAATACATGATGGACACGTAATAAGTACATGATGAACGCATAATGAATACATGATGGACACATGATGAATACATGATAGACACATGGTGAGGCAATAATGGATACGTGGTGGTGAACACATAAGTACGTGATGGACACAAGATGGCCAATGACAATGACAGTTCTTTGACAATATGTGATGATTTCAACGATAGTTTTTTAAATACTTGCTTGCTTGAAAAGATTTTATTGCATGAAAGAACGTCTATTTGCACGTGATTATGCCACGAGCTATTATTTAATATCTCATTAATTGAGTTTCTAATTCAAATGTTTTCAACATTGGTTATGAAATCGAATCAGAATAATAACATTGTTCATCACAACAACATTCTTGTATTCTGCTGAGCAAATAATTAAGTTATTAACATTTTCATTTCTTTAGAAATCTATTGTTATGATATGTAGGGGAGCACAGAAATACTTGCATGTTAACTGCCGGCAAATCAAGATTTGCACGAATTGTCACATTTTTGATTTGTTTGGTTAAAAACCTGGCTGTCACAAAATGTTTCGATGTTTAATTAACATTTAAATAAACGAGTTCTACAGACAGCAAATCGTGACAAATGGTTTCTATCTCAGTTCTGCTGTCACAGTGATTAATCTCACCAAGTGACATCTCAAACTCCTGGGAATAAAGCAACCACAAAGCACCGGGAGTAAGGCCTCTTATTTTAACGAAAAATGTTCCTCATTTGAGTTATGTGAAAAGTTATAATAATAGTAGTTAATCGTTTAGATTGTTTCCAAAATCCGAATTACTTAAACAGGTAAAATATCTGGTTCTTGTGTGAATAGCATTCTTAATATTTCTATCATATGACGTTATACATTTATTGAATAAGTTTGAATATTATATTAGGCAAGAATATATTTATTAGTTAACCAGCATTTGATACTGCAGTTTTGTATACGTTGTGTTCAATCATATATGTCCATATGTATATATATATATTTATAATACAACTACAATGCTTCGCTCAACAGTATTTATATGACTGGCAATGACAATGATCTCGCTCATTTTGATAATGATTTTGCCTTTGGGGTAACATATTTCACCGCCCTTATTGTTTCACAAAGTACTTGTAATACGTACGTCAAAGCCGGCTTAGCTTTCAGTGTATTTGGCAACCGTTGAGATTGACAGAGGTCACAAAGTAACTTGGTCAATGTAACTTCAAGTTTTTCTACGAGTAAACCAAAAAATTGCTGCTTTGGTTTTGTTCACTGTATTCAAGGTAACGATTACATTTTGTGATATATTTCCAGAATAACAATTATACTTATAAAGTATTCGTTTGGAAAGCGATGCTGTTGATCAAGATACATGATCTAAGAGACTCTGTAGGCAACATATGGCAGACTTGAACTGAAGCATAAATCAGACTTGTTACCAACTGTCGTTGATGATGTATACCTCATATTGTTTAACTGTAATCTTTTAAGCTTTGCTTGTTGAATCAAACGTCTAGTTCATAATGACATTTAACGTACATGCGACAAGACTAAAATTTGTAATCAATTTGTGAGAACTCAACGTATAACAAGTGATGAATCGTCATGTAAATTGTCTGTTGAGTATATATATGCATGATGAATACCTTATGTTACAATCATTAATGATAGATTTGACCTTTAAAGTCACATCTGATCTTGCTGAGTATATTACAACAATATTGTGGATATTTTGGAGCCGTAAAATTTACATTATTCGGTTTTATGAAGCTTATGCTAATGTTGATCCTCATTATAACTAATAAAAATTACCATTCGACTAATCATTGAATAGAAATGTGAACTTCTTTATTTCCTAATAAAATACAGCTAAAATAATATATTATATTCCTTCGAACTAACAGCTGCTCGCCATGTTTTGTAGTCCAACAATTAGAAACAAACACTTTTTTTTTATCTCCGGTTTTATGTGTGCATCCTTTGAAATATTTTAGTTAAAGTTGCTGACGCAAAAATTCCTTTGTAGTGGATTTCCTACAACGAGACAATGTTTTATCGGTCTAGTTTTCCCTTCGTGGGTTTAAGACATACGTTGAGTTGAAAATATCAATTGTAGTGTTTGCCTTAGCTCTGATAACATATTGCACTTGACGCTCTCTCTCTCTTAATCACTCAGTTGGAATTTGATAATTGGGTAGATTGAAATTGTTTGTAGCATAGTTGTAATGGTTGCACGTATTCAACCTTTTCTTTCTCCTTAACAATTTTCCAAACGAATGCTCCTGATTATTGGTTGAAACGTTTTCATCATGGGGTCTAAGTCAGGAAAACGATAGAATTTGTACATGTACATGGATATGCAAGTTTTCTTTGTTTTGTATGAACGAAGTACTTTCAGAAAAATTAGGAAAATATATTTTGTGACAAAAATTCTCAAAAATGCAACTGCATGGTGATTTCGGTAATTATTGATAACATTATGAAAACATATTTCTCTCCTTTGTTTTCCTTTAACCACTGTGTCTGGAAGCGACTCGTTAATTTATCAATTCAAAAAGCACAATCTTAAAGATTTTTGGAATGGGGAAGCTACGTTTAATCTAGCTTTGATTAAGTTCTATCTTACGTATTTAAAATTCTTATTTCGCTTAACAGTGCACATTGTATGCATTGATTTTAAGACATTGCCATCGCACGAAAATATTGCTGTTTTGTATACATCTATAATTTGGTATGTTTTTTGTTTAAAATTCAACACTTCAATTCTATATGCCTCAAATGTTTTCAGATCTACTGTGTAAGAAGTAAAAGTATAATAAAAAGAAGGAAGTTCGTGATTTCGTGACTGCTGCATAAAATATAGTCTTAGCTACGTGTAAAGATTCTTTCTTCACTTGCTTCAGTTATTGTTCATCAATTCATTTTTTTAGTCAAATTATCTCATGCGGTGAACTGTTAACTAGTCATTTAGCTTAAAATAGTCTAACATCAAATATTAAACAAAAACACGTATATTTACTGTGACATGCAATTGCAAAAGCTGCATATTTTTGCTCCTCTCGAGCACCACTGTGTCCCTAGTTCTTTATTTCCCCTGCATCATCTCATTGTGAAGTGAATCACAGACATGAATAAAGGATATGGTTTGAATTTAGCAGTAGCTATGATATGAAGTTTGTGAGAGTTGATCGTTCTGTCTGTGCAGTTCCGAGAAAGACCGTTGGTGTTGGTATTGACTGACGTTTCGACATCCTTGGTAGTGGTTGTCGTCAGAGTAATGATCATCAGAGTATGCTTTGCTGGTTTGTGTTTCATATAAGAGTAGCTATGAAAGTAGTTCTTAAGATTACCACGGCTAAACAAAATCATACGTCAGTCACCACAATCATTACTAACAGTCTTTCACAGGACTTCACAAATGTGGACAATTTACACCTACAAATTTTAGAAAAGCTTGAATTCACGTTCATCGTATTGAATATCTACTAAACAACTTATCTAGCAGAATTAAAACTCTACGTGCAACAGTTTAATAAATAATACAAATTTACTAAGTTTGTTTACCTTGCTCTTTTGCTCGGACGTTAAAACTTCTACATACTCATGATATTACGTCAATCATGATCATTACGTCTTCGTGATCATTACTTTTGATTTGAATTCGTCAAAATATTTTTCTATAACGGAAAGGACAACTCAAATTTAGAAACAATGAAGTAATTTCTTATTGAACGCTGATAATTATAATTCATGGTCAAACAGTTCTCTTTAGTTTGTTAACCTGTTTTACTGCATAGTGCACTATATGTTTGTTATGGAATTAATTTCTGATGTCGACAGGGTAAGAGGTTGTAATTTATGAAGTCAGAATGACTCTCAGGTAAATTTTTCAAGCGTTTCTTATAGTCAAGAAGAACAGTTCATGCATATACAACATACTGCGAGAAAAATTTGCTTTATTGAATTTCTTACACGATGTGGGTGTATGCTTGTGGGAGCGTAATTACTTAGATATTATTATATCAATCGTGAAGAAGGGCGAATAACAATCTAAAGCTATTTTCGGAGTAGAGAATTATATAACGAAGTCATATTTTAGACAGATGTTTGTGGGTGTCATGAAACTGAAAAGTGAAAGAAAACATAGTTGAATTTTTTTTGTTCTTCAAGTTGTAGTGCTACCAGGGGCCTAAAAAATGAGGGGATGAAATTTTTGCAATCATTTTCATGATTGGCAAAGTCAGTTGAGGTAAATTCAGTGAATTCAAGTCTTATGCCTCATCCAGGTTCAATTTCGTAACGCTTTGCATTCATGTCTTCCATGGACAGTTACTTAATTTGCGGTCATTGGAATTTCCTGAACTTTTTCATTTTATGATTTTATTTGTATAGTTCAAATTGACTCTGATCATACGTGGATAGCAGGATTGGTTTATGTATGAAATAAAGTAGAATGCGAACATTTGAAACTTCGCAACATGCTTGATGGGGTAAAGAGTAACGCGAAATTTACAACAAGTTATAAATTTAAAGCTCGAGTATATATAATTGACTAATGAAGTTCTAAATAATTATGTTTTTCAAAATTATTTTGATAGCATTTTCCTTGAAGATATAACTTAGACAATAGACAAAACTCACTTTGAACAATTTATGCTATATCCTAAGCCTATAAATGTGTTCCGATTCAATTTTATTTTTGTCATTTATTCGATGGCGCAATTAAGCCGTTTGAAAAGAGATTTCCGTTACATAATTCTCAATAGAAATGATTATTTTTGTGACAACTTACTGTCAGATGAATCATTAGACGTGCAACGACCTATTTCCACCAAAAAATATTCCAAATCTTGGGTGCTGATTAATTTAGTGACGTTTCTTAAGTTGTAAGTAATATGCCCTTTTAAGCGTTTAAATACTTCGAGTCAATTTCCATAATACCTGGAAAAGTTAACTTGTACAGTCGGTATCAATTAATGCTGAAAGCACATTTCATGCGGAATATTCAAATTTCATCAATGTGGGTGACTTTTCCTTGTTAGGAAGTGCAAAACAAAGCTTTTCAGTCTTATATAATTTTTATTTAAATATTCGCGGACCAAAAACACAATGAGTAAAAAATTATAATCACCACCTTTGCTGATGACCGCTTCTTTTACCTTATGTGAACCTAATGGGTAAAAATGCGGAATTAATTATTATAATGAATAAAAATTTTTATTTAATGAGCTTGAAAGCATTGTCCTTGTTGGGGATGAAATTATAATGCATGTATATATAAACACGAAAATTTTTCTCCTTTACCACTTGTGTTGTCTGGGTGGCCAGGAAATCTGATCCTATATAGTGATAAAACATCAATTTGTTTCGTCTCGTTGGCAGTGATAAGCCTGCGTTGAAATTCTTTCCTTTTCTTTGTCGAAAGGCTTGCTGCTGTACATGTTAAATACGTTTGGTGTCATCATGAAGGTTTCGAGAAAATACATGGCCATTGTTCTCTTGGGTAAGTACGATTATTGCCGTTAATATATTGATTTTATATTGATATTATTGGCAATGTCTGCACAACATCCCATGACAAAGTCGTCAATTCAAAAGCATAAGTCAATGTCTTTGTAGCTACATATAAGGTGGAAATTTAAGGTTGAATTTGTCAGTTGTTGATGCAATCGAGTTCATGTTTTTTTCAAACATGCAATAATCCATGCTGTCAGCTACTTCATAATAACATCGCAGAAAATATGTGTCTGATATAAAAATTTGATGATTCAGTACAAAAATTTACCCAAAAATTTATGAGTGATTTTACACTGCTATTTTCATTAAATCAAATTATACTGAAACAATCCAAACATAGAGGAGTGGTATGTTGGATTGTTATGTTAAACTTGATGCATCTTCGCTCACATGATAAAAGTTCTTTTCCCTAAAATTTCCTTCATTCATTTCCAGTAGCATTTTGGGTTTCATATTTCGTTGTATTTTAATGTTGAATTTGTTTCATCTCCACTCACATGACAAATGTTTTTTTTCTTCAAGCATTTCCAGTAGCATTTCCTGTACAATTATTATGTTTATTTTGTCATATCAAACTTGATGTGTATTTGCTCCAATTATAAATGTTCCGTTTCCTGTAGTCCTTTACTTAGGAAGTCTGTCATTTGCTGAATCAGCATATCTTCGAGCGGTTTTCGATATGAATTACGTGAAAGGAGAAGTAAGATTTTATCAAGAAGCAAATAATACTGCTCGAATCTCTCCCAACTTAACTGGTATCCAGTCACCACTATCCTGGAAGATCCACAAATATTCCATGGTATACCGAGGCAACAGCATGCGCAGTTGTAGTCTTAGCAACATTGGCCCGATTTTCCATGCAGGTGGGAATATGTCAAGGATTTGTGCTGTTGGGGATCGGAATTGTACACATGAAAACTCATCCACTAGTGATCTTTTTGATCCACAGCTACGCTTGAATGGTTTACACAGTATTTTTGGTCGATCACTTGTTCTTTACGTAAATGGCTCTATGCCTTGGGCATGCGCATTGATCGATTACAATTACGTAGTCACAGCAGTGACGACATTCCGTAGTCCTGTCTCTGGGATTACGGGAACCGTACGCCTCCGTCAACCTCGGGATCATCCGAACTTAGATACAAGCGTTGAAGTCGACCTATTCTATTCGAACGATATAAAAATGGCAACCTTTAACTGGACGGTGGAGCTTGCAAATAGCACCCTGCCGCAGGATGGAAGACCTTCATTCGAAGCCTCGTCTTGTGAAATATCCACCAAAAAGATAATAGCCGAAAATGTCGAAGTTTCTTTGGCCACTCCTTATCCATCTCCCCAAAAACTCCATTTTAGTACAAGCGGTCTTCCACTAACTGGATCCTTGTCCATAATCGGCCAAACCATAGTTTTAAAACAACATGGCAAACCTGTAGTCTGCGGCTCGATTGTTGAAGTTCTTCCGATAGAAGGTGAAGCAGTTTTTGATGTAATGGGTGTCAACGGATCAATGCATTTCAAGCAGGATTCCGAGCTTGCACCAACTGTTGTCACCGTCAATCTGAAAGGACTTCAAGGCAATGGTTATTCCTATCATGTTCATGTGTACAGAGTGCTCTATATGGCAATCAAACGTCGTGAGAATTATTTAGGAATGTGTGCCAACGGTTTTGTTGGTGGACATTGGAAACCCTATATGACTAAGTCAGCAAAACCTGGTAACGGTATGTGCATTAAGTTTTTTTCTCCTTGTTATTTACAATATCTAACAAGTAAATGTAATATTAATAAATAAATGTAGTTAATGACAAAAAATTAAAGCCAAATTTTTATAACTAGAAAAGCAAACCTCTAACATGAAACAAGTACATGCAGTATTTAACGATTGTATACAATCATGAGCTTGAATTTTGATAATTGAGAACTTTAACTCATCCATAGCTATTATTTGAAGCGATCATTGAGTACTTCTAAACTCAAGTTATATTAACAAATATGCAATGTTACATAACATAAACACAAAAGCTGACACTAAAGACGAAAAAAATGTGCCTTCCATGAGGATGTGCCTTCACTGTCTACTCAATGCAAACATTTAAATAAACAAATTGTTGGATATTATAAATATAAAACATGTATAATTGTGTTTATATGTAGGTACTGTTGACAAGTATGAAGTTGGTGATCTAAGTGGAAAGTATGGTTTGATCGGTGGAAAGAATACAGTTTCATTTTCTCGTAAAGATTACAATTTACCGCTGTTTGGAAGGAACAGCATAATGTTCCGTTCAATTGTGATACATTACGAAAACAGCACACGATGGTTGTGTGCTAATATCAACCCAAAAAACGCCACCTTTCTCTTTAAAGTCAGATCTAATTTTGTTGGACCCGAATTCAATGGCAGTATTGATGTGGTAGGTTGTTTGAAAAATGTCTGCAGTCGTCTTGTTTATAGTTCTATTGATGTTATGAATTCCTATATCTTCCTTCAGGAACAAGCAAGTTTTCTAAAAATGTATGGGGCAAGTCACATAACTTCATTCTTTATAGATTTATGGAATCTCAACAGAACCTACGTAAGTTATGATGATTATATCTAAGTAAAGAAACCAATTGCATTTCCCATCAACTGCAGGAGCTACGCTCGATCGTTGGTGATCTAGACACTCTTTCTCATCGGAGATTTGAGTATGATAAATTTAGGTTGCCAGAAATATTAGAGCAAAAATCTCGAACAGTTTAATAATCACGTATAGCTTATTTTGAGCAAAAATCCTGGAAATTTTTATGGCTAATGTCTTCTTTGGATTTTAGGAAACTCGCAACCACAATTGGCATATACATGCTAAAGATATCGTTCGTGATCAATTGAACAAAACTGGAAAAAGATGCTTGTCTGCTGGAGGGCATTATAACCCTTATAAAGTTAGCCTAAAGGTAATGTGTAGCAGTATAAACAATAAGAATGGTTTTGTCTCTGAGTGCCATGCTTGTAAGCTACAGTGTTTATAGACGTTCATACACAACTTTACTGATTTTTCAGATTGTTGCATGAGTTGTGAATCATTAACAAGAGTCGTTTTTTATTCCCGTAGATTGATTGCAATAAATAACTTTCTTCATCTGCAAGAAAAACTTAATTAAAAGCTCAATTCACCTGGAGAGGTATAAGATTTCACATTTGCGTCTTTTTAGGCAAATTACTCCGAAACCTGTGGACCAATGAATCTTTTACGTTGTGAATTGGGCGATACTTCGAGCAAAATTGGAAAATACACCATTGGTGCTGGCAAAAATCGTTTAACGGAATCAGAAAATTATTTTGCCTCGGTTAACACAAGTAAGTATTTTACATAAGTACTCCAGAAATAAAAAGTTAGAGCGTTGACATAAGACAGAAGTTTAAAGCATAAGACAATTTCACGTTTGATACTAAAAAAGACACCTGGTTTCGTTTACGATATGAATTTCATTTAGTAAAGAAACTATGCGATGCAAACTGACTCAGCAATGTTGAGCGTTGAAAGAAAATCAAACATGTTTCATGAGTGATTTATGTTTCATGTAATACTTGTTACAACCGGTCATTTCATATAGAGAATTCAAACTAAAAACGCATTGTACGAGGCCAGTTCATCACCATAATTTATTGGTTTTTATTGGTTAATTTGTGCATTTTCACCGTATGTCGCTAAACGGCAGGTTTTTGTGCCTTTAAATAGTTTCTTCAAAATTAAAGTACAGATTACGAGGCGTTCATTTTTCTTCGTGGATAAAATAATAGCAGTTACAACGTGAAAGAGACTTTTTAATAAACGAAAGATGACAACAGCTAGATATAATATACTGCTTTAGAAATTCATTTCTATGTATTTTATTGCTAGAATTGAAAACGTTGTAGAGATTGCTGACCACAATAACAATTTAGCTAATTTAAAGTTTAAGTTACCTGAAAAATATATCACTTCAGTCGTTATGGAACACGTCAAGTAACGTTTTCTTCGAGATATTTTGCCACACTTGCTTTTCTTTTGGTTTGTTAAAGTTAAATATTTCTCGAATTGTTTCAATTGCAAATTTAACCGAAGAGAAATTTGCTTTCTTTTCGCTTTCACTTTTCGTTTATTATTTTTATAATTTTCCCGCGCTCGACTGCGAAGAAACATCAGTATAAAACCGGTTTTATCTTGTTTCCTGATCGTTTCCTCCGGTCAATCCCGACTTTATCGTCCCAAACTAGAAATTTAAGGTCCAGTGGGAGGTACTGCGGGATTTATTTTCATTGCATCACACAACTTACTCATTCACTTATTTTTGTAGTTCTTGGGCGCTCTATCGTAGTTCATGCTGAAGACAGTGGTGCTCCTCGTGTCGGCTGCGCTAATATGAAACCAATCAGTAACAGTTTCGTTAGAAAGGAATTAGTCTTTCGAAAGAACTCTACAAAAAAGTAAAAAATGATTACTAATCTGACGTTACGTACTTAAAGTAATTTCGATAATTTCTGTTCTAACATTGAAATTTGTTCTCCTAGCAACCTGGCAAAATTATTAGCATCTGAATTAGGGATTCATCGATGGCGAGTTGTGCAAGAAGGGAAAATAGTAGACTACATGGACAGATGTCAAAAAGCAAGCATCATCTTCATTGGTATGAATTAGAACTATTCGCAGAATCTGTTTTTCACGTATATATTTTCCAGTAGCTATTTTAAAAATAGAACTTTCGGATGATTTGTTTAGTAATAAAGTTTCTTTAGTGACTATTTAAGTTGAATGTGGTAAATACGTATATCATAGGCCGATTTTATCGGCTAATCTTGAAAAATAGAGATGTATTGGTTTTTGGGTCAGTTTAGTAATCTAATATTGATCAGTAGATCAAATTTTAGATTTTTGATTTATTCTAAGCCAATTATTTTAATAATTCTTCATTTTCCTGACTTTTCAGATAGTGTTTATTCTGACCTTGGAAAACGCTTTGAAGATTTGAAGAGTAATTGGTCCAGTAGTCCAATCGAGTTCATGCCTAAGAGACAATGTAGTTCCACACCTGTTACATCAGAAACTCCGACACCATCACCAACTCGTGCATCACCAACTCGTGCATCACCAACTCGTGCAACACCAACTACATCATCAGGCAATGGTATTCTTGATAAAATTTATATTGTATTACTGTTGTTTTAACACAATGATGAATGTAAGTTGAAAATAATTTCCAAGTTAAAAAAAATAAACTTTATTTTCAGCCATTAACCATCGATGGACGACTTTGATTTTGATTATTAGTCTTCTACTACCACGCACTTTCTGGTGAAGAAATGCAAGAGTTTCATTAGAAATACCTACGTTGATATTTATTTTATATATATGCAGTATAGTTAGGAATGTAAAGTTATAATAAGTGCACTTTTTAAAAGAATCTCAGCTTACGTCACATATAATATAATTCGCACAAGTGGCTGATTACTGGTTACGGGGCCTGTAGTAGTCTAAGATGAATTGCAGACGTTAATTTCAAAAATTATCGAGTCATGGGGAATGGGAAAGCATGAGCACCATAAGCTCGACATAGAGCATTTAACAGTAGATAGCACAATAGTCATTTTTGAGAATATTCAATGGCACAATAAGCATTAAAAACGAGTGTAATAATATTCGTTTTTCCAGTCATAACAATTGCAAATATTTAAACATGTCCTCAAAATATAAATATTATAAAACTATTTTAATGTCAATTTTTTTTCGTGAAATTATTACCTAATGTGGAAATTGCTGTTCATGGTGTGGCGATGATTTCCTTTTACTGCCAATCACGTATTTCAAAAGAAAATTCTTAAAACTTTGCTATATATACTTGGAGTTTTTAAACATTTAAATTTACAAAGCAACGTACAAAAATACCTTGAATCATTTTATGACTACAAAGAAAAAAATTTGTCGTATTTTTCAATTTAGAAAACGTTGTCCAATTTGATGCAAGCCGACTTCAGTTGGAAGTTTTTCATTTCTAAGTCACAATTAGAACATTGAGCAATGTTCTAATTACTAATTACGAAAAGGAAACATCACTTTGGAATCTTTTAGATGCATTTTTGCTTGGTTGACTTCGTTTTTTTCGTTTTCGTTGGTCATTTTGCAGGGAAACTTTCCAAGTTAAGCAAGTGAATTCAAAAGCTTCACAATGAGCCTGATTTTTTAAAAATGAGCAAAGCTTTGTTGGTAATACAAAACTCAAAATTGTCAAATTAACATATAAATTTTCTAAAATTCAGGGTCAGAATAATCACCATCATCTGAATCCCAACCAGAAATGTATTTTCCACCTTCAAATTCAACCTCAACATTATATTCAAAACCCTCATCCCCAGGCTTTACTCGATGTTCCTCAAACACATGATCCATTTCAGCTTTTCTTTTATTAAGTTCCTTATCGCTAAGTTTATTCAAATCCTCATCTTGAACATTTTGTAATACTTTGTTGTTATTTTCTGGAGGCAGTTGTTCTTGAATTTTTGAAAGTAACCTATGAATCTAAAAGATAAAAGAATTGAGCTCAATGTGATATTAATGTTCTCTTGTAGAAAATCACACTAGAGCAATACATTATTAATTTCGCATCCATTCATGTTATGCTCAATATTAAACATTAAGTATCACTATGCAAGAGAATCTTCTTCAAAACAGATGATAAAACCTAGTGAAAAATAACATGTTTTTCTATGTAAAAAATTCTCACTACCATGCACCAACTAAAAATATTAACCTTACAATCATAGTCAAGATTGACATTATAACTATTGAAAATGCACCAGCAAAAAATATAAGAACTGAAATTAGTGATAAAAGTGTCAAAGATTGCATTTTCCTTTTATGTATTGTAAGACATATAAGGAAACTAACATTAGTAATGTGATATTTTAGTGATATTTTAAAAAATGTACAATGACACATACAAATATGACTTTGAAAATATGCCATATAGTATATTTGAAAACAAATAAATGTTACAATATTGTTCACCTGTTCTGAAGATATCTTTTCTAAGTAATGTTTGTGCCTGCCACTTTTCAGTTTTTCTACTGTTTCATCCAAACTACAATGAAAAAGCAATTTCATCTGTTAGTAACAGTAATAATTTATCATATAATACGATAGAAAAAAAACAATAGTTGAGCTTACTTGCTATGGATTGAGAAATCTCTGAGGGGCATTGACCGTCGATGAACTTTACCTTGAGAATGTTACATAATTATCAATTTACTTTCAGTTTCTACTTCTAGTTACAAACTGCAGCAAAAATAATTCCAGCATGGCTGGCTTGTAAATTCAATAACATATTTAACATTGCAACATGTATTAACTCAAATCATAAATCTGATATTATACATACAAGTTTAAAATATACAGATTTTCTACAATTGTTTTGAGTACTTATCGGGTATAACACTCATTTCTTTGACCAACTGGTGTTAATCAACTTGATTCTTGTTGCATGCAATTTCATTCTATGACATGACATTCAATAGTTTACAAAAGGAAATCCACTCATATTTCAAAGCACTTCAAAAGAAATCTGTTATGGATTGTGGTATCTATGTGTAACATGAACCATACCTGTAGCGTTGATGACATAGTACAAAATAAGAGATGGGGGATCATATTTTACCCCACATTGTCTCGGTGTATACATTGTTTACTACGAGAACTGCTGTTCCAAAAATGAGTCCTTCACAACATCAAGATGTCAGAAATCCATAACTTTACAGATTTAATCATGAATACTAACGCCAATACGTAGAAATCACGAAGAAAAGACGACTTTCATCTCAAAGAGCATTCACAAATGACTAAAATGAGTAAAGTGACGTCACTGGTGACGTGTCAACACAATTGACTGCCACTGATCTGTATATAATTGCACAATTTTATAAGTGTAAGAGTTCGTTAACTTTTTTACTATTTATATTCTTTACTGATTTCAAATATATTAATGTGAATCTTTCCCTTTGATTTAAGCACTGGCAATGTACAGCTTATACAACAATTACTGCTTGACAAAACAAATAAGTTGTATTATTGACAACTAAGATATCTTATAACAAATATTATATGGTTTATCCCTGGTGACTAAGATATCGTTGAAATTGTGTAAAAATAGAGTAATGAGTCCATGTATGGAAAATTCCTTCCAATTTTTACGCCATTTCACAACGTGGTAAATGAAATGTGGGATATTTCCAAAATTTCTCTGATGACGCAAACACTTAAACACTTATGGGTGTAACAATGTACTTAGGTTGACAAAGACACGCCACCAGCCAACTAATTCTGTATTTAAATTCAAAAGCACGTGGTCACCTTGACAATTATCGAATGAATGGAAAAATGCACGTGTATCTGAGAAAAATAATTTTGTTTTAATTGATTTTCAATGTATGCACCAAATGTTTTCATTGTCTCACTATACTTCACTGTTATTTGTTGCTCTTCACTTCAATTGTTTCACATTCATACGATCCAAGCAACTCCAATTCTACTTCAACATTCTATTATTGTTAAATATCAAGCAAAATGCATTCGAGAAGATCGTCTTTACCCTCCTAAACAAATTAGGATTTGTTAAGAGCATTTTTACAAAACATATAGTATAAAGACAAACAATTAAAAGGGAAAGGTTAACACTAAACAAGTTGAATGATTTATATGACACTAAGCATACATTGTTGGAAATATTTGTAGATTCATCCAAATCTTAACAAATTGGACATCTAAAAATGTAAATTTTTAAGAATAAATCGTGAGGTGATGATGGATATCTTCATCTAGGCACTTTCTCAAGAACGTGTGGGGAGTAATGAGTGCGTGATATTATATCAAGTCATTGTCGGCGTCTATACAATGAATTCTATTTTTAGGTAATTGCACAGTTTTCTGGAAGAAATCAAATATAATTAATTGTATGTTCGCTTTGTACTTCTTCAAGAGCTAGCACGCACATTTTTATAATAATAAAACAAGCATGACGTACGTAATTGTTTTCATATGAATGCTATCACTTTAATGGCTGAAATCCCTGCTTATAGGTGGATGTATAACACAATTTTCACTTCGATGTGCTCGATTCATCTTTTTTTTTTGTTAGTATGTATGAAAATAAAAACATCGATTTAATTGGTAGCGTTGTGGAGAAAATGATTTTAATTATTTTAATATTTAGTTTTGCAAAACAATTAGTCCACGTGTTGATACTGGTTCTGTAATTTCTATTAGCTTTCGTTTTCATAATGGTTTTACAGACTCTACAATATGTTCTTTTTGATGGTTTTATTAGCCTTCATTCTCATAATGGCTTAATCAGGACACTGTTTTTATAAGCTCTCTCTTTCATTCAGTTTTTTAAAACCATTTTTCTCATGAAATAATACAGTCTACAGATCATATTATAATGAGGATGAGATGTTGGGATGTTGAAACACGTCCATTGAAGAAAATATCAACGGTCAGACAAGTTACGAAATTGGAGAACAAACTTTTCACCCAGAAAAAATGCTCATCATTCTGAGAGTCGCGAGCCACATTTATTAGAACATGTGGCGGCTCATGTTTGATGCTAAGTTCCACGAGAGACAAAGAGACTGCTCCGTGGAGGGTACTTCAGAAATGCACTTAATGTCGGCCTTAAATTTATTTAACCAAATTCCGTTGTTTCCGGCCTGTCATTCTCAGCTATTATTTTACACGGAAACTAACACTTGAGGTTTGTAAAATATACTGTTAATATTCCATTTTGGCCGGTATTCAATGCAAAAACCTGTTTCCCTTTGAAAGATTTTAGTCAAGTTGTCTTTTATCCGCGACGTTGTCTCGTCACCGGTCGAAATTACAGACAGTTTGTCGTATCTTTTTTAAATATCAATGATTGATGGTTTTTGACTGCGTCATCGTGAGATATTTTGACAAAACTCGTGCTGATAACGGGTTTCTGGTGTCATTATTGTTTGTGTTTGCAAGACATCTTTTGTCAGCTGGAGGTATTAGATCACGAAGATTTTTCAATTATATATGAAGAAGTGTGAAATCGCTATGGGCTATGTTACAAAATGTACGAAAATTTCCAGTGCAACACTTAAGTGAGGGGGAAAGCCAATTTTCGGAAAGATTAAAGATTACGAGAAAGGCAACATGGCTACATTAATTGACAAAAAGCAGAGCAAGAACAAAAATAGCAAATTCTTATATGCCACATGATAATTTCATGTCTTATATACCTAAACACACTTTAGGTTAGCTGTAAAATGATATGTGCACTGTACAAGTGATCCTTCCTAGCTATTGAGCTACTTTGTCAAGTTATATGATAGCCCCAATGTTTATGGTAACAATCCTCACAGTTTGTGATGAATCCTACAAGATTGGTATATTTCCATCATCTTCTCTATAATTTGATGTGGGAATTTTCGATTTTTATTGACAATCCGAAAACATTAAGTCATCTGATGTTCCTCTCGTAATCTCATCAGGTAGATTTATCACTTGTGTAAATATTCGTATCACACAGCTGTAAAAATCTTTACAACACGAGTCCTCTATTTCTCCCTACTTAATCCTCTACGTTACCAGTCCATTCCCGTCAATTCTTTCACGCCACAACCTATTTTACTGACAAAACGGTTATTTTTTTTTACTTTGTTGCTTAACACATCCAACTATTCTGTAAATATTGCCCTCTGGCTCTGTATGTCACACAATCTTCCTGTCATTTTCACATAAACATGTTCGTCATTTTCACAAAACCACTTACTCATTAACCTAGTTTTTCCAAAAGCCCTGTTTTGGTTTACCAAGTGCTCACTATACTGAATTACTTTCTTCAACATGTTTACTATATAGTGCTCGCGGTTAAGTTAAATAAGACGCATTTCCGATGGCAAATAATTATATCGTCTACGTAAGGTTTGCGTCATTGATACTCGCTCTTTCATTTTTCGGATGTGTTCAATTACCTTTCAAACGATCACCAATAAGGATGATGTGTAATATTTTGTACAGGAAAACAAGACAATTTGGATGGCAGTCTTAATATATGTGTAGTCTAGACTACGTACTTTGCATGTGGTCTAGACCATCTAGACAAACTTGTCGCGACTTAAACTTTTCCTTATAATTCAAAATTTACGACCTTCATATTAAAAGGATCTATAAAATGTTCATTGTTTTTCAAGGCCTACAGCAGAATGGCCGCCTGCCGTTCATTGGTGACGTACGTCGTTGTTTCCGTTGAGTGTTTTTAACTGACGCGGGTCACACAAAAGATAGTTCAAATACATACACCCAATCAGGCTTTATCTCTGCTGTGCGATAACTTTACCCAATGCACAATGGGGGATGAATTATTAAACATTGTTAAGCAGTTCAACTTTTTGTGTCACGCAAGCACGGAAAAAACCACCTTGCGGAAAAATATAGAAAGAAAGAACACGAAATGATCTTCACACATTATCTTTCTAGCGTTTGTCAACATTTGGTTTTGGAGAATGACGGCAGGGATTTTTAGAAAGGAGAAGAATACAAACAGGTTTTTTATCCAAGGTTGAGGTCAAATAACGATCGCCTACGCTCTTCATGTGCAAGCGGGTGGTCTTTGTCACGATTGTTTTGAATGATTATAGAGGATCGAGGTTCGAGAAGGGAAGAAATTGTCACGCGTCCTCAACAACACATTTAGTCATTGGTTACCAGTCTCGACAACGGTACAACGCTGATTAGATAAAATGAACAACTGACTATGAAAATGTTGTCTTTATACTTCTGTCAACCATAAGGGTCTTTTTGTACAGTACACAACTGTGAGAGTTCTTCAAAGAAATGTACACTACACTATTAATTTATTCACTCTTTTCAAATTGATGTAACAGTACAGTGTTGTTGTTGTTAAATGATATTATTTCTGTAGAAATACAATTATATATTACTCTAAAGCTTCACGAGCAATAGTAAAGGTTTCAACAAAAGATAGAGAGAATTACTACTTGCTAGAATGAGCGTTACTGGCTCTAGTGGAAGGTAAATGATTTGCTTCGTTTCTGACTTACACACACGATCCGGTTGCGTGTACTTCACGTTCCACGAGACTCGCTATTATTAAGCTCGACTTGTGTTCGACATAGACACGACGATATCAACGTATTTCTGGTGGCAAAGGCGTCGAGACAGCGAGTTTTGTCTGCCGTCGTTAACTAAGCTCGACGTGCAATGGATAATAAAGTAAGAGTGGCCGATAAGGCTCTCATTCAAGTCATTCTACAAGAATACCGTGACCGTTCAGTCGATTCAATAACTGGGCCAACAGCAATTCGTAAATACGAAGAGGCTACGGGCAGACATCGAGTATGGCCTGGCTTCTCTTCAGACATTTTGAAAGGGCAACCCGACCATGTTTCGTCTAGAAGGGAACTAGACAGTGCATCGTCGTTTACGACAGCGCGATTGCTAGCTCCGTCTGGTGTCGCCGCTGTGCGTAAAAAAACGAGTAAAGTGAAACGAACGTTGCTCGATGGAATACCGATAGCTTGTTTCAATATTGGTGGTGAGAAAAGACTGTGTTTTGAACAACTTAGAAGTGACGTCCTAAGAGAGTTCAATTCAAGCGAAGTGAACACATCTCGAGATCATTTGAAAATATACTGTCCCAAATGTGACGAAGATCAGTTGGAATCGTTGAAGCTATCGAAGACGATCGCCTGGACTGATTCCTCATCACTGCTTATAACGAAAAGCGACGCATATAGGCTTTGTAGCGCTTTGCTGGCCAACAAGGCACCACAACGACATGACAAGAAGTACACAAAGCCTTATATAGACGTCTACCATGAGTGTTTTGGTGGATGTGAGGGGATTTTTGAGCCCGAAATTTATACCGAGCCGCATGCGAAATGTGTTACTTGCCTAGAATGCTACCGTATGTACTCCCCACGAAAATTTGTTACACACACGCACGCAACAATGGAGATTCAAACGTGCCACTGGGGTATGGATAGTTCTAAATGGCGAGATTACATGTTGCTGCCGGATGACAAAGCAGAGGACGAATTTATCAAGGTAAGATTCACACGTACTATGGTGCTTCACGCACTTGTCTCTTTTGATTTGATTCACGTGAAAACCTCCTGTGGTTCTGCCATGATTTAAGACATACAGCGATCGATTTTAAGTAATACATGATTTTCAAAACATTCTCAATTGAAGAATGTTTCGATTTCAAATGACAGCCAATCTCTTGTTGGTAACGATTCCATTGATCTCCATTCGCAAAGGAGATACCCTTTTAAATCTTAGTTTTTATACTTTGGTTTGTTGTAGTTTACCGTGATATCTAGTTAGGTTTAAGGTTTACAAGTTTACTAGCGGTTGAGACACTTGTGGTATAGCCGTAAAGGTTGTTGAATTGGTAATTTTTGTACAAAACCTATGTTGTCAACCACAATAATTAAATGCCGTCTGGTAAAGTGTGTCACACCAAGCAAAGCTTTTCGACACGTTGTTTTATCATTGAGATTTAAAGTACTCGGGGGTTTAAAAATGATGTTTAAAAATGAGAATTCTCTCTGGCGTTTCAGAAACTCTGGGAGAATGTAAAGAAACGGTTTTTTGGCACTATTCGAAAACGCAAACTTTCCAACTCGGAAGCGGAAAGTGTAGCTGAGAGCGAGTGCAGTGAGAGCAGCGCACGAAAACGAAGCGCTTTAAATTATGCCGTTTCACCGATTGGAGAACCTTCTAAAGGTACGTCGAGTAGTTCAGTGAGCTCACCAAAGGAGAACCAAGAGAATTCTAAGAGATCAGCATTTCGTCCATGGTCACCATTGGAAGATAGAAATCGCGAGACACTTACCACGAGCACTTGTGACCAAAATAAACAAACTAGTTCGAATGATGGACATTTCGTAGAGCCCAACTGCTCTGTCGTTAAAGCAGTACCTTATTCCGTACACACAGCAGCACAACCAATTCAACCAACGTATGTCAATGGAAATTATCCATGTGCATTGCCTGCGGTACCTTTCCCTAACGTTAACGGTTATCCTTCGAATATCACCCCGGTTAAAAGTGAATATCCCATGGCGATTTGTTCACAGGCACAAGGTGACGACTCACATAGCCCCGTAGAAAAATCTAGGGTTAATGAAGAAGAGAGGATCCTTAAACGACAGTTGATTCAACATGATTTTGCCTCACCGGAACGAGTTAAACAGGTCTTATCGAAATATTGTCACAGAGGACATTTGCCGTCAGTGGACGAGCTTAGTTTTGCTCTTGCAAACGAGCTACGAGATTGGAGCTACGGTCAATCGAAGATTCTAGATGATTTAAAGGAAAAAGGTGATAAACTACGAGAAGAAATGAACAGTCTGTGTCGAGACAACACGGCTAAACTCGACTCTGCTTGCGAGGAATTGACATACTGCCAAGAAAACCTGGATAGACTTAATAGGTGAGTCTTTTTTGTAATAAGTGACATATCATGACACATAGCTAGGCATGCGCGGAACTGAAGACTTCTACTGTGACGCTGCGCATGTTATGTAAATTTTGAAGGTTTTGCTATCAAGAAGATTGTTTCGTGATAATTTTAATTTTTTTGTAGAAAACGAGATGAGGATTTTAAAGAGTTCAAAAAGACACGCGAGGCATTGCAAAGACAAGTGGAAAGGTTGCAAGAACAGCGTTCAAGCGAGTCAGAAAAAATTAAGAGACTGATGAATCAGTTAAATGAACGAGACACAAGATGCCGCATTTTGGAGAAAGAACTCGACTATATACGTTCATGGTATGTGACAGGTAGCCAAACAAAATACACTCCTTTTCAGACGTTACCTGTTGCCGTTTACGGTGGATCTGGCCTCCGCGAAATGTATCATGGTCAAAATGCGGTTATTCAAGAAATGCCAGTATTCACTCGCAATGGAGAGAAATCATCATCGGCCCATCGCAATCATGCGAATGCTGTTGAGAGAGATACAAGCTCAGAGCCCAACGGAAAGAATGAACCAAAGGAGGAAAGCGAAAACCACGACTAAATGGAAGGGTAGAAGAGAGAAAGTGAACAAAAACTGGAGATACCTAAAATGTAAAAAAAACTATGTCTTTGTTAAACATTTGTGGAAACATTTCAAACCTCAGACGCAAAAGTGAATTATTAATTCCACATCTGTTTTTGACTATTCTATGATAGCTATGGATTATCCATCAGGCGATCAAAACCGACTTCACGTGAATTATTTTTTGAATTGCAAAGGAGAAGATCCTTGTAAAGAACTACTTATTTTATAGAATCAGATTATGTATATAGTATAATTTATAAATTATATATGGATTTTATTTGTATATATGTGTTATCTCAGAAAAATAATATGTGTTTCATTGTCAAAACTAAAATGTCAGCTAAAATGGTTTTTTTCAAACGTTTATTTCAACTACTGGAAAATGTAAAGAATTATTCTCAAAAGGTTCATGTCGCTACAGAGGTAAAAAGAGAAAAAGAACAAGAGAAAACAAAGTAGTAGTAAACATATCAGTTATATGTAACATAGACAATGTATTGTTTTAAAATAGTGTCTAAGATTTCGGGCATCTAAAACTTCTTTCAGTCGTCCTAAAGCTTTAAATCAACTACCTCATGTAGTGTATTCAATGATGTAATAAGGATATGCCTGGCTGCGTTCAAACACGACAAAAATAGTCGGTTTTGTAATACTGTTAACGCATGAATCATGAAGGGGACTAAGGGGATCCTTAGTATCTTTTGCTGGCGGTCGTAGGGTATCATGTTGACCAACAACATATGAGCCCACAATCACCTTGACCATAAACATTTTACGAAGGTCTCCTGCACCTTTTGCACTGTAAGCGTCCGAATAGGATGCTTCTACAGCAAAATAACTTCCCTTGCCGAACCTGGAGCCGTGTTTTGAGCCACTGAGTCGCCAATCAAAACCTTGTTGGCAAATAGGATCTATAATTGCTTCGTTTGTACCGTGAAACAACCAACGCTCTTCGGGCTCTGTGCCCGAGTTCTTCTTTTTAATTCTTGCTTTTTGCCTAAACGTTTTATTTCAGACATTTAGTCAACTACAATTGCAAGTTTAAGGATGCATGATCCCCACCGAAAGAAAACCTTTGGATACATATTATGTAAACAAAACGTTGAACTTGCTTTCAAAAATGTTTCTTCCAACTTCTTCCTCTTCATTCAATGTTGAAATTCAACCTTCGGCAAGCCATCAGAATGATAGAACGAAACCGAATCGACATATGGAGTTTATGTATTCGTTTATCAAGGAATTTGGTACGCACTACCACTACTCTATGAAGTCACAAAAATCTTACGATTGTAAGTGGATTTAAAACTTACCTTTCGTAGTCTTCCCACAAACTTGGATTCTGAACACGTTTAACTGACTTGATCTTGTATTGTTGTAATGTTGTCAAAAATTGTATTTTAACCTTTAAAAACTCCTCTTGATTTAAGACTTCGTCAACTCTAGTTATCTTATAATCTTCCAAAGGATCGAGAGGAGTCCACGAGGATGGCACAGGGTACAATTGCTTGGCAATGTTGGAACTACTTGACTGATAATTTTGCTTGAAACTGTAAGCAGTACAAGAAAGGACGGATTAAAACCAATGAGACACAGAAAATAGATTAAAAATGAATGATGCGTTCAAAAGTATGTTTTGTGTCATTTTATCATTCAGTATTGATGTATGTCGTAAGTAAAAAAATTTAAATAAACAGAACTAGTAGAACATACTCTTCCAAAATTTGTTTCATTATAGCCTCGTCCACATATCTCGCTGGTCGTCGTCGCACTTCACGAATTGTAAGATGTTTATCATTCTGTTGATAAATATTATCCTTATCCTTGAAGTGCATCGTGTACAACTGAGAACCGGATATGAACTTGTAAGTTCTATCTAAGGAATCTAAAGTATAAAAATAAACACATTTCTGGTAAAAATTACTTCTTAAAGCCCAAAATGCCAAAAAACAGAGCAAGAAATAGATTAAACATCTTTAGATACATTAATAATAATTGGGAATAGAAGATTTCAACGAAAACCATTAAAGGGGAGGGATGGAGGGAAACTGCTGTTTACTAAACAGGATAACTAATTACTCAATGACGCATTAAAATCACTGGTAGTTATACTTAGTAATATCACATAAGTAAAGTTTGTATCATCATATATAGATCCACGATCCACGATACGGAAATTTATCAAGTAATTTCATGGCCTTATAAAAGGAATCTTTCGTTGAACGAGTCAAACCCAAATGATTCGTTAGCAGAGTAGATAAATGAAAGAAAGTTGAATAGAACGTTAAGGCACAACTGCACAAATTGTTGCTGCACTTAAAATATCTCTTTAATAATTTGTTTTAAAACCTTCACTGCAAACTCTATAAACTTCATTAGCTAATATAAATACAATACCAGATTGAAAATGCAGCTCCAAATCTTCACTGGTGACGTCCGCTTTACCGTTGTCATAACAATTCCATTGATCATGTTCATTTTTCCAGAACCATTTCCACGTCGTTCGAAACACGTGACCTGATGCAGCCTTGACAGAAGAGGTCGTTGACAAACGACGTACTGGAGTAGTTAAACCTGTTTAGAGAAAGTGAAGAAGGACGATGTATTTTAAAGCAATATATGGAAAATTCAGTATGGTGGGCCAGTAAACGGTGGGCCAGAGATCATTTTCCACAACAAAAATGAATAACTCTAACTAAACTATTCTGAAACGTGGTCAGCACCCGATTTTGAAAATGGAATGAAGAAATGTGAGTTCTTTTTTTCAACATCAATAATACCTATCTGGTACGTTTTAAGCAATCTTCGAGTGAGTTAGTTAAAACTACTTAATATTAAAAAAGATTTTGGAAAAACTGCTTGAAAAGGACTTCATTGGGTAAATTTCTTCAAATCCTAAACATACACATACCAGCACCAAGAGGTACATTCATATTCTTAAAGTCAATCTTCAGGTAAAGAGCACTTCCTGTTTCCTTGTTGTAATCACAGAATTCTTTTTCTATAGCACGATTTTTCTCTTCTTCAAAGTTTTCCCACACTAAATTGTGGAAAAATTGCCACTGATATGGCAGCGCTAAATGAACAAATAAAATATGAATTACAAAACTGAACGCCATGATTTAACACAAGATAATTGGGTGTGAAACCCAGTATTCAATGCTGTCTCAACAGTAACATTTTTGCACAATGCATATGAAAGATATGAAATTTATTGTCTTACCAGCGTGCAATGCAGTGCACTGTTCTCCATATTTACATTTGCCGCGTAAATTGAAGCCACAAATTTCTGTCTTTTCTGGGGCAGCAAAAGCATCAATGGTATCCTTTGGCTTTCGTCGTCTATTGTTCACAAAAGTTTCGTCTTCTGAGCTATCTTCTGAGCTATCTTCTGAGCTATCTTGCGAGTCGTTACTCATCTTTTTGTTGTTGCGTTTGAGTACATTTAAAATATCCTTTTCTCTTGAGAGTCCCCCCAATCCATGCTTGGCCAAAATTTCTCTGGCATGCACTGCCTCAAAATTATGATACCTATGTGAAATAAAAACTGATTGAACGCTAGGTTCAAATGAAATTCATTAGTCTAAGGTTATGAAAACACCCATTCCATAGTCGTTAAAGATTTTATCAAATTTGTTAAGTATAAAACTGTTTTCTACAAGAAATTTATTTCCAGTAAGGTAACTTTGCTAATTTGCAAATGTTTTGGAGAAAGTTTGCCGAATTGATTAGTTGACTTCTCACTTATGTTCTTTTTCCCCAGGGTCTTTTCCCTATGGTCTTTTTCCCAAGGTCTTTCCCCCATGGACTTTTCCCTAGAGTCTTTTTACTAGGTTCTTTTCCATAGGGTCTTAATTTCCCCAATGGTCTTTTCCCTAGGGTCTTTTCCCTATGGTCTTTTCCCAAGAGTCTTTTCCTTAGGGTCTTAATTTCTCTTTGGGTATTTCCCGAGAGGTTTCTTCTTGAGCTTTTTCCCCAGGGTCTTTTCTCTGGGATTAAAAATTTATTAATTATATTATTCACCTCCTACATTTGTTCTTTCCAAATTTGCAGTCACCTTGAATGTAATGTTCACAAACATGAAGAAACTCACACTTATCACCATTTTTACATTCTGATTTGTTGTAATACTTGCAAATACTTGGTCCTGAACTAATCGAGGCATGTTGTATCTTTTTTTCATTCAAAACCTTTTTAAACAAAATTGTAAGTGCCTCTTTGGATAAATTATTCAAATTGTTGGCAACCAAAATCTGTTTTGTTTGCACACTTTCAAAATCATGAGGTTGCTTGCAGTCATCGCCAAATTTGCATTTTCCTACAAAAAAATTTTCCTACATGAGAAATTGATTTCTTGAATTTATGCCAGTAACATACATGGAACAATACAATGCATGTACATGAAAAGTGACAGTTAGTATAAATGACTCTAATTTTGCACCTTCCAAGAAAAAACGACAAATGTGAAGTCTCTGGCATCTGTTATAATGACATTTTCCATTCTGGAAAGCGTCACACAGTTTCACTGTGGTTCGTGCTTCCACAATTTCTTGTCCATTGACGTTCTTCACGATGAATCTTTTATGGGAAGATTTTATGATTTGCAGAGCTTTTTCCCTGTCATAAATGTCACTGTCACTGAACTTTTGTAATTTTCTTGTAACCTTATTTATTTCCAAACAGCTATCGTCACAGTGACACAAAAGATACGAGAATAGTTTTGACAAAAGTAGTTTCGATTTAACATCTTCATTTCCGGTTTTCTCACTGGATTCCTGAAAGCTTCTATTTTGGGTTTTTCTCTTGGTTTTTCGTAAAGATGCTTGATAATTCGCCATTGACTTTCTTAAATTGTAACTTTTTTTTAATGTTTTAGTTACATATTACGAAAAAAAGGATATTACTTTGCTTCACTCCTCGTGGAATTTTTACTTTCACTTTTAACAGTACGGTACCCTGCGCGAATGTCATACACGGAAATGATATAATTACTTATAACTTAGGCATGCAAGGCGTAATACTCCAGTTGCGATTCTTCCCCAGCGTTGCGCATCGACACAAAGGTAAAATTCTCCCATCACACATATTTATAAAATAATAAAATCTGATCATGAGGACAAAACAGTGGCAGCCTTCTAAATTGGCTAAATAGCCTCCTCCTTTGCCAAACCAAATTCCCGTGTTTCGCAAAATGCAAATCGAGTAAAATTGTAGCGAGTTTGAGCTGGTAAGTCTGTTTGAGTTGGCACATGTTACCTATCAACTTTGTGATGTCAGCTGACCGGAAAATCGCAGACAATCTTCGAAGTCCAATTATTACCGAAATTCAATTAGAATGTTTATTATTGTTGAAATGAACAATTATGGTGTGACAATCTAAAAGTAAAAACTCACAGCTTGCATTTTAATTTTTTGATGTGTTATTCGTGATGAGTGAAGTAAGTGGAGTCAACATTGTATATATTCTATATATTTTCAACTTTTTTTTACGCTTCCTCGTTTTAAGCAATCAATATAAGCCACAGGAACTTTCATGTGCCTATCACATTTTTGGATATGCGATTTATCGTACAATGTAGCATCATGAAATGAAGAGATAAAGTTTTCACAATCGCTTTTGTCAGATGTTTTACGAATCAGATCAATGTATTGAACAATAAACCCTAGCCTGATAGAATTGAAATGTTTCATCTTCTAAAATGTAGCATTGGTGCTACTGCACGCTTCGCTATAGTTGTATGAAAGATATTGTTTTCTCTAAAAGTCTTGTGTTGTATTTAGTCTTGCATCTTCTTCTTCTTCATTTTCCATTTTTTTTTGTGGACAAATTGCTCTAGGTCAAAAAGTAGTGTACATATATGGTACAATGACTTGGGTTTACGTGTAATGTACCTCTCTTACTGAATTGATGATAATTTCATGGAAATATACTCTGATGGTTTCTTAATTAACATGAAATGAATTTTTTTAGTACAAGAATCATGAGTGAGAATATCAAACTTGCCATTGTTGGTCATGTGACATCCACAAGTGATGTGGTTGACAACAAAGGCAATAATACTCCAGTGTTATCTCCAATTACTCCCGTTGAAGTACTCTATGAATCAGTTCAATTGAGGACCGAATCATCTGAAAAACTTGTGGATGGACAAAGTATTCAAATTTAGGCTTTGTCATTTTGTAATCTTTTTATGTTTTGTCAAGAAAAAGAATTTCCAGTAAATTGGAATCAATAATGGATTGAATAATGAATAGTTACGTTGCATGAGATGAAGAATTTTTTAACAAACTAACACATAGTTAATGTCCTATTGTTGATATAGTGGATCATTACATTTCTTTCAGTAAAATTGTAATTAATTTCTTTTTTATTTACAGTTGTGACATCTAATGATGATTCCAACAATGGCGTCCAATCCATTTATGAAGATCTATGGTCATTTTCTAATGCTGAGAATGGCATACAGAATCCTCCAAACACAGGAAGTGAAACAACAAATAATAATGACGATTCAATTTATGACACCGTTGAATCAGTTATATTGCGCTCAGAAACCCATTCTGCGAAAATCATTACTGTTGAAGAGCCAGCATCAGCTTATGATGAAGTCATAATTAATGATGGTAATTATGTTTATATTGTATGAATGTCATGTTTTGGTGAAGTGCTTTTGATGACAGTGAAGGAGGTCAAGATTAATGCCTCCATGTCACAACTTCCTATTTGTCACAATAATGTGATTTTTTTCATGTCCATTCTTTATCATGTCTCTCCTCTTAAACTATTGTGTGTTGGTAGCTTATTTTACTTTAGTTGTTCCATAACTCTAAAGTGTTCGTGGTGGCCTTTCTTCTTGATCACTTCTTTTGTTGTGTTGTCCTTCGTTTGAAGGACTTTTTTTGCATTTCATTATAGCTGTAATTACAACTCGGTGCAATATTTTCATTATTTTTTTGAGGTCGCTTTATCATACCGTCAAGTCATTGGGAGAGTGACTCCGATGCATTAGAGTCTGATTTTGACGATGATTTAGAGGCTCCGAAGTATTTTGGTGAAAATTTAGAGGAGCTGTACGAGAATTTGGAGAGCAGGAAGCTTTCTTCACTTGGACCACGTACGGTAAGATTTTGGTTGTGTTGAAGAAACAGAAATAGTAGTAGTAGAATGCTTATACTTTTTATGGAGTGGGAAACATAAAATGCCAAATAATTATCCGACATTTGGCTACATCAGCAGATTAAAAGGGAAAAAACAGAATGTGTCCGGCGAGAAAGTTAGCAATCATTTTTCAATCAAGTGTTTATTAAAATTTTATTCTTTTTTGTCCGCGCTTTGCATAACTAAAAATGCTAATGAAAAGTTAAATTGTAATTTCTTTTGTTGCGTATTGTATTTTTGATCTTTTTTTTCAAAAAAGTTTTGCTTTTTTGAATTGTTTTTGCTCGTAATTTGCTCGTATTTCGTAAGGTTATTGAAGCCTTTGAACTTCTCGTTGCTTTTTGTGGCAGTGACACAAATTTTAATGTAAACTCCAGAAAGAAAACAAAACATACATAAAAAAATGAAATTGAGACCAAACCTTGTTCATATTGTCGTTTTGTCACTCTTTTTGACCTTTTATATCTTGTTCAGCCCTGTCTTAAAGCTTAAATTCATTCTGCTTCCACGTTATTCAACAAAATTAATGTAACTTTGGTCAAAGTTTTACAATTTACGTGATAATCAAACTAAGCTCGGAAGCCTTCTTCCTCCATCTTCAAACTGCAAAGTTTTGAAGTGGCGCAAAATATTTTATGGTAAGAGCCTGGACCTAGTAACCAACTACGTCACTAAAGTTACTGAACTAACTATTCTTCGTTTGAATGCCAGTTTGTGGATAATTTCTGCCTTTGTTTTAGTGTGAAGGCATTCTTCCTCTCTTCCTTCAATGAAATAATTATATAAAGGCCAAATTTATTTTTTGCCATTTTACAGTTGTCCTTTGATACGGTATACGACGAAAAACACTCAAATCATCTAAAGGAATCCTAAAATCCTGCATTCCATTTTCAAGAAATTCCAAGTCAGCAGACAAGTACCTTGGTAAGAAGTATATTCTATGTTGACCTTTCTCAGTTGCTAAGTATACCCAAGTGTTGTGTAACTCATGATTTTCTTTAGATGAAGAAGACACCCCACTTTACGTTGATCCAAATATTTTGGGCGAAAAAATGCCAGTTATGCCACCATTGTCCTTGGACTTTTCTGTTGAAGAGGTACTTAATGACCAGTGGTACTTTCCTGTGAAAAAAGCTTCAACCTTTGCCTGCCATAGTTATAAGCTTTGGAGTTATTTTACCAATGGCTTAATTTCATTGAAAGTGTACTTTTTGCCAAAAGTTTATATCTGAAATCTGATAAAAACGACTCGCTATGTGGAATTTCTCCGTGAATTTTACAATGCATTTTGTGGCCATGCATTTTGTGGCCATGCAATAACCACAAATTCTTGATATGTTTTTCATGTCTGAGGAAAATTACCTTCCAGGCTGAACGCTATAAAATAGTAGAGATAATCGTGAAAACTGAAGCAACATATAAAGAATGCTTAGACAATCTTGTTCAGGTTAGTTGGTTCACATTTCTTGTTTTGCTAGACTTTAAAATCGACACCGAACAACATCTGCATGTTACAAAACTCACTTTCAATTCACAGATCGAAGAAGAAGCAAGAAATAGAAAACTCTTGGATGAGAGTTCGCTTGATAAAATATTTTGCTCTATTCAAAGCATCTACCAAAGTCACGAAATGTTTAATTTCGTATTGGCGTCACGTCTCAACGAATGGACAGTTCATGGAAAGTTGGGTGATATTATCTGTGCCTCGGTAAGCAAGCAATCAACATTGACAAATAACCTTAACCCATCAAATTGAAAGGACTCTTTTCTTTTCGAGACATGTGTGCTTTGAAAATCGTCTAAAACTCTTTCATTTTACGTTAACTGGAGTATTATTACCCAAATATCGAGTTTCTACTCTGGAAACCCATTGTGACGTCATTTAAAAAATTCCTTCTTACTTCTCGATACAAGGAATTTGTAAATTCAATATGTAAGTTTAAAGGATTGTATGAATACTTTAAACACAAGAGCAAATGATATGTTTTTTTGTTTCAGTTTTCAAAATCAACGACGACAATGGCGTACACAGACTTTGTGAATAATTTTCTCGACGCCATAGAAACTTTTAAAAGTGCTTGCAAGAACTGCCATATTTTTCATCAATATATTCAGGTGTGTAGTTGAGCTTTGCTTTGTCGGAGAGATTTTCTTTGTCAAACGCGCAAATTTTGTCATTTTTTCGATTACAAGGGCAAGCCAATGACAATAGTGTTCACGTTATCAAATTATATGTTTGTTTGCATTATGATCTTAATTTAAAGAAGCGTTTTGGAAGATATTAAGTCATGTAGTATTGTCATTTATTGCAGTTTAGTTAGTATTCGATTTGTTTTTCGTTGTTTTACACACAACATATAAATCAAAGGAAATGCAACGAGTCAACGACAACATTCAATGTTTTGCACTCAGCCACAATTTTGTTGGTTGTTTCTTTGAATGCATGTTGAAAGTCAGTTTTTTGTTCAATATGAAACTGAATCCCACATATTGTATGTTTTAATCACAAAACTGACTAACTTCAAATTATTCTTTATTTACTATACTGCAGGTTCGAATAAGCACTATAAAACCAGAAACAACTTTCCATGAACTTATGATCAAACCGTTCGAAAGGTTTCTAGAATTTATTCACTTAATCCAGGTGAGTTGCCGATCATTTCACCCCGTGAGCAGTGCTGCGAATTATGACTGTTAAAAATGAAACCCTTTCATGGAGGGGGAGTGGGCACTATTTGCCTCTTTCAATTAATCTAGCGTGTTTTTCCTATATTTCTAGGATCTTCTAGAAGTAACGCCTGTTGGTCACGTGGATCGAGTACCACTACAGCTTGCTTTGACACAAGTTGAAGTGTTAGCTGAGTTGATAAACGCCCGTCGCAAAGAGAGTGAAATGAAATGTCAACTTAAGTATATTGACACCCAGATCAGCCAGTATAGCCAGGTAAGTCTGTTCAATTAAACTTTGTGTTGTAAACATTTTAAACTACGTAATGTTAATTAAAACAGTGACAATATGAGATTAAAGGTTATGAGAGCATTAGCTACCTTCCACTTTTTCACTGCCTGCCCCTTGTGACTCCACTAACGTGGACGATTTACATCTACAAACTTGTAAGGATACTGCCAGGTTTAAACCATTCACTTTATAATGATGACATCCCTTTTTTTATCTGTAAAGCCATTGTGCTCATCTGGAAGAGCTTTCATTCGTCAAGACGACATGGTTCATTGTGTAAGTTGTCCTCTTTGTAATGTTTGATGTGCACAAGGAGGAATTTTTCATTGCTGCTCTTTTATCCATATTTGTCAAGTAATCCAAACTTCCAGCCCGAGTTTGGATCGCCCCTTGGCGCGACATGATGATGATGATGATGTCAAGTAACACTAGACCTTTATCTACATTAAATACGCATACTTAGTTTTTTTAAAGGATTGATTGATTTGCAAATATGCTCAATACAGTGTAAGATTTTCATTGAAAAACATTTTAAAATTCTCTCGTTTTAGTTAGTCGATGGCGTTTCTGTCGTTGGAACCAAAAAACTTCGATTAATATTGCTATCTGACATGTTGCTGTGTTTGACTCCCATTGGAAAGTAAGCATGTGTTACATTATCTTTTGTGTGACTTTCTTTACAATCCACCTTTCCGACGGTAAACACACATGTCAGAAATGCGAGATCAAATTACAAAATTCGGACAATCAAATGGTCGGACATAGTATTGTATTTGTAGAATAGTGGCAATAAAATAGAAAGAAGATGCTCTTGGAGCATTTGTAAACCTTATTTTAGAAATCCAGTACGACTAATTATAAAGGCAGGAGGTGTAAGAGTGAATAAAAACCATTTTCTGTCCAATCAGAGGAAAGCTTGGAAAGGACATGTAATAAAAACATCTCTAACGTTGTCACGGATTTTACGAGTGCCGTAACAAACTGTTGATTTTTGATGCAATTGATAAAACAAGCTTAAGGCGACAAAGAGCATGCCAAAATATATGATTTAAAATTTGCTCAGCGCATCAAAAAACACCAATTTCAGACCTTGCTTCATCAAAAATTAATTGAGAATTGATCTGAGCATGCGTAGTCAGCTCCACAAACTCTCCAAGTTCATGGTCTTGGCAACGACCAACTGTATGTACTAGTACCAATTATGGAGTAATTAGCTCGCTCAGTCACAAATTTTCAGAAAAATTATCTGCGCATGTGCAGTGTGCTTGAGTATGCGCAGTCGACCTGACCATCTGCCCAACACTTATAATTTAAGATAACCTTAAACATTTTTTTATACAAGTTTTAATGGTTTATGTCTTTCTGATTTAAATCTCTCATTTACTGTTTCTCATGTTTGAGCAAACCATCCATGGGCTTAATTGCAAACCAGGATTATCTGGTTCCTTTAATTACCCTGCGACGCTCTAGTGCTCAACTATCTCGGGGTATCAGCAAAAGAAACGAAATCATACAATTCAAACGCCGGCCATTTTGCTTTATAGGAAGAAGCGCATCATGTCAGGACTGATTAACTCGTCGAAGAATGCGTACAAGTTAAAATGGAATGTACCGTTGTCTGACATCCAATTTGTTGAATATGGTACAGGTGTAGATGTTGCTGCGGGTAAATATGGTACAACAACAACTTATTCTGACCAAGGTTGGTATTCTTTTTAAATTTAGATTTGTGAGTCTTTGGAGGAATGAGACAAAATATCGATTTTTATATCAATGCTGAACCTAAATGAGAGTTTTGAATGCCACGACTGGAATATTGAGAGTAGTAGAGCGTTAGAAATAGGATAATAAGATAGAATGAGCTAACATCAACATTTTTATTTCGCTAATCCAGCACTTGTAACACATACTTATTCAATATTGACCATAATTGACCATTTTTCTCTACGGTTTTAGGTAAATACCGTCAGGCTTCGGCTAAAATACAAAATCAAATCGAGAATCTTCAACATGACCTTGCTATTATCGGTCAGATTTCTGGCCTTGCATCTTCGCTTAAAGGAAAACACCAGGTATCGTTCAACCATCTTGTTTGTAATTGAAAAATTGCCATTTTGGTGATGTCAATTAGCTGATTTCTAAAGATCTGCTTTGTTTTCTGTCCTATTTAGCTTTTAGATCAAGAAAAAGTGGAGCGATGGTACAAATCCGTTCAAAATAGCATCGCTGAAGAGTTGAAAACCATCAATATGTTTTGGTTGGAGTTGTCATTGCCAACGAAGTACGTTAATTGTAATGTATAAAATATACTTTTATATTTAGTCCTGTATACCGTGATGAATGTTTAGATCTGGTCAGCAAAATTATGTTTTTAATCTTCCTTCACCATCCTTAAAAGAAGAATGGGAAGATGATGCAATGAATGCCAAACTTGCTTTAGGTACGTATAATCAGGACATTGTCTTGACTAAGTTTTGATCATTAATCAACCTTATCATTAGCAACCAAACAAAATTAGCATTGCTTTTGTCCCATGTCAACAACGAGTATCCAATACATGTTAGTCTTTAGTTTAACTGTTGGTGGAATACCGAGAATATGATGGGGGTTAGGAACAAATATCTGTGTTTGCACGAATGATGGCATGTTGAAAAACAATTTTGTTTATGTTTTGATCTCTTCATCATCTCACACAGAGTCGCGAAATAACCCTGGATGGTATTTACCTGAAAATGACATTACGTGTGGTCTTTCCATCCTCAGACGTAACATGCCACTTTTGGCCGAATTTTATGATTTGTTCAACCTCAATAGCAAGTCTCGGGTAAGGATTTTACTTAATTCAATCTTTAATTTTGTCATTGCTCTAGACATGAACTGAAAACATGACCAACACTACTTTCAATATTTTCAGGTTGAGCACATGATCACTTTTCCTGTGGATACCTCTCCATTGATCACAGGGATCCCGCGTGTATTTGATCATTTCGTGTGGATCAGCGCTCGTGGAGAGTTGCAGGGTCACGTGTCCGTTGTCCGTTTTGAGAGAAAAAATTACACGCCCTCTTACGTGGAATCGTTCAATGCATGTTCGGGAATAGTGTACTCTATTGCTTACATACCTGCCATGAACTCGAGGTCTGATCAAACCATCGATAAATACAATACAAAATATGGCTTTCCTTTTCCGACTCTTTGGCTTGGCAGTCAGTCTAGCAAGTACGTAGCACTGCTGTGTCTCGGTAATCACAGTTGTATGGTATGATTGGCCGCATATACACTAAGACTGTTGTGTATTGTTAACAAGAGAATTTTAAAACAACAAGCCCATTTCAGCATTTTTTTGTTTCTTGTTCAGAAGACCGCATTGCATTGTGGTAATCTGTAAAGGAGGAACACGTAGGAAAGAAGATCATCAACCAAATGAATTTTTATTTATGCATGGAAAGCCAGGGAAAAGTGGTTAGTTCCAATGCTGTCGAAAATTGAAAAACTTCTGTTTTCCTCTTAGGATTTATATTTACAACGCTGATTGTGACGACCGAAGTAAGCCGTTGATGGAACTTAAGATGAGAGATGCACCTCTTATAATGAAGTAAGGATGGTGTAAGAACTTACGCTTTGTTTTATATAAGTCTAGAAAGCCAATCTTTTTAAGAAAAAGGCGCTTTTCTTGTCAGTTATTACATAGCTTTGATTTTGTTGACGGGCTTGTCCTTTTCATCATACAAATTAGGTATGCGATGAAGAAAATCTATGTGGGTTTGGCAAATGGAACTCTGGCAATATTTCGATCGAATACAAGTATGCATCTATTAGATGGATATTCCTGCACTGTTATCATCATAAAGAGCAAAACTATTCTTGTGTGCATTTTAACTTACCCAACTCCCACGCCTTGCTTTTGACATGGTTATGATGTAGTGTAGCAAGCTTACCATAATACAAAATCTTCTTAGTGCATGTATTACACTGCATCTTACTGTTGAATTTGATAATACATTAAGGTGATCATTGGAATCTTGTTCAACCCTCCATACTTCCTCTTGGTCGTTACCCAGTTGCCATCATAGCTGACGTCAAAGACAAGTTGTGGTGTGGTAGTGGCAGTCAGATTTATGTCGTCAGCAAAAGAGGCGATCGAATTCAGGTATTATTAGTTTTGACTTTGTAAGTGAAATGTCAGTGTCTTAAAATACGAGAACTAGAGCAACAGTAGAAAGTTATGCAAGAAAGGACTTAAACGCTGTATAAAGTCTTTCTTGTGTTTTCATAAACAAATGGGACGGAACGTGTTGTTTATTATTGAACGTAATGTGCAGCTCTTTGAGTCAAGACTGTGAAAACTAAAAAGGTAGAATCTGAAAAAGAAGGCTTACAATGAACGGCTGTCTCAATCTGTAAATTGTTAGAGTGAACATCAGTTCAAAATTGAATTTTTTCAAATATTCTTTTAATTCAAACGCAGCGCATCATAGCCGTGGATGCGAACATGAAGAATCTAGTGAAACATATTGTGACGTATGGAGTAGGGGTTTGGGTTAGTGTATGGAAAAAACCCACGATTAGGCTGTATCATGCTGAAACCTGCGATATGTTGCAAGAGGTGAATGTCATATCGCCCATAACAAAGATGCGAAATGGTGAGAGTGTTTTTTATTTATCAAAATAATTTCCTCCATATAAGCTTAATGTCTTGAAGGTTTGTAAATGTTCTTACCTTTGTTGTCTTTATTTTTGCGTAATTCTCGTAGTTCGTTATCCCTAAATGCTGCATGTTGATACTAAATGCTGTGTGCCGTCTATAAATGCTGTACATAGGTATATTCCAAACATTTTACCATCTTGTAATAACTTATAGACTTTTGTCTTTGTAGATGTGGACAGTCAAGTACAATATATTTCAATGGAAAAGATCAGTGTGACGGCTTTACTCTGTATTCCCGGCTTCCTGTGGGTAGGTACAAGTGTTGGTCTTATCCTTCTATTTCCGCTGCCAAAAATGCAGGGTGTTCCCCGTGTCATTGGTCGTGCCTGCGTATCTTTCCATGCACACTGTGGTCCAGTCCGTAGTCTGCTTGCCATGCCTCAGGGAATGGTTGAAAATGAGACCAAAATTAAAGACGTGATTTCCGAAGGTGAGAATCATTTGTCTCAAAAACAACTTAAAAAAATTTTGAACTCTAACCTTAAAAATAATTAACTTTCAGAAGAAGACCCGAAGGAAGTTGACAGGTGTGTGTGTAACTTAACTTAAACTCTGGCTGATTCTGTTTAGTTAATCTCATACTTTTTAATCACTTTCAATCGTTTTTTAGAAAATTTTCGATGCTCGCTGACAGTGAAGAGTCTGTGGAAAGTGATGAAGAATTTTATTTTGTCGACGATAAAAATATACAATCAACTAAGGAAGTGAAAAAACCTGATACTAACCGGAAGCGTGGGTCACCAAAATTGACGTTGCCTGATAAAAACACCACCGAAGGTATTTCTGGAACAGATGGCAAGGATTCAGAGAACTTTACTATCACTAAACCAAATGATTTTGCTAAAATAATGTCTTCCTTTGATGGATTCAATAACAACTTGCAGACAAAGGACAAATCCAACACTGTTCGTTCTTATACGAACAGACTTTTCTCTGTAAGTAGTGGCAATCAAGTGGAAAATGTAAAACACCACAAAGAGTCTCGTGAGGATAAAAATTCTCTCATTCCCAAGAAACCTAGCAATAAAAATCAGAATAATGATTGTGAAGAATTAAATGTCATCGTTGGTACTGATTTAGCTTCAGTTCCAGAGCCTGATGTAATTTATGAAAATTTGAAGAGAGACAACCTTGTCCTCGATTACCAAAATGAAAGACATGCAAGCAAGAATGAAATTTCTGTTGATAATTTCGACAATTTAGTAATAAATGATGAAGTAGCAAGCAATTCATTCGAGGACCACATCTATGTAAATTATCCAGTTGGAAAAGACAATCCCGATTGCAATAAGTTTTTAGAAAAACGAGAAATTGCTCAGGAAGATAATGGAACAAGCAAACTAGACAAACTGGAAAAGGATTCACAAAATTCGTCCTCTGAAAACGCTTATGATGAACAAAGACGCCAACACATTCAAAGTGGCGGACTTAATACTGAAGAGGTTTCATACGTAACTGTGCTTTCACAATCGGAAAAGCAAAGCGAGGGTGCCTCTTCAAAAAATGCAAATGACATCTCTATGGAAAGCGAAGTCCGTAAGGAGATGGAAAATCAGCTTCCAAACCCCAGAAATTCCCGTAGTAGGTGCCTGTCACATCTTGTCGTCAGCGTTGGGGAAGGTCACGTGGACTTAAGACTGAAAGTAAAATCGAAACAGGAAGTGAAGAAAGTTGGGCCAAGCATATTTCTTATATGGAGGGTCAACGGTAAAGTATGATTCAAAGGAGAAAAATCTTTCATAGAATTCATGTAGCGTAAATACACAAATATTAGCTATTTAATGGTACAAAGTAGTGATTCAAATAATTGATAGTACAAAGCATTCACCTAAGCCTTGAATTGCTACAAAATGAACGTCGATGAGACACTCACCTGAACTCTGAAAAATTTTTGCTGATATATATTTTTTGTACGTTTCTTAATTCTTTTTAGGCATTTTTTTTATTTCAATTTTAATACACAAAATAAAATTGAAGAGCTATGACTTATTCTTATTTAATAGCTTTTCATATAACATCTTAATAAAAATCAACATGTTGCAATTTATAAATGCTGATTCACGTAATTAAATACGGAGTTCGACGAGAGTCATCACATGTCGAGATTTATCAATGTCACTCATGGTAATAAAGGAACAATTATTCAAAGCTAGGTGATCACTGTTAGAAATATTTCTGAGCTTGCAAACAGGTGAACCGATGAATGCGACTGGAAACGCGTAACCCGTCGTCATGGAGATTTTCAAACAGGTGCAGGTCTTCGGTACTACAACCAACATGATAGAAATATGGTATGTGCGGGATTTGGCAAAGTTTTTCCCGTTGTGTTTTGCGCGGCTCACGGAATTTATCGAAGTATTTGTAGAAAATAACGTAAAATATTAAGGTATTGAATTTGCCAGGAGGATCCTTTGAACGAGCAAAGCACATCAAATCAAATCGTAATGCATTTTCTAAAGCAGCATCCAACTTCAATATTGTCAAACGTTTCCTTTTGCAGTCCAAACTAGAACTTCCTTGTCCGATCTTCTACACAGTTCTTCTCTGGGAGACTGGGAGAAAAGCACTGGCTCCGGCTACACGTCACAAACTTAAGTTTACGAGGATTTCAATTAAGTTTAAGATAATAAAAGACGCACTGCAACAATTTCAGGAGCCATTAACATAAATTGCGAAAATCAAGTACCTAATTTACAGCTCTCGTGCTAAATTGCTAATAGAAATTCTTAATCAGTGGAGCATTCGATATCATTGTTGATATTTGGAAGGGAAATGGCTTTTTTATTTATTAATTTGTTTTAAAAAATGTTGATAATTTTTCTGAACAAAAATTTTTTAGGGTAAAACAAAATAAGACCATATGTTAACGAATGAGAGATCAAAAAGCAGTTTTAAATTCGGTGCAAAACGTTACCTACGCTGGAGGCAAAACAGTCTTCACCTCTTAATGGTTTAATAACATAAAGTGTAGGATTTCACTCATTTCAGGATTAGAATAAAAATGAAGGTTTAATCATTTATTAATTTAAAATATAATAAAGTGCACTGCCCTGTTATCTGTTATATAAACTGGTACCACGGTACGCTAACTAGGGACTTAAGACATTTAAAGCAAGCTAATTTGAAATGTCCTTGAGTTTCTCGGTTTATTACCAAATTTTATGTGGTAAAACTTTCATGGCTATTTGTGCTACTGTATTTTATGTATATCGTTGTAAATTTTTCAAATATTAACATGGAAAGGATTCAGGAACTTCTAAAAACTAAATTAAACAGTCTTCCTTTCTTCGCCTCAAAGATGGCGAAGCACTAAGCGTTCCAGTTTGTATTGTTATGTTACAGTTCACTGGCATCGCCTGAATCTGCCTGTAAACAGCTGTTGACGTCAATGTTCTCGTGAACACGCGTGTTTCTTACTCATTTCTTGCGTGATTTCTGAATAATTTGGTTGGGATTATCACTTTGTAAAAAAACGTGTGTAATTTGTTTTCCGCTCTATTGCAATTAACCAATCAAATTGCGCTGTGGAACAAAAGAAGCTTTTACGACCAATCAAATCGCGTTTATTAGTTTATGTGATGCTTTTACAAGTATTCACAGAGCGATCGTCATGCACACGCTGTAGAAAGTCTCTGTTGTTTGTTCCTTCGTATTTGTGTGGTTGTATTTATTCTTCCCGCTCAAACATCAAGTCAATTAATTCTTGTGGTAAAAATGGCCGAAGAAGTAGCTAAGGTTGCGGAAGAAGTGGCCGCTAAGGTTATTACAGTATATCATGCACTTGCTTATGGTTTTAGATAGTACCGTTTAGATATTCTACGAACCGAAATGTTCATTATTTCAGGAAGGAGAGGCACAACTCGAAAAGAATGGCGATGTTTCTGTCAAGACCAGAGCTCAGAAGAAAGAACTTTCTGAAACGAAGGCGGCAGAAGAAACAAACGAGCCAAAAACCGCTGAAACATCAAAAGTAAGCCATTTGAAAATAAATGAGGAAAAGCTCACAAAAGATTCAATGCAGATTTATATAATCATGGACCATTTGTGTCGAAAATCTACTTTTTATAAGTGCATTTGAAAGTGGCTTGTCCATTGAACAATAATCATGCGGTAAATAAGCAATTGTATAAACAAACTGGGTCAGGTTCCGTTGAAATCCAAGACAAACGACGCTCGAGACAAAGACTGGTTTGCCCTCAAACTTTAAATAAGTAAATGGTTTACACTCTGAAAAGTTGTGTTTGCCCGTTGCCTTTATGTTATCCTAGAGATATGTGCTTTTGTTTCCTCGGTCAGATTAGAGCACCTTAATTCTTTCGGCCAACGATTCGACAGCAAATACATGCTTCATTGAATAGCGTTTGAAAGAAGACGTGTCGGTCTAAATTTTGCTTTTAACACTCGCTTACAGGATGATGGTAAAAGCTCAGATGAAAAAGACGGAGGAAAGACTTCAGCTGAAGCGGCCTCATCGGACAAGAATGGAGAACAACACGAAACTAACGGAGAAGTCGACTCGTCCAAAAATGGCGCGGAAACAGCTGACAAAGACGAAGAAACAAAAGCGGCTGTGAAACGAACGCACACGAAGGACGACAAAGCCAAGGTTTGTTTCACTGTTTGTTTTTTAGTATATATAATAATATATATATGTTGTATTCGTGTTTGTCGAGTATTTGCATTACCGAAGCAACATTCTTGATAAAGATAGAAATTGACCGCTGCAGTAGTTTCACACTTTTTTCTCGTTTGAAAACATTACTAGTAAATCTTTTGCGAAAAATTTTCTGGTAAAAATAAACGTGCTTAACGTTGCCGAGTTATTTATCTAAATAGATGTTATTACTTTGATTGAAATTCGGTGTAATTTAGTGATTATTTAGTCGCCTTTGTTATAGGATGTTAAAGTTGATTGATCCCGAAGCTTAAGCATGTCTTTGCTTTACTATAAATGCAAAGAATAGGAACTTATCACAAATTTATCTTTGAATGTTTTGTGATCAGTTTTTTACCGTTCAATAAATGAGCCATGTTGTCAAGTCTTCAATAATCCCTCGACTTCGTTTGCTTTTGTGCTAACGCCATTACAGAAGAAGTTGGTGATATTTTCTGAATTGGGTGGTTAATTTTGTGGTTTCGTGCCACACGGGTTTTTTTCAGGTTGAGAGGCATTGCTATGCAGTTGGCCATGTGTTTTCTTAACGACATAAGTCAAAACTGCGTAAATTTTTATACCGGAAGTTCTCGTTTAATTTACTTCCTTTTTACCAACCATGAATATTTTTGATTGGTTGGTTTAACGTCCGCCGAATTCTTTTCATCCCAAGTTTAAGAGCTTATTAAAAAAATTTTTGTATTTTTAAGTATGTCAAATAAAACTGCCAAGTATCATAATTCAGCTGATAAAATATTGAATTATTTTACTAATATCTAAACTCATTCAAATTGCTTAGTAGGTATTGCTTGCAATACTTTTCTACTGTTCACAACTAAATTGCATAGCATATGTTTATTAATTTTATTTTATGTTTTACACTTCTAAATATACACTATGGGTTTTTAATCAAGCTTTCAAGCTGGATCTTTGAGTTTGACTAGTGTTACTTTAAGCATATATTTGCATTGTGTGTTTTTCTTCAGGATGGCGAAGAAAGTCTAAAGAAAAAGAAACCTGACGAGGAAGCAGAACCAGCTCCTGAGGAAGCAAAAGCTTAAACAATGGACGTTTCCAGTTTTACAGAAAAAAGTCTTAATATATGAGCAGTTAACATCATACTATAGGCTATGCAAAGCTATTGCTCAATGTTCAACTGACAGTTTTATAATGAGTTTCTTAATTTCTTATTCTTTCATGTGTTGTGTACATATAGCAACTCGACTTATGCATGTATAGACGTTCAATGTGAAATATTTTGGTTTGAGCAAAGCTAAACAATATTGTGTGTGTGATGATTTTTTAGATAAAGGAAGTGGGTTTTGATTGCTGCTTTTATACTCATTCAATTGTGTTGGTTGATGTAATTTTAGACATTCAACCTTCAAATTTTCATTCTTTTAAAATCCTGGGAAAAAACCATAAACACCTTTTAAACCATTGTGAAAAAATTATGAGATTGGACTGAGAAATAGAGATTTGAGAGAAGGGTAGAATTTTAAAGAAACAAGTTGGTTTATTCAAATGTCTATGGTCTATACAACCTTAAACCATTCATTAAACCATAGGTTCATTAGCCTTTGCCAATATATATGTTAATAGAAGAAACAAAGATATAAATGACAAAAATTCCAAATGTTACGTGCTGTGTGATCCCCATAACACCTTAGGCTTGTGTTGTCCATGCTTAAGGGTAGCCTGACATTGATGGTTATTACATATGATTTTGAAAGCTTACAGTAATGAGCACACAAATTATGGTAAATATGTGTAAGTCTTCTTGCTCAGTGACCAAAACAATTCATTTAGTATGAATGAAGTTGGAGGGAAGGAGATAAAAGATATTCTCGAACGTTAAGGCATATAAAGCAACCAATTTCGTAGATAATGTCTTACCATCCTATTATGTGAACAATTTGTATGTTATGTTTCCCCTGTCCATTCTTATATGAACAATTTTGTAGTAATGTTTCCCTTCCCTATTATGTAAAAGTTTGAAGCTGAAATGATCCCTACGTTCCTCTGTACCCTTGAATTGAAAATGGAACAATGTACATATTTGTACCTATATAGAATGAGCTTGCAAAAAATGTAAGAATGGGTACGCATAGCGGACATGACAAACCTTACCTATCACGAGGTCAGTAACATTTTTTACCCATCACCACAGCTAATCAAAATAAGAAAAGGCTTATATTGAAGCTCTTATAAGATCGATAACATAATGAATTTTTTGAGGCAAACAGTGACAGGCATGTAGCAGTAAGCATTAATAGTAGTAAGATGCTTTAAATGGTAAAATTTCACACATTTCATCATGTTATAGTATAAAGCAAATTTCGAAAAAACAAGACATCTTGAGAGTGCAAAATATGAATCAAAACAAAACGAGAAGTGAACTGTAAATTTTCAACTTTATTTCAAAGTCATCCTCAGACAGACTATATTTCTTTAAATTGTCGGCTGGTCATGGTTTTTGCTCATTATGTTGTGTCGTAAACAAAAATGAAAAACAGAGAAAAGTAAACAGGTGCTTATTTTTGTGAATTGACGGTCGGTAAACGAAGACATAGACTCCAATTGACTTGGACATGAAAGCTTTATAAAACTTTGATGTTTTAGATTTTATGAGAAACGTATTGGAAATAAAATAAAATTTCTACTTTTTAGAAAACACATATACACACATATGTTTTATGAAATTCTTGATATGTTAGATCAAATGGTTTACTTGATTTTTCAAAATGAAAATATACTATTAATCATTATTGATCATTGTTTGGTCTTTGTCATTCCATGATCTGTTGCAGGAATTGCAAAAACAATGATAGCGGAGAAAGCCAAATCGTAAATGACCAAAATCATGACGAGAGAAAAAGGAAGAAATGACATGAACCCTAAAATGATCAGGACAGGAATATTCCACGCAAGACGGTAAAACAATGATGCAGTTGGAAAGAATACAATTTGAGTGCCTCCTGTTGTTACATGAATAATTCCGTGAAGAAAGATTATGGCAAAAATGACACGAAAGCATCCTTCAGCGTGGCTTCCTAATTTGATGCCGGCAACTACGTCCGTTGATAATAAAACATCTGGAGCAACAAGACAGATGATTGCTTGGAAAGCGCCTAATGCCTGAAATATTAAAAATCTCCGTTTTTTGTTTCCAGAATATGGATTTACCATCTTCCATAAATCTACGAAAAACTTCAATAAATTCCCATTGTCGTGTTCCTTTATCCATATTGCGTAAGTAATCAACGCCAGCGATGAATCCAATATACAAAAGAAAGCTACATAACGAACACTTAAAATGCTCCTTCGATAAAAATAGCCAAGAAAACAGTTCACTAATACCAATCTATTGAAGATGGTTCCGAGAACAGCCGCTTCCTTAGGAACTTCACCATCTTTGCCTTTTCCTGCCAACGCAAGAGTCATCAAACAAAATCCAATCACAGCAAGGTTTGATGCACTCAGAATAAAATAGCCCATATCTCTGTTTTTCACATCCAAATTCAGCTGTACTGTCCCGATCCGAGGAAAAATGCGGTGAATAGTCCACCCAGAAAATAAAACATAAATGATGAAATGATAGTGAACCGCTGTGCTTGTGTTAGTGAGCGCATCCTTATAGAAGTCTTGCTTTCCTAAGATAAAATGGTGTTATTAAACCATCTATTCATGCAAAAATGGAGGTAGCACATTGATCTTAATAAAAACACAAGAAATTTTGAATGCAACAAGCATCTCCAAATATACTCCACAAAAATTTGATGGTATATATTTGGGAATGCTTGGATTATTGATTCACAATATGCAAATATTTTATCAACCCTCCACCTACAAATCAACGAAGTGTCAACTATGGCTTGTAATGCGCTCAAACCTAAATCAAAATGTTTTGCAACTTTTTTCACCTATAAAATGTTACTAAGTTCTCAGGCTATATTTACTGTGTGCCTATGGTTTTCTTTAATGTATTTCGTGCTCCTCAACTGCATTTTTTATTTTTTGACATTCGAAGCACTCAACTGAACAATTTCAAGTACAGTTGGACGGCACTCTTTGTCTTCTGTGGAATTCGAAACAACAATTTAAATATTGGGTTCGCACGCAACAATGGACACACAAAATTTAATGCGTTTTCGAAGCGTCTCTTGCAGTGTAATGGGAAAAATATACTTTTAGGCAAAAATCAATGGACTCAACAGATTTACAGAAAGTCCTTGTCACATGTTGCGTTTCGTGAATGATGTGATTGTCGTGTAAAAAATTAAAACACTTGACGTCATCAGTAATGATAATTTATTCTTTTCGGGATAATGGTCAATAATTGCGCCTTGGATAGTCTAGCAAAAGCAAAGCCAGAAGCTTTTTCTTGCCATTAAAGCATACAGAATTTGGAAGTTTATTGTGTCAACCATGCATGCCAAATGCATTGCTTGTGTCATTCTATAGAACCGTTCTATGACTTGAATCTGCCCATAGGATGACTTTAAATCTACGACATCCACAGGACTAGTAAAATTTGGTCTAATGAAATTTGACACAAAAATCATTCACAGCAAGCACCAGTGCAAGGATATTTAATTAAAATAGTATCCTGCTGATAAATTTAATAATACACAAACGACGCGTACTTTATTTATACCAATAATCACTGGTCTCTTCAGTGATGTAAGTCAACCTCCACAGCACAATCAGTCTATTTTATCCTCACCATTCTTATGGGGGTGTTGATGACTTTTAATACAATTTATGTTCACAGGTTCACTGTACTATTGTACGACTTTCCCCAAGTTAGCACATTAAACACAATCATTAAACACAATCTCATTAATCTATCTTTCTTATGGGGATGAAATGGCAAATAACAGATTTATTGGTCGGCTTACCTCGAATGTTTTAATCACTAATCAATGATTCACAGACACCTACCACTAAGTGTTACTGTTTAAAATGGTCGACAATTTTACGCCAGATAAATGCTGCTTTATGACGTGTATTTATGTGGCCTCTGTGACATTGCAATTTTAAACGGAAGTTTAAGATATCTGACCGGTTTGTTTGTTTAAAGCAATGTTTTTTGATTGTAGCATTTGCCCAAAACAAATATTAAGAACTAAGAAAGTACTATAAGCCACTGTTCTTCATAAAACAGCATTTATCTGGCGTACCATCGAGCTCTCCATACTCGTTGGTACGCCAAATAAATGCTGTTTTAAAAAGATAAAAAATTTGACGTCATCCCTCCTGTCTTTTTTTAAATTATCCACATATACGGAGGGTAAAGACCGCCCATGTAAACATCCATCCAATATTGTGTATTGCTTGTATTGAATTGCTTGTAAGAAAGGCTTTCAATTTCGATTATTCTTGAAAATATCGACTGATGCTGAAAAGATATTTTAAAGATTAATTCATCGTCGAATTCAGACATCATTTCAAACTTTTACTGAGAGGTATGTGGTTCATTTTATTTACGGTTGATCCTGAACTGAACATGCACTTTGAAATCTTTGTTCGAAGTGATTTGGAAATTAATGTTGAACTAAACATCAAACCTAGGAGATAAAGTGTATGAGCAATCTTAGGGATCAACTTTCATAAACCAAATAATTATGAACAACATTGTACCCATCAACTGTTTAATGAACAATTTGTTTCCACTATATTTTCAACTGTTGCATTAGAGAACCTTCATGTTTTGATACCTTATTGAAGTGGGTTATTTTAGAATTTAGAAGTAAGTGTGAACCTCAAAGACATATACAGCAAGGTCATAAAAAAATAAGAAAATTTACAAAAGAATAAACTACTTTTTTTCATATATGTTGAATTCCATGGTGAAAAACATTCCTTGCAGTGTAAAAATACCTCTTACATCCAAATTATTGCCAACAACATGTCAACAACATTTTCAGACTCATCACATAAATTAATGATTGGGTAATGTTCAATTAGTTATTTACTTAAATAGCATTATTTAAAGTAAATGGTTTGAACCCAGTCATGTTTAATGTAGATGCCCACGTTGAGTCCTGAGAGGATTCATTGTTGTTGATGTTGACACTTAGCAGTAGTCATCTTCATCTCTTGACTCTGAAGATGACTACCGCTAAGGTTGTCGAAATGTCAGTCAACAACAACAAAAACAGTCCTTCTCAGGATTATACTAAACTGGACGATATACATTTACAAACATGTAACATTATTTAGTTAAAAAATACATAAATAAAACAAACATTAGTAAAAATACAAATGCTCCTTTTGTCCAAAACTATGCATAACATTACTATAAGTTTTGGTTGATAACTACCCAGACTGCAAAGAAGAAAGACAATTTAACCCCAAGATTTATCAAGTAACATGTTTTAGTGCCCCTTAGTTGTAAATCACAAAACAAAGAAGTAACACAATGTAAGGTGTTTGCATCCCACAATTTGTTGTTTATATTTCCTAGCTTTTTTCCCCAGAGATCTCAGCAAAAGCGGACAAACTCTGTATTCTGGATCTCTACTGACACTGTTTGTGATATATAAGCAAGCATATTTGTTATCATTTATAAATTACTGGTCTAGAAATTGCACAAATTTTCTGCATTTTTATAGCTTCTTTTTTGGAAATTGTTGCAGGCATAAATTTCAATATGTTTACACATTTAGACTTAATATGGCTGCAAACGAAGTTGTTGAGAAGCCCTATGAATGTAATCTTTGTTACAAACGCTTTACCATACCTAATCATTTGGCAAGACATAAACGAACCCACACTGGTGAAAGACCACATGGTTGTGAAACTTGTGGCAAACGCTTCTCGAGGTCAGATGATCTTAAAAAGCATCAAAGGTCACATACTGGTGAAAAACCTTACGAGTGTTTTGTGTGCAAAAAGCGTTTTTCACAATCAAGTAACTTGTCCAAACACAAACTAACACATATTGGAAATCAGTTGTATGAATTTGTCCTTTGTAATAAAGTTTCCACAACAAGTACTCAAGCACCAACCCCTTCAACAGATGAGGTAACAAAAGCGGAAACATGCTCATGAAATGTAAGTTATCTACATACTTATTACATGGAATTTGTTGTGTAATTCTTTATTATTTAATTAATAATATATTTTGTAAGCTACTTGCAAAGATCTATTTAAACCGGTTTGAATTCCTAAAAGCAATGTTTACTTTGGTAAAGAATTGTAAATTTCATGGTAGAATGTCACATGATAACATGTCCATAATGACACAATCCTACTGCAGGAATGCCTCTATGGTGACCCAGTTATAGATTACAATGAGAATTATACCACCTATGTTCATGATGTTTGGTTGTTTTGCCTTTCTGTGGTTGCTACCAGATTTTGCCTGCATTCTTCATGCGAGGATAACTTGAAAGTTCATGTGGAGTTCTTTTGCACCCAAAAAAGTACCCATGTGTACCCAGAAAAAGGCAAATGGATGGATGGCTGGCAGTTTTGAGTCAACTATCTATTTTTTGATGCCAAATGACTTGGCTGCAATGTGTCCCTTGTAAATGTAGTCCATTTCTTGAAATACTCTTATTGCAACCACGAAATGTACAAAAGACCATTATACTGTATGTGTAGTTGGATAGATAGGATTAGAAGCCAAGTTTAACTCCTAGACAAGCTTTAATTTCTAGATAACTTGTGATTTTTTCCTTTTAATTTCTGTTTCTTCGTTATGGATCGAAGAATGCGTGAAAACTTTTCATGTGGCGATTTAACTTCACTCTGTAACCGCTATTCGTTTTTCAATAAAAAATATGAAAGTTTTGCTCCTATATGAATTATGTGGCTAGATGCTTTTCCTCTATTTTGTATTTTTCACTTGAAATGACAAATGACCTTTTCTTCTTCTTTGTAAGATCCCCCTTGATCTTATTTTAAATTATTTAAAACGACTCATCTGCACAGTTTCAAAAGAAAAGCATATTCCAGGAATGCATATTACCTGAATAAGAATCAAAAAAACATCCACGCAAATCATCGCATTTTACCTTCAGAAATTCAGTGATTACATTATCATTATTCCAAGATACAAAATGTAACACCTTCCCCAAAAATGAAACGTCCATCACAGTCGTCATTAATCTGTGATTATCACTGAGCAGTTTTTATTTGTATTTGTAGTAGAAATACTTTAGACTTATTTTAGTTTTTTGCATCTTTTGAACAACCTAATGTATTGAATACCATGGGTAGGATTGCAGGTTTGCACAGCTCGCTATTATTCAAACAGATATTTCGTGCAGTTGAGATCTTGTCCTAATATATGACACTTCTTGAATACCACTCAACTACCCACTAAGGGCGTAATGGATTTTTGCCATAGAAACACTTCTAGTGAGGAACTGTATTTTATACATACACATTAGTTTTATTTATCATAAAAATAGATAGTAAAAGTCAAAAAGAATAAAATGGCGATTCATTATATTTAGCATGTTCATCATAGCAAACTTGTGAAAGGCCATCTAGGAAACATAAGACATAGTCAATTTTTTGTAGAATTATCCAGTAAGTACCTATAGCGGATCCAGGATTAGACAAAATAAATTATCGCAATTAATTTTGAATTCAAAATATCTTTACAAAAATGGCATTAGTTATTGATTTTAAAAGAATTGCCTCAGTTGAGTTGGATTGAAATAATTACATAAACGTCATCGCATGTGAATCAGTATTGCAAAGTTTTCGTGAAGGTGAAAAAAATCTTTTCTTTATATCGTTTTCTTCAACAGTGAATTTTTATCGAGTTTATTTCTTACAGTAAAGCATTGTGTTAAATTTGGAGTATCCAGTATTTTGTAACTCTGTTTACGAATAGTTTGTTTAACCATGCTAGCGAGTTCTTGTTTAGGTGGGTGACCTGTCGACAAGTCCTCTTAAACCTGTATTTTGTACCACAGCACGACAGTTTGAACTTGGCATGTGTATCATGTTTCGTGCTGATATGACTAATGAATGATTGAGTAAAATCTCATCTTATGAAAACACGAAGCCACGTATAAAATGTCTAAGTCGTTTACACTTATCCGACCTGTCTTGGAACGGAAACTGACGCCATGTTTGCGCAGTCATCTGTCGGATAACGATAAGCATATTACAGTAAATTACATTAGGAGGCGTTTTGGCTTTGTCTCGAACGATCAAAAAGATAAACTTGGAATTTACAACGTCACATCGTTGCCAAAATATCTGAAGCATCTCCGAACATCTTATATATTATTACATGTGACTTATCTGACGACCTACATGACATTTTTCATTATTCAATGGCACACCCGTCATTTTGTTAACGAGGCATCGTGGACGATTGTGTACGGTATATTTAGCATTCTACAGCATTCAACGTATTGACAGAGTGTGGTTGTTTCTAACTGAAAGAAGCTTTGACGGACTTTTTAATCGTTGGAAGTACCCCGTACGCCTGACATCTTATACGGAAAATACAACACAAGGTGTAGTGTAATTTTTGTTGTATAATATGCGCGTTTTTTGCATAAGTCGCGCGCACAAATTTCCCTGAAGACGTTATCAGGAGATATCTGAGAAAATGGCGTAATCCTACATGGCAACTCTCAAACCTATCACGTCAGTGTTAGCGTTATTTTATCTTTAGTATTTAGTATGAATGCCAAGGTACGTTCAATTGTCGTTAAATTGACAAATTGCGAAGCACTTGAGGTACGCTTGTTGCCATGAAAACGTCTGTTCATTTTAACTTTCGTTGCCAACATAAAGCAAGCAAGCTCAGTTTATCTGATAAATAGATCTAATCGTATGGGCATGATCCTTTGATTATCTCAGAAGCTTACCATTTACCAGACAAACATTTCCTGGAATTTCATTTTTTATTTCACCTAAACTTGCGAAAACACACAGTAGTTTCGTATATTTTGAAGATGAAAGTGCAAACATTTTGAAGTGCAGGACGCAGATAATTGGTTTTTAATCAGTTCAATAGATACTATTGCCCAAGGTCAGCCAAACATCTTCACACTATACTAGGACGGCTATCCAAAGTATAGTAAGAAAATTTTAACTAGTTAAATGCATTCGTTAAAACATTTCGTTGGGTAGAAACTTTCCAACGAATTAACGTGTTCTTCAAAACATTTTGTGTCTTAAATCTAGGAACTCATTAAAAGGCACTCTTACATTACTGAGGGAATTACCGTTACGATAGATAAATTACAACATCTATAAACTCTCCAATGTTTATAATGAATTAAAATTAGCCCCAACCCAATGTTTAGAAACTAACAAAAGGATCTTGAAACTTGCGTTTGGAAAGCTGTTTTGGGGGATTATTTATCTTTTTCGATATGGACCTTTCAAATGTTCTTGTACTCTGGCTTTTGCAATAGAGCCGCAAAATTTGTACATGTTGCTCACATTACTGATCAAAAGAATTTATATAAAGCCGTAGGCGATGTGCTAGTGTTTATTTTGACAACGCTGTCCTACAATTAAAACATTCTGGCGGGCATTACACATAAGCTTATTTTTACAGTTTAAAACACGTTCATGGTTATAATTTGATGCTGTTTTAAATCTACGAGCGCTCTTTACCCACAACGTGTTCACTGTTGGAAGAAAAATCTTTCATTTTTATTTGACTTTAATACAGAGTTTATTAAAAGACGTTTTGGCCTTTTCACAAGACAATTGTCGACAAACTGTCAGGGGCAATATTGAACTGTCGATAGATTGAACTAATGTTCACCTTAGTCAGATACCTGCATGATACCGGAAACAATGATGGGAATACTTCATGGTAAAATGCTATTGTCTTGCGATAACTATTCACCAATTTCACTGATAACGTGTTATTTTTGATAAAAAAGCGATATAATATAGAAATGACATTATATTCAACTTATCAAATTGCCTTATTATGAAAAAAACCTGTCGCGCACAGCCGTAGTTAATCTCGTCTGTGTAACTCATCAGTAATGTGAGTCTTGATTAAACTAAGTTTTAAAACATCTGTTACCGTTCACTTTACACTGGATCATTTGCAGCAATTAGAAAAAATATTGACAAAAAATACTTGCATAGCCAGTTACTTGTGCGAATGAATGATCAACTTGCCCCAGTCTAAACCGTCTGTTGCATTTAGGACACGATTGAAGTCACTGATCTGAAATTGGAACAGAAACAACGTAATCAAATATTATCATATTTGGTTATTTAATTGTGTTTATGTACAAAATTAAATTTAGATGTGACATTTTATGGTTGTGTTGTGTCATAAACAATTATATAGTGTGGGTGGGACAATTTTTCTATTGAGACCTTTCATGTTTCGCTCATTGGTCATGCACAAAATATTACGGCATTGATTTTAGTGGTGAAAAATTCTTTCTGATTCCTTCCCAGGGATATCAAACTTTTATGTGAGTATGTTTTGATATGTGTTAATGAATCATACGTTATAACTGGATAATTTGGAGACCATCTTGTTTTGAAATTATTTTATCAAGATCTCTTACACAACAGCAGAAATGTTGCCCGTAGTTAGAAAAAGCAACAGCACCATTTTCAATCTTTTTTAATGATAAATTACCCAACCATACGTATCGTCTACTGTCTCTGATCCTTCTTCTACACAAGCAAGCCTGCAGGAATCTTTATTTATCAACATCCGTAATTTTGACTATTTCTTGTCGCTAAAAACATTGTTTTGTGAAATTGGTCCATTTCTTTACGCGAGCTACCTTATAATCCGAAATATCATTTGCGATTTAAAATGTTTAGATTTTGTTTGTTTTTTTTTAGAAGAATTACTTCTACAAAAATGAAGTCGACATTTTTTGTCTCTCTTATTTTGATGACAGTGATGAACCACGTGTCTACTCAGAGTTGGAGTTACCCATTATCACCAAACATGTAAGTCATTTCATATAATGGTTCATTGTTTTGCTCATTTCGATCCATAGGTGAGTAGCTACATGTTGTCCTACAGATGGCCGTGAAGATAGTGATAAGTGTTGGTTCATGAAGTTTATCCCCCGGGTCGAAATTTCACCAGATGAACATTTTATCAAAGCAAAAAATATCTAATCACATAAAATAATCGCATAGAACAATCGAGTTAAAAATTTCTGAAATTACAAATTTAATATTCGCGATTTTCAATCCTTTGTAAACTATAAACATGAAACATGTTTCTCTTTTAAAGGCCGAATGTTTGCTCTTCCCAAACACGAGCTGTAAATTATCAAACGGTTCCTGAAAGAAAGTTAATTACAAGAAATGTTCGTGTCTTACAGCCAGGATGTATTAAACCAAAGGAACTTTGTTATACAACACAATTACGGTAAATGTCCTTGTTGCAATAGTGCCTGAATTTTTGTGATTTGCCCGCTTCAAGTAGAAATTTTAGTGTTGAAATTTTAACTGTGAAGTGTTTTGCTGTTGGTTGTTGGATACGTAATGTTTGTACCTACTGTGAAGTGTTTTGCTGTTGGTTGTTGGTTATGTGATGGTTGTACCTACTGTGTAGTGTTTTGCTGTTGGTTGCTGGTTACTTGATGGTTGTACCTACTGTATAGTGTTTTGCTGTTGCTTGCTGGTTATGTGATGTTTGTACCTACTGTGAAGTGTTTTGCTGTTGGTTGCTGATTACGTGATGTTTGTACCTAATTATAAACTAATTGCAAACGCAAACTACCAATTGCTTTGACCATGTATGAAAACATGATCGCATCCTTCTTGGAATTTTTTTCGTTTTCAGCACATTCTACTATACGACCTATCGAAGGCAACCGGTTCAAGATCGTACACGTTATCAATGTTGTCCCGGTTGGTCTCAATACCCTGGGCGATCAGGCTGCTCGTTGAGTGAGTAACAATCCATGTACTATCTTTTACCATAAATCAGTAAGTTGCTTCTATTGATGTACCTTGACTGTTACTGAACCTTAGCGCCTTGACTGTATTTACCATTTATAGGTTCGTGTACATTGCGTCCATGTTTTCACGGTGGTCGATGTACAGGAAGTGTAACTGGATGTGTTTGTCCCCGAGGATTTCAAGGAGCACAATGTCAATACGGTAGGTAATGATTGCTGAAATGAAATGAAGTGATTCCTTTTGGTATGAGAGACAGGAGACCATCTTTGGCTGTTTGGTAAAAGTCGATGGTTTGCACGTTTTTCGACAGTTCTAAAACATCTGTTTACATAACCTTTTTGGAAAAAAGTCTAACATATTTTGTTATTCTTATGAAACGAGAGTAGATAAATTGACTAGGCATGTGTTGATATTCATCAATGATTGATCAAGAACTAACTACTTCCGTGTGTTCATAAGATAGCATAAATACAGCTGTTCACCTATAGTTGAACGATAATTTTCTCGTTTTTCTACACTATATCTTTCTATCTATATCTTTCAATGTTTGTAAAGTTGTTTTGCTGGATTTTGATCATACTAAAAATCTGAATGTCTTTGTCAGACAAAATTTCTCACGGTTTAGAAAATTTTAAGGTATACCATGTAAACGTTAGTTACATCTTGGATTTTGTAGACGTTGACGAATGCAAGAAAAAAAATGGTGGATGTGAGCACAATTGTTGCAACACTGCGGGTGGTTATTACTGCACGTGCAATGCTGGTTACGCCTTGAAAATTGATAAGAAAACTTGTGCTGGTTAGCAAATGGGATTAATTCGCTTGTTTTAGTGTAATCTTAACCAAAAATAAACGAATGATTTTCTGTTTTCAATTCAAACATTAAAACTGCTGGTAAGGATCATGTGATCAGGCAGCCTTATACCAGACTCGTCCTTTTAAAGCCTTTCAATGAATTGGTAGTAGAATTACAATAGTCAATGGACATATGTCAATTTTTGTAGATATAGACGAATGCAGTGAGTCTAAGAGTGGATGTAGTCATATTTGTGTGAACCTGCCAGGCTCTTTTGAATGCCGCTGTCCAGCAGGCCTGACTCTTGGCACTAATAAAAGGACTTGTTCAGGTTTGTCTCCGAATTCGTTCCTAAAAAATAAATCTATGACAGTCGATTAGCAAACGAAATAATTTTTTTCTCGTAATAAGGCAAGTGTCTCGAATTCTAGGTTCGTCGAATTCTAGGGAATCAGCAGATAGAGGCATCACTCTATATAGAAGGACAAACCTTGATTACAGAAGTGAGCGTCGTCAACCAAGTGATTTGCACTCTTGGTTAACAAACAGTTGTAACAAGAAAAATGGTGGCTGTAAAGGAATTTGTCGTGAAACGTACTACGGAGTTAAGTGCTCATGTGAAACTGGGTTTACATTGGCAAACGATTATGTCTCTTGCACAGGTTGAGTTTTATAAATACAAATCTATTTTAGTTTTGTTGCTGATTCCGTTTGATAGAGGGACCATTAACTAATCGCATCATTTTTTACAAACCAATTAGTGAACGGTAGAGAATGAGGTTGAGTAACTGACTAGCTTTCACATCAAAACTCCGTGATGATTTACAGAATTTTATGTTGAACTTTTTTTCTTTTGGTTATGTGTTTTTTGTTTTTGTGTTTTTTGGTTAGCTATGTGTTTTTTTTTGTTCTAGATGTTAACGAGTGTAAAGGAGACAACGGGGGATGCCATCAGTTGTGTTTTAACAGTGAAGGCTCATTTACATGTGGTTGTCAATCGGGTTACACTTTAGCTGACGATAAGAAAACTTGCAAAAGTCAGTGGAATATTGACAAAAAAATTTTTCATATTAAAGTGGAAGATCAATTGAGGAAATTTGTCTTACAGAACATTATCCATGCAGTTCCCAAAATGGAGGATGCGACCATACCTGCGTCATTGTGAATGATTACACCGAGAAATGCATATGTAACAGAGGATACAAACTTTTGTCTGATGGAAAGTCTTGCGCTGGTATGTTAGATACTTTACACTGTCACTGTAGACATTATTTTACAAACTACAAACAATAATTTACTTGATCAAAGCTTCACGTGTTGATCATGTGATTAGTAATGAGTGAGTTAATATGAACCACAAATAAAGTGTCGTTTCCCGGACACCACGAGCTCTTGATCTTATTTTTTATGAACAATATCAAGATTAAATCAGCCTGATGAAAGCAATTTTATGTAAAAAGTCCATCTAAAATATAATTGTTTTGTTCTTTGGTATTTTTCTAAAATTTCAACTCAAGCAAATCCGTACCGTCTTCTCCTCAGTTGTCGAATTCTTCTCCCCGTGTTCTTTGTTAATTTACATAAGCAATTGAATAAGTCAGGAAAACTCTTTAATTCTTGTTTTCACACAAGCTTTCACAACTTCACCAGCTATTCATAAAAGGTTAAAAACTGAAAGGGAAGCTACTTTGAGTTAAAATGTGGTCATTCTTTGATTCATATTCGATCACATATTGAATTACTCGATCTGATAGAGTATAAGATGACACAAGTTTGATTAAATTCATGTTTGTTCAATGGTTTATGCTTTATTTGCTTTGAATTTCTCTTTGCCTCAAATTAATCTTCTCGCGTGGTGGAAGGAAATTGGAAAAATAAAAACAGATACTTTGTTCTGTTCAATACATGCTCTTTGTGAAATAATACTGCAGTTTGCTAGCATGTTTTATACCTATATTCTAGAGATCAAGTCTACTTATCATCCTTGTCATTCTTTCATCTATTGATTGCATTAAGAAATTTTTCAAATTAAAATGCGTTTCGTGTATTGAAATGCGTTTTGTGAATTTTTCAAATTGAATGCGATAACCAAAGATTTTCCACTTATTGACTGTTGTATAAAGATACTGTAAATTGTGGAACTTTAAATTTCAATGGCACTTTACCTCAAATTTACTAGTTCTGTGTCTACAAATTTTAAAGTCATTCCAATAAGTTTTCTTTTCTTGATAGATGTAAACGAGTGTAGTAATGGTAATGGAGGCTGTCAGCATTATTGTCGAAACACTGCAGGCTCATTTTCGTAAGTAGTAACCACAGTGTATGGGACAAAGGGAGTGTTTATTTGTTAGTATGATTTTTAGTGATGTTGATGAGAGTGTGATTAGATGCTCTCTAGTTGTTAGATATTTTAAAAGTATTTTATCTCATGAATTTCACGGTCAATTTTGAGTAAACTAGAGTTATATGTCTATTTAGCTCCATATTTTCTTTAAATTCAACAATTTGTTCTACGTTTCAATTTAACATTATCTATGCACTTTTTCATCCCCCCCTGTAGATGTTTATGCAAAGATGGCTTTCAGAGAAACTTTGCAGACTCTCGTGTTTGCGTTGATGCTGATGAATGTACAAACGTACGTTATATTTTACACTAAAATGATTTTCAACAATTATATGTGGCTGCTAGCTCTGTAGCCGATTTTCATGATTGGGCTTCAAAGGAATTGAAATAATGTTAAATAGACATTTGTATTTTCAGGGCGTGGCGAGATGTTCTCAAAAATGTGTCAACTTGGAGGGATCATATCGATGCGAATGCGAAGAGGGTTTTGAGAAAGAAAGTGATGGATTAAATTGTAGAGGTATGTTCTTATTATTCGTCTATCTTAGTGGCAACATTGAAGTAACCTCAAGTTTTCCTTGAAACAATCATAGCATTTCAAATAACGACCACAACTCTATTTTCCTCTCTCTTTTTTTGACAAAGCGATTCCTACGACCACGGTTGTGACAGAAATACCTGGAAGCGGTGAAGTAAAAATCGAGAGGGAAGAATTAGAACAAAAACACAACATCAATGATTCAGTCAATTTTCCAGTTTCACGTAAGACTCTTGTTTGTAATAATCATACCGTACGTTAAAGTGAACAAGTTGTCATGCTTAAAGGCTTTGTTCGTGTTTTCATTATTTTGATTATTAAGTCCTGAAACATCAATTGATACAGCTACTGCTACAGGACAATTTTCTTCGAACACTGTGTCTTTCTAGTCTCAAAGCTTTTTTGAATTCATTTTAATATGAGCTTATAATAGCAAATAATCGCGTTGAACGCTCTCTATAAACGTTTTTTACAGTCTCTTTCATTATTCGACGTGATTGTTCCACGTGATCTTGAATTGCTTTTTTAAATAGGCTGTCCACCAGGAAGATTTGGAAGTCAATGCACGCTGACATGCGCAGACTGTATGAATGGAGCGCTATGTGACCTTGAAAACGAAACTTGCGTGTGTGCTGCTGGGTATTTTGGCGAACTCTGCGCAGATCGTACGTAAAATGAGACAGTTATAATATTGTAAAGGAATGGATACGTAGCCATTTAACTGAAAATTTTATTAGTGCAACCCAATAGAGTGTATGGTTTGAACCCAATTTGCAACCCTATTTTATTTATATTAGGTGGATCTTCATTTAAATGGCTTGTGTTTATTGCCATCTTTTCATGTATCTTTTGATGGTCCCTGATAAATTTCCAAGGAAGCCATTTTTCACATTACCGCAATCGTTACTGTATCTACACTTAAAATATCTTTTCAGCCATGGTAGAATTGCTTTATCATGCGGAGGTCTATAAGAATATGTGCTCATAATACTAATCTACTTTTTCATGTTTTTTGCTTTATTCATTTTGTTATGCATGAATATCTCCGGATTCTCAGTTTGTTTGGTATGAATCTCATTTCTTTTTGAAGAATGCCCGCATGGATATTTTGGAGAGAACTGTCTTGAGGAATGTATATGTTCAAATAATACCATGTGTGATCACGTCAATGGAAAATGCTTTTACAACTGCCCTGATGGATTTACTGGTGAAAACTGCACTGACTGTAAGTTTAAAGCTTCTATATCTGCGAAGTTGGGGACAGAAAATATCTATATATAACATTGACTGGCTTGAAGGTCTAAATTTGGAAAATTTATTTCTCAAATATTTCTTCGTATACGTAGCAACTTAAACGGATAGTAGCGTTTTTACATATTATTTTGTAATCGAACCATTCATATACATTTTTTACTTTATCTTAATAGTAATCTTTCAAAATGATTATTGTATATGTATATTTTGCTTTATTCTTAAACAACATATGACTTTACAGCAAAATATATTTTCTGACCAAGATATAGTCAAAAAAACGTTACATCCATTAGGAACTAAAAAGTGTCAATAGTCATGCTTGCAAAAAAACAAACCTGTGCTTTACACATGTACTTTTTAACACACCTGTGTTTAACACATGTACTTTTTAACACACCTATGCTTCACGTCCTTATGTTTAACACACGTACTTTTTAACACACCTATGCTTAACACACGTACTTTTTGACACACCTATGCTTCACACACTTATGTTTAACACACGTACTTTTTAACACACCTGTGCTTAACACACGTACTTTTTGACACACCTATGCTTCACACACTTATGTTTAACACACGAACTTTTTAACACACCTGTGTTTTATAGACTGCTCTCCTGGTACCTACGGCTTGGGATGCGCCGAAATTTGTCAATGCAACAAGAACAAAATATGTCGATCGACAGATGGAAAATGCTTGTGTCCTCGTGGGACTACTGGATCGAATTGTGAAGAAGGTGAAGTTGACAACGTTTTCAACTTAGAACAACTAGAATTATATCAGCTAAAAATCATATACAATAAAAGGTGTTTCATTTTTCTCAGTTTGCCCACTTGGTACGTACGGGGATGAATGTGAAAAGACTTGTAAATGTGTGGACAATATTGATTGTAATCCAATCGATGGCGAATGTCTTTGTCCTGCCGGGAGAATTGGTACTAAATGTGAAAAAGGTAGATGAATATTGCTCCTTTAAAATATCCAAAGGACAACTTCGTCGGTCTTTGCTTTAACGAAGTAAAAAACCATTAATGTATACAGAAATGTAATTCTTTGACCATAGTTTTTCTCTTTGATCCCCTATTTAGTTTGTCCTTCTGGTACGTTTGGTATCGGTTGTCAAGAGTTGTGTGAATGTATTGGTGGGGAATTATGTGATTCTGCAACGGGAAAATGTAATTGCACAGAGGGAAAAAAAGGATTTCACTGCGAAAAAGGTAAGATATCATTTTTGTCATTATGTACAGTTACATCCATTCTTGTATAGTAATGAAAATGCTATTGCTTCTTTTGATTATTGTGTCTCACTTGTCAGGTGTTCTATTTCATTATTCAAAGGTTTTACCTTACAATCCGGGTGTTTTACCTCACAATCCGGGTGTTTTACCTCACAATCCGGGTGTTTTACCTCACAATCCGGGTGTTTTACCTCGATCCGGGTGTTTTACCTCACAATCCGGGTGTTTTATCTTCATAGTATGACGTTACATGTGTGTCACTAATCAGGTGTTTTATCTCATAGTCAAGAAGTCTTTATATTGATGTATTTTCATAAGTCAGATGTTTCATCTATCTAGTTTATCTTGCAGATTGTGAAGCAGGAGAGTACGGCCAAGGATGTCTGGGAACATGCAGCTGTTCACCAGAGCAACGCTGCAATCCAGTCACTGGGGATTGCTTGTGTCCACCAGGACGTTTTGGTACACATTGTGAAAATGGTAAGATCTGTCATAATCCACATTTCCAACAGTAAACACACGTTTCAAAAATACGAGATCAAATTACAAAATTCGGACAGTCAAATGGTCTGACATAGTATTGTTTATGTAGAATTGTGGCAATAAAATAGAATGATGATGCTCTTGGGGCATTCGTAAACATTATTTTAGAAATCTAGAACGACTAATTATAAAGGCAGAAGGTGTAAGAGTGAATAAAAACCATTTTCTGTCAAATCAAAGGAAAGCTTGGAAAGGACATGTAATAAAACATCTCTAACGTTGTCACGGATTTTACGAGTGCCGAAATCTCCGAAATCTATTTAACATTTAATAAGCCAAGCCATTTGTATCGTTTAAATTGAGCCCTTATGTTATAAAATTTTCATTCATTTTGGATAGTAAATTTCATTTTACCTTACAATATTTTCATAATGAAATCTGGAAAGTACCTCGAGTAATTTTGCGATTAAGAAGTACACTTTTCGGATTCGAAGGAATTCTTTTGATTGCATAGAGACAGCTGTCCAATTTATTACGTAAATGCATGTAGTATGCACATCATTACAAGGAACTACCGTACCAAAGAATATCCAGATCCGATTTTAGCTGCATTTAACTCACGTCGTAAAGGCCCGTAACGATCCTTGCAGAAAAGTCTTTTGTGCGACACAACATGCCAGTATTCAAAAGCTTTCCTTCGATCGTTATGCTTTTTTCTAACGCAAAATAGTTTGTATTTACAGTTATGCCTTCTGTCTTTATAAATAATCGTTTTGAATAACTAGAACCCGATTCATAAATACCCCCAAGAACTCAAAAGCATCTCCTAACCATTTTACTGCCATTATTCTACATAAACAATACTATGTCCGACCATTTGATTTTACGAATTTTGTAATTTGATCTCGTATTTTTGACACGTGTGTCTACCGTCGAAAAGGTGGATTTGTACACTGCATTCAGTTCATCATTTTTTTATAACGGTCAAACCGTTCAAGGTTATGCTTTCAACTGTGGATAAATTTTGTTGTGATTTTTTAGAATGTCCACCAGGTCTCTTCGGATTGAACTGTCTCGAATTTTGTAAATGTCAAGGAAGCTGTGATCCTGTAACCGGACGATGTTCGTGTCCCGCTGGTAAAACTGGAGAAAACTGTGAATTGGGTGAGCTATCGACAGCTAATTATATAACTGGCATTCATTTAGTTAAAAATATGTCTCTGTGAAGTGACTTTATGTATGAAAAAATTCTTCAAACTGGTATAGAGTACTGGGCTGACAACAGATACAATTTCTCTGAGTTTTATGTTTCAAAGTCTTTGTTTCTTACGTCTTTTATGTTTCTATCTCTTTCAGAGTGTCCTTCAGGAACATTTGGGGAGTATTGTGTGCGCAATTGTTCCTGCAACCCAGACATACCTTGTGATCCTGTCAGTGGAGAGTGTATTTGCCCTCCTGGATGGAAGGGTCCCAGCTGTAACGAAAGTAAGAGATTTATGACGGTGGAGTTGAGTTTTGCTCATTGTGCAATTGTAATTTCTTTGTAATGATTGGTTTCTTTGACTTCTGAAGTATATCGTTTTCTTCTTTTGTATCACATGATATGATACCAAAGCAGTTTCTTTTAAATTTATTTTTGATTCATATCGCATTCATTCTAAATAACCGGATGTTGAATCTTAAGTTTTTAAACAATACTATGTAATACTTATACTTAGAGTTATGGCCGTGTTCTAAAAGCTCACTCACACTCATTGAGTGCAACATAAAGATCACACTCTATCTAATCTTTAGCAAAGTCATTTCTCCATCTATGACAAATTTCAAATCAAGCAATCCGTTGTGTGAAATTGAGGTCTTCGAATAGTTATGAAGTGATTTTGAAGCCCCACTCATTGTGTATAAGTGTGAGCGAGCTTTTAGAATACGGGTGAAAGTCTTATACTTAAACTCAATTCACATATAATTAAGAGACTGCACTACATTGTCTAATATCCATTTCTAGAATGTGATGAAGGAACATATGGACAGGGATGTCAGTTCAAATGTCCAGTATGCACGGGAAAACATGAAAAGTGTCACCACATTCGCGGTGAATGCATTAGAGGTATGATATTGATATTGTTGACTAATGAATAACTGAGTTTGACAACTATTCATCAAATCATTGATATTTTTTAGTTTGTCAACGTGGTTATTACGGTGAGAATTGTGACAAAAATGTCCATGTGAATCACATTCAAAATGTGATCCTTATAACGGAACATGTTGGTGTGCCCTGGGATATACTGGACATCGGTGTAGCGCAGGTACGTAGGTTTTAATAGACTTCAGACTTCCTTGATGAGGAACCTAAATAGACAACAGTCGAACAACTCCTGCATTAAAATAGACCAAATGTTTTGTAAGCGTGATACTAAAATTTATTTTTTTCACAGCCATGTTTTATTTGTGTGTTTTCAGAATGTCCACAAGGCACATTCGGTCATGAATGCAGGTATAATTGCACCTGTGAAAATGGTGCCAGTTGTGATCACGTGAGCGGTAGGTGCTCATGTGAGGCTGGTTGGATTGGCTCGAATTGTGAAGAAAGTAAGTATTTTATTACTGATGAATGGAAGGTGACAGACTGACTAACCTTGCCTTTTTAATTGTATGCAAGTGCTTTAAATTTTCATCGTAATCATAACTTGCCATTAACTTTAGCGTGCCCTGAAGGCTGGTACGGTAAATTATGCCTATCACGTTGTCTTTGTAAGAACAATGCAACATGTGACCGCTCCAAAGGCACCTGTACTTGTGGACCTGGCTTTCATGGTGATATTTGCGACCAAGGTAAATGTTCGTTGATTTTTCTGGACTAAAAAATCAAAACCACTTCGTGTAGACGCCCAACCCTTATTTTAGAATGCCCGTTTGGCACACATGGCTTGCAGTGTAAAAATGAATGCAGTTGTGAGAATGGTGGTCTATGTGATACAGTTACTGGTCAATGCAATTGTGGGCTTGGTTGGACGGGAAAATTTTGCGAGCAAGGTATTATGGCTTCTGTTAATTCTTCATTCATAAATCAGACACCAGATGACTTTGAAGATTGAAGATCCAACGACTACTATGACCATTTCTCTCTGTCTTTCTTTTCTCTTCATCTTTTCTGCTCCATTTCTTCGACTCTCCTCGAACACCTCGAGGATATTAATCCCAGCTTTACTCCGACAATGCAAATATTTTGTGTTTATTCACTAGAAAAACAATGACCAGAATTCACTTGCTAATGCATAAAAATTTTGCTGAAAGACTTGCATTGTACAAATTAAAGATCAAACTGGTATTTAACTACCGTCTTTCAGCTGCATTTCATTTACGATTATGTTTCAGAATGTCCACCAGGTAAATACGGTCCAAACTGTAAACATGATTGTTATTGCCAACATGGAGGAATCTGTGATAAAATCACTGGGTGTTGTAGCTGTCCATCCGGGTACTATGGATCTTCTTGTCAATTTGGTATGTTGCCATATATTTAGTGTTTTTGATATGCTGGTCTTGTGTTCATTACTATATGTTTTCATAATGAAAATGCACCATCAAATTGCTCTAATTTTCTGTCTGTCATATAGTGATCAGTTATTTTTCAACGAGAGCCAAATAAACTGAAAAGAACTACACTCTTGTCCCTTCATATACAAACTCCTCTGACATGATTGGGGAACTGTTCCCCGAAACGAGGACTGGCACTAACGTATCTCCCTTTTCTTTTATATAGCCTGCCCTCCTGGTCGATTTGGTCCGTTATGCAGTAACATCTGTAAATGTGCCAACAATGCAAGTTGCCATCCGGAGACCGGTGTTTGTATCTGTCCTCCTGGATGGATAGGGAACGACTGCAGAACGCGTATGTATTTAGTGTGTTTTGCACAGCTTCGTAGAGGATGCAAACATGTAGCTACTTCAAGTGTGGTAAACGCTGAAAACAACACTTTTCAATACAATGTTTTCTTTAAATTCGTCATTAATCAATGCTATCTCTTTGCTGTATAGCCTGTCCCGATGGTCGCTATGGTTACGGTTGCTTATACCACTGTGATTGCATGGGGACGTTTTGTGATCACGTGACGGGTAAATGTATATGTTTCTCCGGCCAAACAGGAGAAAGATGTGAAAAAGGTAGAAATTTCAGTCATTTTTAACCTGAATAAATTGCAAATGTTGTTCGACACTCTTGTGTAGAATGCATGGTTTATTTCTGGGAGATCTTTTGTTCACTTTTAACATTTCTTTTGGGCTCACAAAATAAAGAGCTGGAGTTATAGACTATGAAAACGTTTTGTGCTTTGCTTAGGGAAGCTAAAATGTGAACTACTCCCATTGTGGTATTTTTTCGTTTTGCGCCCTGAATTTCTACAGTCCAATTAGATACAGCCTGCGTTGCCACAAAAAGACAACTTTCAAATCTTCCAAATGGTTAAAGAAAGCCGATTTTTTTACTTTTAAATGAAGGTTGTTGATGTTATTTCGATTGAGGACGTTGTAATCTTTTTCAAGGATGCAAAAAAGAAAATTTTGGCGTTCAATGCTTGAACAAGTGTGATTGTTTACCGAATGGAAATTGTCATCCTTCATCTGGCACTTGTAAATGTGATCGGAAACATTTTGGTGCCAAATGTAGCCATCGTGAGTGTATAACTTTAATATGCGTTATTTCATGATTTGTCGAAATCCAACTCTTATAATTCTACTCGTTTTTACGTATGTACGTTTCTATGCACGTGTTAGTTTCCACTGTCAGGCATAAAACAACAGGGCACCCTAGTTTTCAATGCTATTGAAGGGTTTTAGTTGCCAGCAACGTATCAAAGTTTCTTTACTACAAGAACTTAGTTAAAGACGTGTTAAGTTTTAATTTCAACATATATTCATAAATCGTTATTTTGAAAAAGATTGATCACTATGTTCTAGATGTGGACAAGATTGAAAGAGCGCATTTTCCTGTTTATATCTACAAACCTGTCTTGTGAAAATGAAGATAAACAAAATGGTGTTTAAACAAATGCAGAACACGTCTTTAGGATGAAGTGTGAAATATTTTGGCACCATAACTGATCCAACCAGTATACAGATTGAATCAAGCTAAGTAAGTTCCTAAATATTTTTAATTTCCGTAAAAGTCAATTCCTTTACAATTAGTAAATTTAGTAATACGAAAATGTTTTCATTTTGTGGGCAAAAAGTCTGGCTGGTAAGGTTAATGGTGTCATCATGTACATAGGTTTGAGGTTGCAATTATTTTGGTCTACTAGCGTATATAACATACCATGTTTCCTGTATTAGTTGCTAGTTTTTGTCTATAAAGATAATTTTTAAAACGATTGCACATTTATTAAAAAACTCTGTGGTTATCATGATTAAAGTGGTCTCATACTCTTAACGTGATTGTTTGAAGTTCTTATATATATTTTGAAGAACTTCAACAAGTTCTTATTTTGATTTGCATTTGTCCAAATAACATATGACTTCCTGCCTGATCATCGTAAATTTGTGCGACTTCTTGTCTTTCATTCTGAGTAAACTAAATCCAAAACAGCTTGACACATTCCTTGAACCTTTCCAATGTCGAATCTCAATCTCTGAACAGATTTGCTGCGACATTTCTGCTCGTCTGATAGCGAATCCCACATTCTCTTTCGTATTTTTTTGATTGTTGCATTGATTTCCGAGAAATGAGGAATTCCAAGATTTTCGAGTGCTCCCAACTTCATTGCGAATTCTTCCTCCTCTATTTCTTTCAACTGACAGGCTAAAAAAGTCACGTGACAGTTATTGGTATGTCACCATATCATCTCTAAGAAAAGTGACATGTATGGTATGATATCATTCATAGCCTTACCTAAAATCTTTTGCAAATCTTTGACGCAGAATGTAGCCGCCGCTGTGTTTCTTTCCACGTTAGCCAACCCGTCGTTGTGAAGAACAAAGATATCGTGGATGACTTGAATATCTCTCATGTGATCCATCATTATCCTTCTCCGTTCCTCTAGTTTCTTCATTTTCTCATCTATGTGCATTTTCCGCTGTATTATGGCTTTCATTGTAACATAACTCGGCTTACTTTTGATACGGCAGGCATCTGATTCGTTCACTCCACTGTCACTCGATGTCTCGTCTAGGGTATTAAAAACAAATGTCATGTTCTTGAAGAATATGTGAATTTTTTGTCTGTGAGAAAGTTTCAAATTTTTTCTTTAGCACATTTCCTTCTTCTCTTTGAACTCCTGTAATATCTTTCAACCCCTCTCTTTCTTTCTAAACAGATCTTACCTTTCTTCTCTCCATTTTCATGTTTCTGTTTCGTTTCATGATCGTATTTAACCTTGCTGTCAGATGATTTACTTTTGAAGTTTTGGATCATTTTTTTCAATTCTCCCACGTTCACTCCAATGAGTCTTTCCAGCTCCTTCACCTGCACCTGAGTCAACGACTTCCATGGTAAATCGTTTAATCCTCTATTGTTCGTCGCACCAATTTTTTTCTTTCTTCCAAGTGCTGTAGTACGAAATGGAGATTTATAGTTGCTGCGATCAATCTTATAGCCTGTTAACTTTTTCTCCTTTGACGAATTAACGAGGTAGTTGATTTTCTTTTGTTGTGATTTTTTGCTCGTATTCGAGTGATTCGTCGCTAATGGCGTTCTTTTATTGTCCGTTTTTTGTTTCCAACTTCCCTTTAAATTCCGCGCACTTTTGACATTTACATGTGGCTTTATCTTTCTTTGCGATATGTTGATCATAGATTTCTCATCGACTACTCTGTTTCTTTGTTTGTTGTTGTTATCTGCTGCCATTTTTGTGGATTTTTGGTTTTTGTGTGTGTTCGCCATTTTGAAGTTGGATTGTTGATCTTCTTGTATTCCATCATTATTTAACGATTTTGTGGTGAGAAAACTCTGATTCTCATTGATGTTGTTGATATTGTTGGTAATATGATCATGCTGTTGGAGCTGTTTGTTTTTTTCCTGACCATGAGCATCGTCCATGTTGTGCTTATGAAATTTGTCGTCAAGGTCATTCATCCCTTTTGCGGTGCTCGTTCGCCCATCGTCTTTGAAGTCTTTGTCGTTTTTTGACGCTTTTTTCTCCAAACTCCCTTCTCTTTCTTCTGTAGCGTCTTTCTGGTTTGTATGCACTGTTTCATGGATATCAGAGAACGGATTTTCTTTCTTATGCTTTGCCATCTTGCTGTCATTTTTGTCGTTTTCTGTAATATTGTAAATTTAAAGATCGTTGATTCGAACCAATTTTAGTGGTAAGAAGTTCAAATCTGAGTTTGGAAAAAATACCCAATCAAGTTAATCACTCTTAATCACTGTGATTAAACTTAAGTCTTAACTCTTAAATTTTATATGCATATTTTAATCTTCTTGAAAACAAACTGTTTTATGAAGTCTGCTGGAGTTTGATCGATTGATGTTCATATTGAAATTTTATTTACCTTCCTTTTTTTTGCTTGATGGAAAATTTTTATGTCCATCTACTTCCTCATTTTTTATTATTTCAAATCCTTGCCATTTCATGTCATCGCCATCACAACTGCTTGTACTCGACAAGTTTTCGAGTGTTTCCGATTCGCTTTCTTCGCTTTCACTGCCTTCTGTTTCAGAATCGCTGAAATTAGTATCAAAAGACACGATTTATCAGCTTTGTCGATGTTTAAAGGAGCCTTTCAATACTTTTCTTATGAATTAGACTCCTGATATATAAAATAAGTTGTGCTACACATCGTTTTTATCAAAAATTGCCTAACATTTTTTGCAGTTTTTTTGGTTCATGAAAATAAGAATATTTACATCACAGGAACTTGTCTTGTTTCTCCAACACTTGAGCAACTCCTAGATAAACGACAAAACTCACATTATACATTTTGTCGCAACAAAATTTAGTTGGTACGATGTTCATGATTTGTAAATATCTATAAAAGTTGCATTACGTTACACAGCATTGTTGTGGATGTTACTGTTGACATTTGTTCACGTTGTTTTTGTGAATATTAGTGTTGTCATCGTCATTGCTGTTGACATTTGTTCACGTTGTTTTTGTGAATATTAGTGTTGTCATCGTCGTTGTTGTTGTTGGTTTAAATTACGTTGTTTCACTCATGCAGGTCTGTTTGTCCCTTTGAAATTGAAAATGCAGAGAATAAATTATGCTTGACCGGTATGATTGTAGGAATGATAGTTATATTCCGTTCTGCTGAGTTTTTGTTTACAAACATCAGTTTATCTGGTTGAGATAATTGCACTAAACGATTATATATTTTTAAAACGAAAAATGTCAATCACCATTCCTCTTCATTTTTGTTTTCATTTTTAGAAAATATTTATATTTTTGATAATAACGATTGCTGACATGCTCTCTAAAATGTGAAAATTCAAAGCAGCTAACTCTTCGTGCCACATAAAAATTCCCCTCTCTGGATAGATTGTGACTTTTTTTCAATAAAATATAGTCACCATAAATATTAAAGAACAGTAGGAAGGCCATACCTTTTCTCTACGGCACATGTGTTTTTGCTTGCATCATTTTCTGCTACATTTCGCTTTAATGCTAACATCAACAATCTTTTCAGCATTTTTCAACTTTGGTTTTAGGATGTGAAAAATATCTATAGGTTGATTCGTCACATTAATTGGCATCAGAGATTTTCCCTCCTTTAATATAAATGCAAAAAGTCGAAAGCAACATAAAAATATGCGAGAAATGCTTCAACACATACCTTGTGTACATGAAGTACGAAGGCAGGGAATTTGCCTTTACCTATTTGCACATGTTGAGGCGTTTTTTCGCGTCCTTTTCATCTAGGTGTGGTTATGATTGCATCATTAGACTTAAATAGAAAATTATGTTGATAAATGAAGGAAAACACTGCGTCAGTTTTAGCGAGCGTTAACTAAAAAGACGTGTACTCCATTCATCATCACAACTTGTACATACGTTATATTGTCAAAGATTTGAAAGAAGTTTTCCCAGTCTGCTATAGTTTAACTATAGTTTCTATACAAAAACACATTGTATTTCATAACACATTTTTTTTGACAGCGATGTATAGCAAAATTTTTGAGATAATAGCAAACACTTTGAACGATTGTTTTTTAGTAATTTAAACTTTTTGTTCAATTAGTAAAAGCGTAAATATAGAACGGTAGAGTAAAGTAAATTGGCGTAGCATTTTGTGCAAAATGATTTTTCATTCTCCAAACAGAATAGCAATTATATCAATGAAAAAATTGTGAACGTAAATTCTTTTTAGCTTAACTGTCCTAAGTCGTTGCAAAGCGTTCATAAAGTATTTGACTTTGGATTAGCTAAAAAATTTATTTAGGCAAATTAGAATTTCTGATGCGTGAGAAAGACGACTGGTGTTAAGTTATCAACTGCCCAAAAAAACAAGCATGAAAGCATGACGCAGATGACCAGCATGAAAAATGTAAACATCGAGACTGTCAAAGTTAGTTTACTTCTGGTATTCTAGAGATTCATAGATACAATTCGTTATTGTTTTCTTTTTGTTGTTTTCAATAAAACAGAATTGAAAAATTTAGCACCACATTGGTGGAGATTAACTTTATCTTTTTCTCTTTTCATAAATTCTCTTTGATTTTATATGATTTTCTGTTGCTACTCAACGATATCATATTCTCCATGGATCACAGAGTTTAGTTTAATTACTAAAGAGAATGAAGTTACTACCTTCATCTATAGAATCATGTTTTTTATAATTTAAACGCGTGACTTGTGCTAAAGAAATAAAATGTCTTTCTCCTGAATGAGTGTTTGTCCTTTACTTTGAAATTGCCATGTGAAAACTGAAACAAACATTGTCTTGCTATGTATAAGATCAAAAATTCTATGCAAGTAATGAATTTTCATACAATTTTTGATCTTATAAGGAAGAAAGCTTTTTACTAAAATATCTGTTGTGAGTGACGAGTTTCCACTTTTCTGTTTGGCTTTGCAATTATTGATTAGTAAATTTGGGGCACCTGTTGTTTTGTTTGCTTTGTGCCTTTCAGCAGAAAAGCTGCAAATTGAAAGACGAGCTTAAGTTCTTCCATAACACACTACCCTAGCGTCATGAATATTAGTTCCAAGGCTAAATGTCATGAAAAGGATTTCTACGATTCATATTGTCAATTGGAATATGAATTTGAAAATGGAATTGCTAAGCCTGCATCAAGCGAAGCAAGAACTCGCCATAATTTGCAATTCTTACTAAAAACGATAACGGAAATGGATTTCATGTTTGAAAATGTTGAATGCTACGGTCAAGAGGTTCCTTGCATTCGTTCAGTTCGGGAGTTAGCTTGTCGTTTTAAAGTACAATTTTGTAATGAATACGGCACCTTTAATCGCGTCCTGAGTGAGCTGTGTCAGATGAAAGTATCAGGTATTTCTCGCGTTATCACTCGTGTGGAAAGATTGCGCAGTAACATCTCGATGTTGGATCATGACGAGGTGTGTTACCTCAAGTACCTTGAAGATGTTAGACAGCTACTTGGTGAAATAAGTGGCATTGTTGAAACAATATTAAATGTTGAATATGGAAAGCGATAGCATTCCCATATTACAATATACTGTGCACAATTTGCAATTTTGTAAATGATAAATGTCTTGCGCAATGTACTCATTTTGCAAAACGTAATACTAAAATTAAAACCTTGTGGAAAAAATATTTTGGACCGACTCATCTTTTTTTTCCTAAAACGACTCATATCACCGTCTAGCCTTCTAATTATCTCGAATAACATTCGAAATCCGACCTACTTTTTGTATTCTTGGGTAAAGAAATTAGTATCACCTACGTTTGGTGTGTAAAACATTTTGTTCATGTTAGGCTAATCAATCATTGATTACACTAGCATTAACCTTTTCAAAATTGAATTTCTCGGCAAAAGGTTAGTTTTATTTGAAAATTAGCTTACTTTGAAACGTTCTACTTTGTGAAAACAGTATGAAGTTTAAAGAATGAAGTTCGAGTCATGACTTGTGGGAATAGGAAATTCGCAGGGAGATGGTAAGAAATGTGCATTTGGTTGGATTCCCGGCGTTTATATCACTGATGTGTTACACAATGTTCTTATAAATTTTCATTGATTTATACACCCAAACTTTCCGAGATCAAAAGTTTCAATATACCTTCGATATTCATGGAAGACATCATTCTTGGGGAGGTTCCCCTTCCCCTAAAATGGCCAAACAACTAAGCCCGCAAAGCATGACTCACCTTGAATATCGATTACGTAACCAATCCCCCCTGATTCACTCCACGAGGTCGCGCTCGTGGCTACTGTTATTTATTCAAAAAGATTTGCTGTAGCAAACGTCTTTTCTATTGATATTTTTCACTTCTACTTTTGACCGGATGCACAGAGAATAAAACTATTTTATTTTTGTATTGGACGTGATAAACGAGTGACATATCTTCTCAAAGAACGAAATAAACAAGAGTTACATCAACATGGCGGTCAAAATTTACCGCCTACGCTCGCGGAGAAACGTTGTATTTAGCCGTTATATGTGCCAAATTATGTGGAAGTGGATATTTTTACATTCCAGGATAAACCTGGTTTACTTCGCATCGAAATTTTTGATGTTAAGGTGGTTTTTGAAGATAATATGGCGAATTTGTCGTGTTGGCCAGGTATGTTTTTTATGCTTTCCAAATTATTTAAAAAATTATACCAAATTATCTTGTCATACTTCAAATAAAAAACCTCAAATGCTTTTAAAACATTTTTCTTTGCAAAAATTTAATGAAATATAATTGTTTAGTTATTCTAAAGAGGAAAATTATAATAAATGATATAGTATTGACTATTCTTAATTTGCTGTGACTTTACCGATGTGTGATGTTTTCTCGTTTTCACGTAGATAGTTGACATGACTGTTGATATATAAAATGTTGAAAAATATCTCGTGTACTTAAATTTTTCATGAGATAAACCAAAATTCGGCCCTTCCGAACATGTGACGAGAGTCAGAAATAATTTGCAGGCTTCTTTTTCACAAGTTTGGTGATGACAACAGAATTTCGAGTTTGGGTGTGGTTCTTTTTGAAAACTACTTAGCCAGCAGGATTTGCTTCTTTCAAATAAAAGTATATTTGGAATAAATTATAATAACCATCAAACTGGGCTCATTTGGATGTATTCATTAAAGTGGATAGTTTGAATCTGGCTTGTTTTCTCAGGCGCAGATACCTCGCTTGACGCTTGTAGGAAGTTTAGTGAGAAAACCTTAAGGGTATCCGAGTTTGTTTTTTTATAATTAGCGTGTATAAAAATGGAAAACGTGATACATAATTCCATATAAACATAATACTTGTAGATGGTCGTAACATCTCTCGTAAGACCGTGTCATTCAATTTTTTTTATTCTATTGCGATAATTTGTGGGTATTTATCAGTATAGTATTGATAACAGCAAGTATTGTTTAAGAGACAGTTTTGGGTTAGGTAGTACAATGAAGTACAAAAAACTCCAATTTGTATGACTCAGAACCATACTGAGTTTTTGGGTATATACATACTGCTTTCGATGGATCTTGATTGACGATTGTGCTTCAATTCATACCGTCAAAATCAATGGAAGAGATGTTAACTTTATTTCATTAACCAACAAGGAATAATTTTGTAACTTTTGTATGGTGAAGAGATTTTAATGTCAAAATGATTTTATATAATTTTGATGTTAAATAATGTACATTTGTATGTTAAATATAGATTATGTGTACTCGCTCAAAATATCAATTCTGTGCGAAACACAGAACATCGTCTTTTTACAAAATGTATGAAATAATTTAATATCTGTCGCTAAGCTTTCATTATATATTTTATATTAGGACAGTAGCTACTCTTTTGAAAATGGCCCAGATGTCTTTGCAATAAATAAATACATTTGTGTTATGGTTGATGTGATATCACTATACTATTTCTTTTTATTCCATAACGCTGGATTTACTACCAATAATATTGTGAGTCCACAATATTTCAATGTACGATCATTTCTTAAGACATTTTAAATAAACGACGAATTTTTGTAAAGCAAACATGTTTCGGCATACTTTAAATGTCTTATATGACTATTGTGCTTTCACGAAATTATGGAAATAATTTCTTAGCTAAAAAGGTTTGACTCTTGTCTTAAACTTCTACCAAATTACGCAGTCTTTAATTGTTGGTTTCGAGTATTTGAACATATAAATATATATAAATTATTAACCTGCTTGGCAGTGTTATTTGGTTAAGGTATTAAATACAAGGCAGAACTGGACGTTATGAGCAGTGTGTGTGACGGGGAAAGCTCCGATATACCATTGTTAAGATCTTTCTAAATATCTACATTGGATTTTACATGACGTGGCAGCATTCTCTTAATAACTTCTGCGATCTGTTCGAGGCGAGAAAATCTCAAACAGATTCCTGTTGTCGTTCCAACTAATTCACCATTGATACTGGACATATCTTTTCAAGCAGCCAGGCAATGGTAATTTCTCCACATTATCTTGAACTTTGATCAGCCTTTGTTTTCCCATTGATTTTCGTATGCTCCTACGGCATAATTCCATGAGAGGCTGGGGCTCGGCTGAAATGAAAGAACATTGATGAGCATGTGTGGATAATGTGGATCAAATAATTTTAGATGTGTTGTCTCAGTTGACCTGAATATTTGTAGTTGAATTGGTGTGATCGCAAGCCCTTTTCGTAGGTACACTAGATTTTAAATTCAAAACACCAAAGAAGATATTGATGGAAATACCATTTATCTTATAACATGTTATGCCCTCTATCCACACGACGTAAACTAACCCGGGCTTAACCCCGCTTTAACCCAGGTAGTTTTTTTGCGTGTGAACACTACTAACCCAGCTTTAACCTAGGTTAAACTCAACCTACCTCTTGAGATAGGTTTAGTTAAACCCAGGTTAAACCTGGGTTAGTGGTGTTTACACGCAAAAAAAATGACCTGGGTTAAACCGGGGCTTATATCGTGTGAATAGGGCTTTATTTACTGTTATATGAACCACGGGATCTGAAACGCATTTAGTGAGAGAATAATATGGAGTAAAAAAATTTTTGTCATAAATTGAGACAACTAAATATCTACTCATATATTTTTTTCAAAAATTGCGACAGACAATATCCGCCCCCTTGCTTCAAAGGTATTTGTGATAAGCAAGAAACGATAAAATAATTAGCATGGAGAAAGATCCAGTCGATTCTAATGCTATCCACTTCCGGTTGTATTTTTCCTACGCGACACAGCTGCCTAGGTCTGCTGTTTAAATATATTGGTCACAGGAAATCTCTTGACCTTCAAATTTTTACTTCCTACGATCTCATATATCGTCATAGCTATCAGACAAAACGTCATAGAATCTAAAACAAGCTTTTTTTGTGATAAAGTGTCAATTCTATAAGTTATAGGCGAGGTCTAAAGTAGATAATCCGGTAATATTAGGGTAATTTTCCGTTTTTGCGCGTTATTGATGTCGTTGTTAATGTAACAAAAATTCATTATATTTTTATTCAGTTTTATGTTGTTATTGGTTAAAATCACAATATGTTGCAATTTGTGGTTGTTGCAACTAAAGCATGTAGGAGCACGTGATGTTAGTATTAAGGAAAAGTTTGCTTAAATGAACAGGTTTCGATTAGTCTATAGTCAACACAGTCTATGGTGAAAGTAGCCATGCTACAAACGTTGTTATGTGATAAATCTAGATGGTTTGATGAAAAAATTCAAAATTTGCTTATAATTATCCGAATGCAACAAATTTAAGAAATTGACCGCCAAGAAAGCCTGTTTTAACTTTCGAAACATAATTTTCAATTTCATTTTAGTTGAAACGAAAACACAAATGCTATAAAATTTAGAGCAATTATAGGATAAGAGCGTATCTTAACATAATTCTGCTTTCAATGTACGTCATTCTTTGCTATATTTAAAAGTTCATGAATTTTCAATTTTACCCTTAATTGGAAATTTTTATTTCAAGTATTCTTATAGGGTTTCAGGTGCTTTCATTTGAATTCAGCAAAGTGTAATGCTTTCTCGAATTTAGTTTCGTTTTCGTCGCATAATTTATTCAGAAAAATAAACGTCTACATTTCAAGGGATTGTCTTATTCGCATTGAAATTTGAATGTGAAATTTAGTGATGCTGTTATCATTCTTAGAACTCTCAAACACTTTTATCAACGAGAGGCGAACAGAAAAACAGCAATAAAGAGTCTTTGAATGTGCATCCTTAGCAAAATAAAACAGCTTACAGAACAAAAAAGCGTCATTTTCCTTTATTCCAATAGGGTTGTTGCTTGGCAGCTAAACGGTTTCATAATTAATTATGCCACAAAGAAAAGCTCTTGAAAGGCAACAAAAGAGCGAGGTTTCCCACAAGCAAAGCTGTGCAACATGGTTGCCTTTCGTATGAGCCACGAGAATATTGTCATTTATGTTAATGATCTATTGTCTCCAGTCGATAAACATTGAATAGCCCAAATATAGCTCTGTTGCTATAAGGTGAAGGCTGAAACTCCTTTATTACGATCGTCGTAATGGAAGCCGAAATCATGGTGTGAAATACAAATTTTATATGAAACGCTTTTACAATTGCGATGTATTGTAAGCAACGTAAATATATTTTAAGATATCGAATTGCCTTTGTTCGTTTTTTGTCTGACGTTTGGTGCATTAATTTTTTGATATTTGATCAAAATATCCTTTTAAGCGAATGCTGATGTAAGATATCCCTAAGAATCCCTATTTACCACGTACTTGGTCGTCATAGAGAAGAATCTTATCCGGATGGATAAATATCTATTTTGACTACAATAACCAAACGATTTTCTTCCAATATTTCATAAATATTTATCAAAGTATTACTATTGACGTATAAACACGATATAAAACTTCAGAAGCTATGAAAATTTGCGTCATTAGGTCATATTTTGCCTTATAAAGGATAGTATTTTTCCTTATAATTGCGTAATATTTTACATAATATACTCTATATTGCCATGTAGGTATCGATGATCTCTTATTAACTGTGTTATATCAAATCGGTAAAGTTTCAAGGACTAGTATACATGTTAAAAAGAATATAGAAATATATTCTGAAGTGTCAGTGATATAATGACCGGAAAAAGATTATACCGCACCGCATAATTATAAGATACTTGGCAGTGTATGTATATTTTTCCTTGTAAGGCAAAAATAACAGAAGCCGACTTCTCTAAGACATCGTGAAGTGATTTTCAAAAAGACACATAACACATAATGAACTGTTTCCGCTTTTTACACTGATTTTCAAGATTTTAAGCTAATGCGAAAATTATTTCTATTGGTTCTCCGTTCAATTGTCATTAACGGAACTTAACAATGTAAAATAGTTGTCACAAATGAAGCGATGATCTAATATTGTAAAACTTTCTGAGCAATTTTCAGTGGCATGTTAATGTAAATGTTTGTGTAATTTTGAAATAATTGCTACGTCTGAATGCGCTCAAATTTTTTGGCTATGAAACAGTAAAAGTTATCATAAGATTCGCTCGTGTTCAACAAAATTTAAACTTGGGAAAATGTATTTGATGAAGATAAAGGAAATCTCGCTCACAATAAATGAACAATTTTGCCTGCATACCTCAAAGCAATTTGAATGAAAACGGAAACGGAGATGACGTCATGTAACCCGCCTAGTACCCAAGTCATGAGAGTACAATGTGTGACAATGACAAAACATAAACAAAGAATGAATAACGTAAGAAAATATCTATGTCTAACTTACGATCTAGACCGCCAATGTATCGCATGTCCACCTCACAATGTCCCCACACTGCCGACACGATAGGATAGACAGTCTTTCCTTTTAAACCCCGAAATGCCACCCCGTAATACTGTTCGTTTGCCTCGAATGATAAAGTTCCTTCTTCCATATCTAAAATAACTCGTATACACTCTGGTGTTGTGAAATTATCATTTGCGTCCGGATAGTTTATCTTTGAAATATTTTTCTCATCGTGATACAGTTTATTACGTCCTATATCCCAGCCCCAACTCTCGGGATTGTTACCAACCAAAGTTTGATAACCAGTACATTGAAGTGGCGCTTTCGACGTGGCTACACCAATGACGGCATGCGTGCCGCGTTGTCTTGTTGGCCAACGAATTTCCCAGACGTGAAAGCCTCGTTTGTAACCAAACTTACCACGAACACAGTCCGTGCTTTGCGCAACCGGGTGTCGATGTAGTACATAAGGATTCTCTTCTTTTATAAAAATATTGGACGACTTGTCCTCCGGATTCCAAGCGTGTGTTCGGATTATTTCTTCCGTGAGTTTCGGTCGATCTAGGATTATATCCAATTTTTCTGGTCTAGTTTTGACAGCCGTCGTACTTGCCTTCGATGATACCGTGATAATGCTAATGTTTTTGTATCGTTGCAAGCGACTGCCCTCATTCAACTCCATATTAGATCGTTTTGTTGATATTCTAGCGCCCATTCTATATGGCAGGTAACGCGCCGTTCGTCTTTCGTTTAAGCAAGCCAACGTGTTGAAAAAATAGCGAAGCTAGACGCCGCCTGAAGACATAAAGTTTCTTGACTTAGTGTCAAACAAAAGAAAAAATCTTATTCTTCAATGTTGTCCCCAAACAATTTGTACAATATAATAGAAGCTCCTACAGGAAATTTCTTTTGAGTATCTCAACACGCGATATGTTTGACGCAAATTCGTCGTGATTCTACTAAACGTCTTACCTTCTTATGTCTTAAGCATTTACTAAATATACATTTATTCGTGGGAGAGCGTTTTGTTGATAAGCGATCCTTTTTTCTTTCGTGAATCAGCTACAAATCCAACCGACGCACAATGATCTTTGCAATGACTAATTTTCCGTTTCTGATAAGTGTATTTATACTACATGGTAAACCCCGCAAGCATGATTGAACAAAGAAGCATGTCATTAACATCCGGCACGTGTTGTAACATAGCATCGCTTTGTCCCTTCGACACTAGAGTCAATCGTGCGTTAAGCGCAAATCAAAAGTCCACCTAGATTATGTTGTACACGCCATCTTTTGTTAGGCTATGGACGGTTAGCAACTGTTTCATATTTGAGACATTGTATGCTTACAGTGTACTCTGCAATATTTTCAAACCAAGTCGGTACATCACGCTGTATTTCCCACATAAGATGGGAAAAGTTGTTAGGTCTGAAAACTTTAAATACAGTATTTTTGCAGAGAGCGCTTGATGGTCCTGGGGACGCTATGTTTCACCATATTATATGGTTATCGAAGTATAAGAATGCCTTACCTTATGCAAGATCATTGGAATAGCAAATAACTGCAGGGACTCCCACATAATATGAACCAAAAGTACAATAATTATTATTGCATAATATATTGTCTATTATAACGCAAACGTGAAATATACAATGAATTCTACTATCTTTCTGTTCAGTTTAAGAGTTCATCAAATTTTTTTCATGTGTTTACCAGACAATCATACTAAACTGTACACTATTGTCATTGCTTGTGATTTTCAAATTCATTCTTACTTTGCTATGTCTGGAGTTAAATTGAAATCGAAAGTTTCAAAATTTTTCCAGTTTCTTTTTCATATTGGATTTTTGACTTGTGTCTTTACAGTTTAATCGAAATAATTTCGCATAAAGAAAAGGTGAAGTGCATTTTAAAGTTCAAAACGCGCTATAAACATTTCATCTCAAGTTGCAGAAACACAGAATTAGATGCGCTAAAGGTTTCTTTGCTTTCGTACCTGCAAACTTGCATATGAAGACCTGCAACTTTTCTTCTTGAAAAAGCTTCTCTGTAAACATTTCTTGTACGACGTTCCATGAACAAAGCCAAATTCAAACAGGTTTGGTCAGGGGAAAACCATCCTTGAAGGACCCAATATGCAACTGTCATCAGATCAACGATAAAATAAGGATCAATTAGTAGAAAAAGCTCTTCTCACATTTGATGTGGACTCTGATCCCGGAGAAAGTCTTGTGGTTTTACCAAATTTGAATCAGGATCTTGTGACAAAGTCATGAGATAAGGTTGTTCATCAAATGTAGCCTGTTAGCGGGCTGCCAATGCACAAAGACGATATTTGCGCACGTATTGTATTAGATGTTCGTAATTTTAGGCAAAGTAAACTTTATCAATGAACTTGAATACATAAATGAATAAATAGGTGAAGTGATCAACCAACATTCATTCATACTATTGAAACTGTATGTTCTTGCCTATGATATAACTATTCGCTAAAATGATATGCATTGATCGCATGCGTGTTACCATCCATGTGTTCGTGATGTTTGGGAGATTACCAGAATATTATATCGTGAGAAATTTTATTTACAGTGGTAAATTCGCGTGCATATTCTTAACGTTCTCTATTGTTACAAATTTTCATTAACACTACAACAGAACAGTAATAAATTCGTGTGCATATTCTTAACGTTCTCTATTGTTACAAATTTTCATTAACACTACAACAGAACAGTAATAAATTCGTGTGCATATTCTTAACGTTCTCTATTGTTACAAATTTTCATTAACACTACAACAGAACAGTAATAAATTCGTGTGCATATTCTTAACGTTCTCTATTGTTACAAATTTTCATTAACACTACAACAGATATGTTAAGTAAAAAAATCATAAACATGTTATGTGCGTATTCGAAAATGATGTTTCGAAGTGAAATGATTTTTGTCCGCTTGTGTTCAGAACTAGATCGAATTGTGTATAGGTTATTTAATACTATTTCTACGTTTCGTCAAATTGCTCATCTTTCAACGTATACAACGAGCAGAAACAGGTGCGACGATTCACAATCATGTCGACTGTTGATTTCTATCTCATTGTTTACGTTCACCTTTCAAGCTGAATTGCTCTGTGTTCGTAATAATTAACAAAAGCAGAACTACCCACGTACAGCATTGGAAATTTAATTTGCCATCCATGGGCGTCCGTTGAACGTAAATAAACGGAACAGCTCTCTCGTGGGCTTGTGTTGAAAAGATGAAAGCACCTGTTAGCACTTGAACATGTTGCCTGATTTTATAGTAATTAGTATGCGCGAGAAGAATCGCTTGTTAAGATGCCAGAAGTCTACTCATAAGTTGGGCTTAGACTGAATGCGACAGCATTCATCAGAAATTATTATCTTAGTGTGTTTTATATTAATGACATCGTCTGATATCTGCACTTTCGCTTTTAGAAAACATAAGTCATATCAAAATACTTTTCTCTATTATCTGTACGAGAGAGTTGATTCACATTTAATGACGAATGAATCATTTTGCATCACGAAAGACATCGATATATCGATGCCTATATGAACACAGTTTTCTGATATTTTTCTCAGTCGATTTTCAAAGCTGTTTATTCCTAAGGAATTATCCATTTAATGATGACAATACGATTGTTGTAATCAGAGTTGCATCGTATAGTCTTTTTTAGTTACTCTTACTTTTGCCATGTTTAGCAAAAAGAAGGAAATTATAAGTTTATTAATTATTTTATTGGAAACTTAGAGCTTGGAAATTTAGAAATCCTTTATTATAGCAAAGATGCCGATCACGTAATTTCCAAAAATTAAAGAATGTTGAGATCACGGATTGTACATGACGTATCCTTTAAAAACTATAAGCTGTCTCTTAAAAAAATCTCAGTCTTAGTCGATTACAATTATTGAAAAAATTTGCTCGTAAATACTGCGTCATTTTATCTCAGGATTATAAAGAACTTTAGTATTATATGTTTTGATGTCATGGAAAAATTTTAATTTTTGTTTTTGATGTTCATTAACATCCTTCATCTCAACAAAGTAGCCACCTTCGTCACAATAATATATCTCTTTAAAACATTTGCTAAAATTATAATCATTAGAGTAAATTTTTTTCTAAATTTCACAAGGCTAGCGCGATGACTTCTTGATGATTCCCTCCCCCATAACGTTAACGTTTCTAAGTAACATGGACTTAAGATTCATCCATGGGCGATGATTAATGGCTTTGAGATGATTTTACTAAGGATATTTACTAAAGATATTTAAAATATATTAAGTATTAATTACGTCGTCATGGAACGTATGAAAAATATAGTTAGAAAATATGTCCTCCTCGTTTTCACACTCACCACATTTAATAACTTTGGGTATTATAGTAGGGTACTATATATATCATGATTATTTTATTATTTTGTATTGTAATGACATAGGTACTTAGTGATGTAGCTACCATATCTTGTGAATACATATAATATTTCATTTATTCAATAATATTTTCTTAGACGCTAATGTCGACGTAATGGAATCCAATGAAAATATTCAATGATGAAACACCAGTTGTAATGACAGATTGAAGGTAAGTCAAATGTATCAGAAATCATCGGTTGCATTAAAAACCTTGTAATAAAAGATAAATTATTGTTCAAGCATTTTTGTTTCACGTTTTTAAAAATCTAGTTTTACTTTTCTTTTACTTTTGTTTTTGAAGACGTACAATTGTTGATTAAAAATTAACTGATTGACTATACAGACTATATAACCTTTTTCCAACTACTGCTGCCGCCTCAGTTGAATTAGCAATCAATAGTCCCTGGTCGCATACATGTAAAAGTACAAATAGTTCTCTACAGAAAAAACTTGGAATGGCGAGTTGTTATGCTTTTTTCCAAGGAACATTCGCGTGGGAAATTGTTCCGGTACAGAAATATGGCAGTTTCCCGTTAATATGGTCTTTGTGCCAACTTTATTTAAAAATGTTTGGTGGAATTTATGAGCTTACATTAGCTAAGTACACTAATTAGGAAAGGTTAAACTGAATCGGTAATCCTGCTCTAAGAGCTTTTGCAATAATGGTGATAGAGCGAGACTGGTTTGGAGTGGTCAGGCCTTTTTAAGAGTTTTTTCACGGGCAATGTATGCATAAAGAGCTTCCATTTCCTACTTTGTACTGGTAGATGTGTTAAAATTAGCTCTTCCATAGAAAAGTTTGCATTCGAGAAGATTTCCTGCAATAAATTCGTTTTACTTTCATCAAACTTTGTACCAATGCCTCAATTAGACTGTTCTTGTTTCCGCGAGCAGGATTTTGTTTCGGTAAATTTTTACAATTAGTGTTACTATTTACCGAATGCAACTGTTATAAAATTACTCAATAAAGTTAGCCAATCAGGCTGTGTTATTTAAAGTGCAAGGCTGCTGTACTTAGTACACACTCAACAGATAACTCGATCAAATTTTTCATGCTAAGAAGAATAATTTGAATTCGTATGCAACAATTGTTCCTGCAAATATAACGTCCAGGGGCTTGTTGAAAAAAATAACTTCTAAATTATCTACTATGTGATGAAAGGTCCAAAGATGAAATTGAAAAAACTGAGACATTTTCATAAATGTTACAGCCAAACACTTCTTTATGATGTATCGATAAGTATTTACCATCTTGAGCACAATTGGCTTTGTTGCCAGAGTTTTTGTGTTCACTTATGTAGCTAATTTGTACATAGTATTGTACATAGTACAATTTGAAAACTATAAGAGGGAATTGCAATCATTAAACAGCATCTATACTGTATAAAAAGACAGATCATTGGCATTAGAGAAATTTAGATAACACGACGTTCTTTTGATCGATGACGATCTAAGACATCGTTGGGCACAAAATTGCGTGAGCCTATGCATACATGGGCATATCACGTCATTAATTTTTGCGCCAGTCTCACGACATGTTAGACGGTACGGTTGCCAAATTTCTCTATTAGATACGGTACTGCAGGGTAAAGAAATTTGGATTATGACGAGTCTTGCTTGTTACGAGAATGTTTGCAACGACCAGAAATTTCTTGCGTTACAAAGTTTGGAAATTGTGACTCGTAC